ATTTAATTCTGTTTGTCAGTTTGTCAGTTTGTCAGTTTGTCAGTTTGTCAGTTTGTCCAAAACATGTTTTTTAAGTTTTGAAAATTTTATATGACGTTCATCACATCGATATAAAAAACTTTTGTTCTACCACTTTTGGAAAAACTCGCTAGTTTAGCGGGAAAACAGCTATAAATAGCTAAAAATCGGAAAGCCGTAACTTCTATACTACTAAAGCTACAGACTTGTGCTACATCTCGTTTGAAAGGTATTTTTAAATGCTATAAACGCCTCCTATATGCAATTTGTGTAAATGTAATAATTAAAAAAATATGAACAAAAGACAATTTTTTAAAACTTTTTTTTTAGCTTTTTTTAATTTTTCTCAAAAACGGCTCTAACGATTTTCTTTAAAACCTTAAACTGTATAGCCCTTGAGATTCCTTAAATTTTGGTATATAACACATTACTGTAAAAAGTCACGTTTAAAAGTTATTTTTATACGAAAATAGCCACTTTTGCCAAATCGAACAATTAACGCTCCCTGAGTATTGAATTTTGTGGGAGGGTATCCGAACTGTATTTTAGGGTCATGGAATCAGTAAATTTGCACTTAAGAGTTCCATATAGGAATCTTTTGTTCTACGACTTTTGGAAAAAGCCGCTACTTTAGCGGGAAAAAGCTAAAAATAGCTAAATTTCGTTAGTTTGTAAGTTCTACACTACTAAAGGTACAGACATGTGCTATACCTCGTTTAAAAGGTATTTTGAAATACTTCAACGCCTTTTTAACTTAATTTGTTAAAATACAATAGTTTAAAAATTATGATTGACCAATTTAAATTTAAATGTATATATTAGCTCCTATGAGAGCAAATGTAAACAAACAAAAACTTCTGATATCAAATAAAAACACCTCTTAACGAGGTAAAAAACTAGTGACGACCGCACCTTCAACATACAAAAGTTCTGATATCAACATTTGTGACGAAAAATTATTACACTCGTCATTAAATAGACTTTCTAATATTTTCTCATTCGGCACGCTGCAATAGAAAATGCCTGTGAAGGGAAAAATGCTGGAATAGTTTGCTAGGGCGGGCCGAATGAGAAAATATTAGAAAGTCTATTTAATGACGAGTGTAATAATTTTTCGTCACAAATGTTGATATCAGAACTTTTGTATGTTGAAGGTGCGGTCGTCACTAGTTTTTTACCTCGTTAAGAGGTGTTTTTATTTGATTTATTATTCTACGGATTCCGTATAATTTATTTATTATGTCCAAGTGTTAGGGAGTTAAAGTTTTTAAAAAGCTTTCCGGTTAAAAAATGTAAATTAATACAAGTCTTAACATAAAAGTCACGCACTCCTCTCTAGTTTCGATTTCGCAGTGCCTGGCAGGTGTTTTGGCATCGAAACGGCGATCGATTCGCTTCGTCGCAGGCTGTTAATAAATACTCATCGTATCGCCTGGCACTCTTCATAAGAGCAGAGAAAACCCAAGAAAACCGGAGCTCGGTAAGTGTGCTGCAAAAATTGTTTGATGAATTTCATAATGGTGGGACATTATGTTTGCTTCCGCTCGCTGTTGCCACAATTTACTTTTTATGAATGTCAATGGATTTTTAATTAATTGCAGGCCATTTTCGGGCTGCCCCCTTTCGATACTTTACGAGCCTCTCGCTGCTTTTTTATATGCAAAATCTGGAAACGCTTGGGGTACTCGCATAAATCTGGAAATTGATCGTCGGCCATAAAGGCAACCCAACTCGATTCAATTCGATTCCATTGAATACGATGGGATGGGATCGTTAAATTTGTCTCGCTGAATGTGCCAATAACAATTCTCTATATGCTAATAAAATAATTTGCAAATTAAAGACAATTCGAGGATCTGGAAAGTGTTGGTCAAATCTCCTGGAGATTTAACTTCATTTTTTTCTGACTATTACACGGTATTTGATATGGGTATATTGGTGGTAGGGTTGGAACTTTTATAATTAACGATATAATTTAGACTTCCAATCATAATTATTAAGAGATTAAATTTATAATTCAATTATTCCGACAAATGTAAAAATGTTATTCTAACTTTATCCTCCATATTGAAAACCCTTTTTACCCGACTTCTTTCACTGTCAGTTCATTAAAGGCGCTTAAATTGTATTTCAATGTGGGACTTGGGCCTGGAAATCGGGCTTGGCACTCCACACGAGCGCCAGAAGCGCAGAAATCCAATCAAAAAGCAGCCCAAGACGCCACCAACACCAGAGGTCCAGAACACAAGATCGTATTTTGGAGTCGGAGTTGAAAATGGAGCTTAAAACCAACACCGAAGTGGCCCAAGTCGACCCCCTGTGCGAGCCATTGTCGTAAATCACACATTAAAATATTTATTTGTATTTTTACTTGTTCAGAAATTAGCTAAGAGCCCCCAGTCGAGCTCCGAAATCGACTCGGGGTCGGGAGTCGAAGAGTCGAAGAGTCGGAGTCCGGCTTTGTTGTGCGAATGAATTTTAATTTCCTTTTTATGATATTTTAATTTATTTCAGCGTAAATCAAAACCAAAACGAGACTTGCTCTCTCTCAGTTTCCTTTTTTCTTCTTTAGCCAGGGGCTGCACTTTTAATAAATTAGATTACCCTGCGTTTTAACACTTAAAATAAAATATGTTGTAAATTTTTTTTAATTTAAAGCAACTCTACAAATTGGTAGATATTTATGGACAAAAATGTATTAAATAATTTTATATGGGGGAAAAAAAATATGTTTAATAGATTTTAAAATAAAACATTGTACAAAATGTATACCATTTAAAAAATTCTTTTTTACAAGAATTGATTAGTTTTTTGTGCTAAAAATGAATATAAAAGTAAAAAATGTTCCCACCAAAAAAAAATGTTTTCATGTTACAAAAATGTTCTTATGATTATGTGATAATGCTGATTAAATCTTCTGGACTTATTGAATTTTTTTGAGTGCACTTTTTGGAACGGAGCGGCGCTTCCTCGGATCTCCAACATCCGCGCGAACTGCATAAATCTTGAAAGGCTCAGCAAACCCTACGAACGGGGAGTGGATCAGATCAGATCGGAATGGGAGTGGACTCGAGGTGGACTAACAAGCTGGAAAAACACTCCACTCCAGAGACCCTGGCATGCAGACAAAGATTGCTTTTTCACAGCTTGTGGTACGTCCGGCAGTTTATTAATTTGACGTTTCCAGTTGCAGAGGCCAGCGGTCCGCGAGATGATCTCGGCCAGAAAAGAGTGAGAGCAGTTAACGGTGCAACAATTTGTATACATTTTGAGCTCGAAAGGGTGCTCCTTTTTTTGGGTTTTAATGGGCGGGGGCGTGGTCGGGGTCCCACAACAATTAGTCCAGAAATGAGACCTGATATTCGGGTGCCATCTAATTAAGCCGACTCTTTACAGCGTCTGTAAAGCTGACGGGGAAGCTCAAGAAAGCTCTCTGAGCTGTAACCAGATTTCTGGAAATTCCAACAGATGGCGTTTGAGTTCTGTCCACTCTTATACGCTGTAAAGCATGCTCCATGTAAGGGGTTCTCATGCAGGTTGCAAGTCCTTAACAGGTTCAATGTAAGGGGTCGAACAAATCCTTAAAATGGTATGATGTGGTATGGTTCAAGCCGGCTTAGAATGTCTTCATATAGGCATGTTTTAAACCAAAAGCCTAACTTTCCAATATTTATTCTTATTTTAAATATTTTATAGTAATTAAAAACATTTTTTCAAGAATTTACAACATATCTCCTTCGAACTTACGGCCTCTGAGTTTTAGTTCCTTGATGCCCTGTTACTTTACCCCATCAAACGTGCTGCAATTCAACATTTCAAAGGAACTAGGTCAGCTGAAGCAGTATGCTCCATGAAACATCTTTTAACTCCATATCAAGGTTCTAACAGTTCTGTTAATAGTATTTATAGACCTACCCCTACACAGCGACTGGAAGTCTGTTAACTCTATTTAAGGTTAAACAGTTCTGTTAATAGAACCATCCCTTAGCTTCATACCAAGGTTTTAACAGCTCTGTTAGAACACCACCCCATCTCAACGACTGGAAGTGTTCATTTTGGCAAGGGGTAGCATAGCATAGCATAGTGAACCCTCTACAGAACTCTGGTTTACAATACTTAACATTTTCATACATATATAGAATTATATCTGTTGAGAAGCAGATTGAGAACTTCCCGCTGTTGACAGTTTGCTGTTGGGCGGAAGACAGCGGATAAGTTAATGTACAATCTCTGTTCGCTTTAAAAGCATATGAGGCGATGTTGTCTTTATGCCTGAACAGAGTCCACCCGCAGCCACCCAAAACCACCCATGACCACCCAGCAATTGCTGTTTACACGCCTTGAGATGAGGGGGAAAGCCATTTGCATAAAGCAGCCATGGAGAAGGTGCAGGAGGAGCAGGAGGAGGATATGGAGGAGTCAGGAGTCGGCGTCGGATGACGATGACGATGTCGCCAACTTGTTAGCGGACGCTGGCATTTTTACTTGCATATGCAGAGATAATGCGCCGCCCATTGCCACCCAATGGCCACGTCCTTGCCGCCCACATGTCACTGGCATTCTGCTCCCCCTCCCCACTCTGCATTCCGTGCAATGTCATGGCTGCGTGCGTGGCTAAGAGGGCACATAAGTCCCCCGGAAAGACGAGCGAGTCCGTGTCCGCTCCTTTGGGCGAAGGATATATGTATGCAAGCCGGAGGAGACACTTTCCTTGCTGATTAGTGATATATGCATCAGAGTGTGCGGGGGTCGCCAAGAAGGGATTACGATTCTTTTTCTCAGAGGCAAATAATGAGATTTGGCAAATGCAATGCAATTGGGGCAAGATAATCTTATATTAAGCAGATCTATTTTATAAGAACTATATAAGAAATCAATATTATTGGTTAAGAAAATTGTAAATGATATAAATTATAATTTAAAAATATTAAAAATAAAAGTGGGTTTAATTTATATGGACATCAAAAAAAAATTTATCTTTATTTGTAGTACATTATTACAATTAACAAAACCTGTCTGTGTTTTTTCACTGGTCCTAAGCAGTTTTATAAGCGAGTTTTGGTAGTCGAAGTTAATTCTAGTGAACATCTTTCAGTGTTCTTCATCCAAGTGTTCCTGTTGCTCAGCTGGTGATTCTTCTTCCTGAACCTTTTCTTCTAGGTCCAATATCTCTTCATCCTGTTGATTAGGGGTTTCCAAAGAGGTTTCCTTAGTTTGCTCTGGAAAAGGAAGCGCTCTTAGTCGCTGCACCATATCCTCGAGGGTTTCGGGTGCCTCCTTCTCGGCGCCTTCCTTTCCAGAGGATCTCTTCTTGGCCGCATCATCCTGTCGAGCGGCTGCACATAACTGGGATTGAGGTCCGCCCTTCATAGTACTGGGTATCTTGGGGATGGCTCCGGTGGATTGTAGTTTGATGGCCAACCTACTTGGTGTGGTGGTGACGGTTACGCAACAAGCTGCTCCCTCCACTTCGTCCTCCGGCTCACCGACAATCCTTGTGCTGGCTATGGTGTTCACCGAACTGGTGGCCTCTTCTGTGGGCACTGTTTGCTCCACAAGTTCCGCCTCCTGTCGCCGCGTAGCTTCCCTTTCCGCAATCCTGTTGATCATAGCGGTTCCCCTTTCGGACGTAGAGCTTAACCTGGCTATCAGTTCGTTTCCCTGGGCCTCCAGCAGACGGAGACGTTCGGCTCTGTTGGCCGACACCCTCTCAATGTCCTCTAATCTTTGCTCCACGGTTTGCGAGATGCTGGCGGAGGTTTGAGCCTGCTCCTGCGGAGGATTCGCACCATGCTGCTCGTGTAGGGTGTCCATTTTGGTGACCAACCTATCGCCGCGTTCCGTGTTCCTCGAGAGCTGTGCTATCAACTGGCGACTCTCCTCCTCCAAACGCTGAATTCTCGCCGACCTCCTGGCCGTGTATTCCTCTTCCTCAGCTGTTAATGGAGATGCAGCTGGAGGAGATTCGGTTTTGGTTGCCTCCTCCTCCGTATTGCTTTCGAAGCTCGCCTCTCGACTGGGCGCTCTCCTAATCCGGTCCAGAGATTTCTTAAGATACTGTCCTCGGTCGGCGGTGCGCTTAATCCGGGACATCAGTTGGCGCGACTCCTCCTCCAGGCGTCCCAGCCGCTCGGATCTCTTCCTGGTGTACTCCTCCTCGCGGGGAGTGAGGCTCCCAGTGGCTGGTGCCGAACTGGCCCTGGTCATGCGCTCCATGCGCTTCCTGTTGATGAACTCCTCCAGCGGCACAGCGTGCTGGGCGGGCGAGATGTCGTCCTGGAACTGGCACAACTGAATCTCGAGGCGCTCGCGATTGCCTGAGGTTTCGAGCACCTGCTGGATGAGGTTTTTGCACTGCTCCTCCAGCTTCTGGATGCGGCTGGAGGTTCCTGCCTGACTTCTTTGCCTGCTCCTGGATCTGTGCGGCGCCTTTGGAAGGCCACCATGCGCCCCATCTTCCTCGGGCTCCTCATCTGGAGCCTCTTCCCCTTCTTCTGCGGCGTAAGGAGCCTCTTCCCTCCAGCCACAAGTGGGCGGAGCACTGTTCCAGCGCAGAACTATGTCCTCGGTGTCCTCGCTTTCTTCGCCTGTGAATCCCTGGCGACCAGGTGAGGTACTCTGCATCCGCTTAATCTTGCGGGTATGTTCGAATTGATCCCTGAGCAGCTTCCTGCGACAGACGGCCGATGAAGTGGGGGCCTCTACGGCAGGGTGCTCCTCATCCGACTGAGGTCCCGAATCGCTGTAGCCACTCTCCGCCGAGTGATTCGCATCCTCCAGCTTCCGGCGGGCAAACTCCCTGCGCCACTCGTCGCACTGCTCCTGACTCTCGTCGTTCTTGGCCCTGGCCAAGGCCCACTTCCGGCGGCAGTACTCCAGCTCGTCCTTGAGCTCGCTTAGCAGGCGCCTCTTCTGCTGCAGCTGGTAGCGCAGGATCTGCTCCTGCGTGTGCAGCTGGCGGTGCTGGCGCTGCATCTTGCCCACCAGGTGCCAGGTCTTGGTTAGCTCCAGGCTCACCCCGCTCAGCCGCTTCTCCTGCTGGTTGAGGCGGTAGTCCAGGTGGCTGTTGAGGGTCTTCAGGCGGTTGGTCTCCTTCACCAGCGACTTCTTCTCCAGGATGAGGTCCTGAGAAAGGGCAGAGGGATTAGTAATTTTGACGCTACTTAAATGGGGGTTTATTTGGGATGAAGGGAAAACTTCCAAAGTGCTTTATAGCTAAATGTCCGAACTTTTTGCTCAATGGGGGATGAGTTTAAGGAAAGTAGAAATACCCTCTATTATAACCTACATTTAAGAGTTAAAAGCAGATAGCATTGCTTTAAGAGCTGGAAAAAATGTATCCTAATCGTAAAGATCCTTCAGATCCTTAAGAATACCTGACCAGCACCAAAACGTAATTGAAATAGCCCCCATTCAAGGGTAGCAATATGCAACATGTTCTGTGCAAGCGGCAACTGACCGATAAATTCAATTATGTGCACAACAGGACCTTGCCCCAAGGAGCCACCCACTTTCACTGCCTCACCATCCTCCTCACATCCCCATCCACTTGCACTTCCTTTCTACATCTATGGTCGGCAGGACGTCAGCAATAATGAAGCTGCTCGTGCTCGGCCGCTCGCTCGGCACTAGACTAAATAAAGCGCTTAAGTGAATAATGCAAAACTTTGCAACAGCCACAGACGGAGCTCCATGAAGCGGGAATCTCGGATGGAGGGGGGATGGGGGTTGGGTCCCTGGCAGGCTGCACTTCATCAGCAAACCGGATACGACAACTAACAAGCCCGATTGTCCGCAGCACTTGAAAGTGGGAAGGAACAGTTGGAGGAGATCCAACTAGACCGCGAAAAATTCAAAGCTACCTATAGCAAACTAAAGAATTATTATTGTGAACTATCTGTAACCATCTAATAGTTAGGTAAAAAATAAAAGAAAGCAAGGGATAAACAAAGGTAGCTAAAAATGCTAGAGTAACTTGAAGATCTAAGGTCTAAACTAAACCAGAAAAACTCTTATCTAATATTTGTATTATAAATTATTATTATTGTAAAAAAAATAAAACATAAAAGAAATTCTCGTAAGAACGGTGTAATATAAAATACACCTAAAAAGATTTATTGGTAGAGAAAAATAAATAACTTCTCAGGAAGAAAAAAAATACGGATCTATCTAAGTATTCTTGGATTATTTCTCAGAAACAAAAATAAATATAAACCTATAGACTGTCAGATACAATGTCATCTCAGATCTAAAGATCTACCTATGTTTACTAAAATTATTTCTCAGAAACTAAGCAATAAGCATCCACCCTAATTCTTCTCAGTGTAGTAACTGGAACTTGGCAACTTGGGCTCACCTTCAGTTTGATGTAGGTCTTGCTGACGCTAAGCTCCGGTGGCTTGCGGTGGGCCTCCCCTTCGTCCTTGCCGGGGGCATGGGATGCGGATGCTGCTGCGGCGGAGGAGGAGGCTGCTCCTACGGAGGAGGAGGCCGCACTTGAGGTCGCACTGGCACTGCAGGATGGCAGCTCCTCGAACTGCACGCGCTCGATTTTGTGGTGGCTCAAGAGCTCCATCAACACTTTCCAAACTTTTGGCAAGTTGCCAATGATTTCTTGGGCCGAGGCAACTTTTCCCATAATTTCGGGCTCATGGCTTTTTAACGAAGACGCAGTGGCAGAGGCAGCAGCAGCCTGCACATCCACATCCGAACTCCTTTTCCGGTATTTTTTGATGACTCCTCCTGGCTGACAACTGTCCGTGGTGTCCTCGTTTGTGGGAGTCGGAGTGACGCTGCGACTTTTGTCCGATTCCGATTCCCCGGCGGAGGAATCCCCATGACCAGTGGCCTGCTCCACGAGCTCGAATAGCAGCTTGGGCAGAGTGGCCCCGTCGCTGCAGTTGCCCTCCGCCTGGGTCATTTGATTGAGCAGCTGGCGGTTCTCCTCCAGCATTCGATTGACGCGATCGATGTCCATGTTGCTCTTGCCATTGAAGCCCATAATCAGCTGGCTGAAGAGCTGGAAGAGAGTATGATATGGGTTATTACTGGATGAGGCTACTAACCCAGGTTTACCCACCTTGTTGACTGCTCCCACTTGCTCGCTGAGCAGACGCTTCTCGAACTTGTGCTCGCTGCACTCCTCCTTTAGCTTGGCCAGCTCCTCGTTGGCCGTCTCCACTTCCTTTAAAAGGCTCTGATTGCGCTCCTCGAAGTTCTTGGTTCTGGTTTAAAATAATGGTTAAGTAGCTAGTATAACTCCAGGATATATAGTATTACTTCTCCTGCTCGGCGGTGAGTTCATCCCTCTTGATCGAGATTAGCCTCTGCAGATTCTCGTACTCGGCAGCTGCCACCCTCTGGCGCTCCTCATAGAGTTGCCTCAACTGGCGGATATTCACCAGTTGGCGCTCGTACTCCTGGCGGAGATTATTGGACATAATCTTCATTTCACGCTCGCTAAAGGAGTTCTCGATTTGCGTGAGTTTCATCTTGAGCTGTGGGTATAAACGGGAATTAGTATGACCTTGTTTCGATTGCTTCATTAGCTCACCTGGGCACACTGCTCCTCCTTGACACTCAGCATTTGCTTGCAGCAGGAGATGACTTCCTTGAGGGTTCCCACCTGGCGTTGCACCACCTCCACCTCCCCGCGCAACGAGAGATTCTCGGCCTGAGCCTGCTGCAAGGCCAACTGGGCACTGGCCAGTTCGATATTGGCATGACGACTCCTGGCACTGGGATTCTCATCATCTGGATCGGAGTTTGGATTACTGGGATTTTCTGTTTTTGCATCCTCTGAATTTTCATCTCTTCTCAGGCGTCGGTTTTCAGCTTGTTCTGTGGCTAATTGTTTTTTAAGATTGGCTATTTCATCTCTCATATCCTGGACTGCATTTTGCCGAACCTCCCTTTTCTGACGTAGTTCTTCCCTGAACTCCTCGAGGGTCTGTTCTTTTTCCGGAGAATCGTTAGTCTTTTCCTCCATTTTAATAGAAACTTGAGGTTCCTTTTTAATTTTAAGGGGCACTTCCTCCTTGTCCTCCGTTTTCCTTGTAGCTACCGCTTGAGGAGCCTGTTCCAGAACCAGATTCTCGTGCTCGATGTTGTTCCACCAGGGCTCGTCATCGGTGGCCTGCTGCACCTGCATCTGCGTATCATCTGCAGACTGTGCGGACTCGGCATTTCCCATTTTCCCCCGAGAAAAGAACAAAGGTATACGATGTTGTGACGATCTGTTTACCGATGCAGATTCTTATTTAGATGGGATGGTCCTCGCCTGGCGAGCGTTAAATTTACGATTCGCTTTAATGCGACTTTCCTTCTCGAAAGAAATAAAGACTCTTTGTCGGCACAAAGAAAACCCAATGATCCACCGATCGCTTCCAATTGATATGGCACCAATACTGGGGCGGTGAAAATATCTGCGTCTGTATATGTGGGCACACGAGTTTTCCGATTTCGCAATTATTTATTGACTTTTACTTTTTCGAAACCAAGGGTGTTCGAGAAATATATTTTCCCAACTTTAGTTGCAACTTTCACTTCACAAAATATAACGAAAAGTAACAAAAAGTAACTAAAGTAACTATCTAGTATACATATGATAAAGATCTATATATGTATTCGTGAGGTTGGAAAATTTTTTCGATTCTAATTTCTATCCGTTCGACGGTCGAACGCCACTTTTCGGTTAGCCAGCTCGGGAAAAACTGAGAAAACATCGAATAGATTCAGCTATTTTTAACCCACTATATGGTCTCTCCTGTCTTTAAAACATTTCGGCTTCTCTCGGCGAGAATTCTCGCATAAAATGTTTTGTTTGTGCATTAGATATATGTACTTTTTTATGCTGAGGGTCTGAGAATTTGGCGGAGAGTCTTCTCAGGACCCTTCCCTTCGCACTTCTTAATTATTCTTCGTAGTTTATGCACATTTTAATTAGGAGAACGTGTCACATGAAACAGTTTAAATTTAGACCCACGCGTCATTTTAATTATGACTAATGGGCAAATCAAAACAAAACTCTTGCCACATCGCTTGTCAAGAAAATGAAGATCAAGAACAATTGTCAAGAGCTGCCAAAAGACTGATTCGCAACACTTGCAAGGTCATTGATCTTCAAAGTTTTGAAAACTTAAACTTCAGGTGAATATCATTGCACCATAATGATATTTCTTAACAATAAGAAATAAATATGAATAAACTATCAAAGAAATCAACAGTTAAAACTCACCAGAAAAAGGTAACTTGCATTTTCCAATTAAATATTTTACAAATCCAAAAAAAGGAATTATTGGAACACAACCCTGAAAAAATATAACAAATGTATTAGATTGGATGTTTTAAGATTGGTCATTAAAAGGTTTTAAAAATAAAAAATCTTATAAGCTGGATAAGGATTTTAAGGCTATATTTTAGGTGATAAATATATCCTCAATCCTTTTTTTCCCAACTTTTTGACCATTATCACTCCCCAAAAGAGAATTCATCTGCGAACCTTTATTACCCAATTTGTGATGATGGCAAAGGGTGCGTGGAATACAGAACCCAGTGAAAAAGTTCCGCGGGAAAGTTTCAAATGAAAATGCATTTGCTAGCTGATTTTTGCACTGGCTACGCCGGCTTCCTGTTTCTGTGTTTTTTTTGTCTCCAGTGCGCGCATTTGAAAAGTGGGAAATACGCAGCAATGACTCCAAACCGAGGATGCGAGGGGGTGGGGTTTTTCCGGGGGAAAAGGGCAGGATGATAGAGGAAGCACACATTTGGCAAAGTGTCGCCAGGCTTGAAAATGAAAATCAACAATGCAATTTGCCATGGTGCCTCTCTCTCCCTGCCCCTCAGTTCTGGGTTGCCCTGTTGTTTGCTGCAACGCCAAAAGGGGCAAAAAATCCTGCTAAAAACTTGAAGCGCCTGGCACAAGTTGGGCCCCCAGCCACGCCCCCAACTTTCACAGAGGGTGCACACAGGCAAATGTGCAGCGAAAGTTGCAAGTTGCAAGGATACGAGAGCCGAGAACAGAGAACCAAGATCCAAGGACATTGTGCCCGGAAAAAGTTGCAAGAAAATGCATTGTGTTCATTATAATGGAATAATAAACCGTAGTGACTGGGCTCAGATTGAAGCCCTCGCCCCTTTCCTTTGGCTCCTGACGGAGGTCCTCGGATTGGTCCTGTGTTTTCTTTTTTGTGGAAAACCGTCAAACTTCCCTTTCTCTTACTTCCTCAATACAAAATTACTGTACCTGGCATGGGAGCTCAACCTTATAGCCATTCCAGAAATTTGACTTTATAAATTAACATGTTGAATCAGAAATTTTAAAATATTTTCAAAATGAAATAAAAAAAAATAAGACTTTGACTTTCAAAGCTGTTAAATAGTTTTAAGTATTGAAACCAAAAACATTTAGTGATTTCGTGATTTTTTATAAAAATAACTTAAAAATTTGGAGGTCAAAATGTTAAACAAAGAAGAAAAACTAAGAAATATTTTATAATTGTTATAAATATTAATACATATTTTATATTTAATTTTAATTTTTAGTTATTTTATTCTATCTCTGCATTTTAAAATTTAAATTTAAATTATGGAGTTTGTTGTACAAACTTTGTACTGTATTTCTAAAGTTGGCAGGTTGCAACTTCTCCTTCGGCTGGGTTAATAGCCCAAAAGGAAGTTTCTGCTGAAGCTTCATTATCCTGACAGCCGGCTAACCATGTGAAGCTTGGTCCTTTAAGCCATCTTCCGGAGCCTGCGGTTAATTAGAATAACTTGGAGACGAAAGACGAAGTTAAGAAGGATTCCAAGGACAATGTAGTGAAATGGAGATTGCGACATACACTGCAGGAAAAGTTGCCTTTGATTAAGTGTAAGAAATACAGTAAAGGGGGAACTTTCTACACATTTCTCATTTATTTTATTGCAGTCCCGATGACATGCTATTTATAAACATTCCTACATACATATGTACATACATATGTCAGACAGTAGCAACAAAGCATAAATACATAAATATGTATGGCAAAAACTGGGGCAGAATGGGCTGGGATATTTAGGGGGAGGGGTTTTGTTCTACGGAAGATGACAACAATGCAAGGACTTCATTAGCAACAGCAACACGTTGACACATCCTTGCATCCTGTTGCAAACTCTCATTTCCGCAGTAGTTCTGTCTTACATACCGGAAATCTCTCCAAATGCATACCGATGTACATATGCATCACATTACTGCTAAATTTCACTTTAATAACACACTTTAAACAAACAAATTGGGTAAATTTCAAAGTTTCACTGATAAGAAACATATTAAAGCGCGCACGAATCAGCTGTTCTGTGAATTGAGTTGGCAGCCCTGTTTTATAGAGAAGAGCAACAGTTGTTTGGGAACCAGTGAAGGTTCACCAACAAATCTATGGTTCTTAAGAACCAGTTAAATCTTAAATAAATTATTATCAAAACTGTAAAGGGGGATTCCCTAAACTGTTGAATTGCTGAATTGATGAATTTTGGTCAGCTGTTAATCAGCTGTTCCATACAAAGTCAAGTTTCAGAAATTTCAGCAATTCAACAGCCTCGGGGCTGATGAAAATTTTGTTGAATTGCTGAAAAGCCAGAGTTGTCACCTTTTTTTAAAAGTCGTGGCAACTCTGTAACATTTTAGTATCACCAGTACGCATTATTTATTTTAAAATCAACTTAGAAAACATATTTGTGGTTCTTTTTATCTTGGTAACACTTTTAGACAGTAACTAGCAATAATAAATCAAATTTTACATGCTTTAAGTTCATTGAAAATTTTCAACAAATAACAGCTGTTTGAAAATTCAACAGGAACCATTTTGGGTCGTTCCCTTAATTGCTGAAATTTTTTGTTGAATTTTCAACAATTCAGCAATTCAACAGTTTAGGGAATCCCCCTTAAGATAAAAATATTTTAAAATTAAAGAAAATAAAAAATCCTCCCACTTTATATTCATTTAAACAAACAACGAACTAGTTCCGCTCAACAGTCACCTCACCACTGACTGGTTCACACTGCAAACGGTTCATTTCAAAACAACACGTGCAACGGACAGCGCTTCGGTTTTTATTACTTTTGAGGGGTTTTCTAAGAGAAATAAACCAAGAAGATGCTGGAGGAGATGAATAAAATGAAGACCACTCCGGTGCTGAGCAATTCCCGGCCGGAGTTCAAGCAGATACCCAAGAAACTGAGCAGGGTAAGTGAGAAGTCGAGTATACGCCGCATTTCCATGCTAATGAATTCTCAAAAACAGCACCTGGCCAACCTGGGAGCACCCCATGTGGACTCCTTCGACGAGATGTTGACCGTGGGCCTGGACAACGTGGCCAAGCACATGATTCCCATCCACTGGCAGAGTCCGGCCGGCGAGAAGATCTCCCTGAAGGTGGAGTCCATTTGGATATCAAAGCCACAGGTGCCGCAGGATGTGATCGATGTGCGCACCCGGGAGATCTACCCCACGGACTCCAGGCAGCTGCACGTCTCCTACTCGGGCATGTGCTCGGCCAGGCTGGGCTGGAGTGTCAACGGAGTGGCCAAGGCGCCGATAAACGCGGATCTGGGCGAACTGCCCATCATGCTGCGCTCCAAGGCCTGCAATCTGGGCCAGGCCTCGCCGGCGGAGATGGTGAAGCACGGCGAGCACGACAGCGAGTGGGGCGGGATCTTTGTGATCCGGGGAAACGAGAAGATCGTGCGCATGCTGATCATGACGCGGCGCAACCATCCCATCTGCATAAAGCGCTCCTCCTGGAAGGATCGTGGCCAGAACTTCAGCGACATCGGTGTGCTGGTGCAGACAGTGCGCGAGGACGAGTCCTCGCAGAGCAACGTGGTCCACTATCTGAACAATGGCACTGCCAAGTTCATGTTCTCCCATGTGAAGAGATTATCCTACGTGCCAGTTTGCCTGATCCTCAAGTGCCTGATGAACTATACGGATGAGGAGATCTACAACAGGCTGGTGCAGGGCTATGAATCGGATCAGTACTACATATCCTGCGTGCAGAGCATGTTGCGGGAGGTCCAGAGCGAGAATGTCTACACACACGCCCAGTGCAGGAGCTTCATTGGCAACCTGTTCCGCTCCCGCTTCCCAGAAGTCCCCCAATGGCAACCGGACGAGGATGTCACGGACTTTATACTCAGGGAGCGTGTGATGATTCACCTGGACACGTACGAGGCCAAGTTCCAGCTGATTGTGTTCATGGTGCAGAAGCTATTCCAGTGCGCCCAGGGCAAACACAGAGTGGAGAACGTGGACTCGGCGATGATGCAGGAGGTGCTGCTGCCGGGGCATCTCTACCAGAAATATCTGGGCGAACGCGTCGAGTCCTGGGTGCTGCAGGTGCGCCGCTGCCTCCAAAAGAAGCTGACCACCGCGGATGCCCTGCTGACCAGCGCCGTGATGACGCAGTGTATGAAGCAGGCGGGCGGCGTGGGTCGCTCCATGGAGTCCTTCCTGGCCACCGGCAACATAGCCAGTCGCACTGGCCTGGGACTGATGCAGAGCAGTGGCCTGGTCATCATGGCGGAGAACATCAACCGGATGCGCTACATGTCCCACTTCCGGGCCATCCATCGTGGCTCCTACTTCACAACGATGAGAACCACGGAGGCGCGACAGCTGCTCCCCGATGCCTGGGGCTTCATTTGCCCCGTGCACACGCCCGATGGAACGCCCTGCGGCCTGCTCAATCACCTGACACTCACCTGCGAGATTTCCAAGCGTCCGGATCCCAAGTTGGTGGCGGTAAGTACATGGAATAGTGGACTACATCAGGGAAATAATCCAATCCCCCATTTCAGGCCATTCCCGCCCAGCTGATAGAGATGGGCATGATGCCCCTGTCCAACCGCAGTGATCCGGCCGACAAGCTCTATGTGGTCTTTCTGGACGGCAAGCACCTGGGCCACATCCTCCAGTCGGATGCCACGAATATAGTCGACGATCTGCGGCATGGAAAGATATTCGGCAGCCTGCCGCAGATGATGGAGATAGGCTTCATTCCCTTCAAGAAGAACGGTCAGTTTCCGGGACTCTATTTGGCAACAGGACCCGCGAGGATGATGCGGCCCGTTTGGAACCTGAAGTGGAAGCGGGTGGAGTACATTGGAACACTCGAACAGCTGTACATGGAGATTGCCATCGATGCCAAGGAGATGTACCCCGATTTCACCACGCATCTGGAGCTGGCTAAGACGCACTTCATGAGCAACCTGGCCAACCTGATACCCATGCCGGACTACAATCAGTCGCCGCGTAACATGTACCAGTGTCAGATGGGCAAGCAGACGATGGGAACGCCCTGCCTGAATTGGCCCAAGCAGGCGGCCAACAAGTTGTACCGCCTCCAGACGCCGGGAACGCCGCTCTTCCGACCAGTTCACTACGACAACATTCAGCTGGATGACTTTGCCATGGGCACGAATGCCATAGTGGCGGTCATTTCCTACACGGGCTACGACATGGAGGACGCCATGATCATCAACAAGGCCGCGTATGAGAGGGGATTCGCCTACGGAAGCATCTACAAAACAAAGTTCTTGACGCTCGACAAGAAGAGCAGCTACTTTGCCAGGCATCCGCACATGCCGGAGCTGGTGAAATACCTGGACACAGATGGCCTGCCGCATCCCGGCTCCAAACTGAGCTTTGGCCAGCCGTTGTACTGCTACTTTGACGGCGAAGTGGCCACCTATAAGGTGGTGAAGATGGACGAGAAGGAGGATTGCATGGTGGAGAGCGTGCGACAGCTGGGCAGCTTTGATCTGTCGCCCAAGAAGACGGTGGCCATCACGTTGAGGGTTCCCCGACCCGCCACCATTGGCGACAAGTTTGCATCGCGAGCGGGACAGAAGGGCATCTGCTCACAGAAATATCCCGCCGAGGATCTGCCCTTCACGGAATCGGGTTTGATCCCGGACATCGTCTTCAACCCGCACGGCTTCCCCTCGCGTATGACCATCGCCATGATGATCGAGACGATGGCGGGCAAGGGAGCAGCCATACACGGGGATGTCTACGATGCGACGCCCTTCCGCTTCTCCGAGGAGCACACGGCGATCGATTACTTTGGCAAGGTGCTCGAGGCGGGAGGCTACAACTACTACGGAACGGAGCGGCTGTATTCTGGGGTTGATGGCCGCGAGATGACGGCGGATATATTCTTTGGGGTGGTCCACTACCAGCGGCTGCGGCACATGGTCTTCGACAAGTGGCAGGTGAGATCCACGGGAGCCGTGGAGGCACGCACCCATCAGCCGATCAAGGGCAGGAAGCGGGGAGGCGGCGTGCGATTCGGAGAGATGGAGCGCGACGCCCTGATCTCCCACGGAGCCGCCTTCCTGCTGCAGGATCGCCTGTTCCACAACTCGGACAAGACGCACACGCTGGTGTGCCACAAATGCGGCTCCATTCTGGCGCCGCTGCAGCAGATCGTCAGCCGCAACGAGGCGGGATCGCTGTCCTCCAAGCCGGACACGTGTCGCCTGTGCGGCGACAGCAGTTCCGTGTCCATGATCGAGATTCCCTTCTCCTTCAAGTTCCTGGTGACCGAGCTGAGTTCGGTGAACATCAATGCCAGGTTCAAACTGAACGAGATTTGATTGTTAGACCTTATTTTATGCCTTGTACTATTCCTAATAAAGTTGATTCTGTAAAAATGGTTTCAATTTATATTTATTTATTTATTTAAATACATATTTGTTTACGTTTACAGTTAAATTCCTGCATTTGCTATATGTAGTTGTGGTTTATGTTGCTCTTGTAGTCGCTTCTCTGTGAGTGTTGAATGGAATTTTCGTGGAATTTTGTAACATTTAACTATTGCACTTTGGAAATGCTTTCGACTTTCGCCTTTCAACTTCCAACTGACACATGCACATTGGTTGATACGAAAGGATTGAGAGTTGTTTAGTGGTAATATAAGTGTACGATGACAATTTCCATTATCGGTATTCAGTATCAGTATCTATATAATGTATATTTTAGTTTACAATTATTTGTTCGCAATCGAAGGGAGTTTTGCCAGCGGATTTATGGCTTGCTGCAGCTGCTCTGCCTCGGATAAGTTAATACTTGATGCTATAAAGATCGCTTGCCTTCCCAGGCAGCGGCACAACATGTAGTTCCCTTCAGTTTATCTATGGTACACATACGAAACGAAATATTATCCAGGATCAATCGAAAAATTCAGCTATAAGTATAATAATATTTTTGAATGTTTTGCTTCGTTTCCTCAAAATTCCTAGCTTCGATAAATTTTTAGTTGCTCAACAGTGATTAATCAAGGAGTGTTTTCATCTGTAAATCCGCCTCTCTAATTATTTGTCTATTATTTAATGAGATTTCTGCTCCTGCGGGACTCTTCGTTAGATCTTCACACAATCAAAAACATTAAACATGAATTTCGTTTTGATGCAATTGCATTAATCAATATATGTATAAATATTTAGATAACGATTTGCATACTTGTCATTTGCAGGCATCTTAATAATTTCCTTGCAAGCTTTTCTCTTTTTAGTTTTATATTGTTTTCTGTTTTTATTACAACGACGTATATACTAGGTATATGTATGTGGTTTGTATGAATGTATATCTGTGTATAGGTATATAATATCCAATTGCTACTGCCTCGAAATGATGCAACAATATATAATTTGTCATACATATTAACATAATCTAATTATGTTCTCTCGTTTCTCTACTATGAACTTTTTGAGCTTAACATTTACAAAGAATTCTGATACGGATTGGGATTGGGGTGATTTAGGGTGATAGGGTGACTTGGAAAATGGTTAAAAAACGTACGAGTAGGTTTACAAAAATAATATTCAAATCAACGGGAAACGGAAAACGGGAAAACAGGAAAGCTCACTCCGCAACTCGCTGCTGGAGCAGATGAAAGGTACTTATGAAGAGAGTAGGAGTGTGTGTGCCTGGCATAACTAATATCTGCTTTGATATTTCTCTAGGTGATTGGGATTGTGCATTGTAAAGTGGTTGCCGTGGCTCCATGGCTTCGTAGCTCCCGCAACTCGACCCCTCCCGTCCTTCCGTGATTGTTGTGGCTTAGAACTGATCCGCCAGCAGGTCGCAGATCTCCCGGGTCACGGTCTCCTTGCTGGCCCTCACGGTCAGCCGGAACATCTGTTGGTAATATAGTTTCAAGATATAAGTTATGTACATCACTCCTAGTTAGAAATCCCTCACCTGAGCCTGCTTGTTCGGCTCCAATCGCATCAGGCAGCCCACCTGCTGCGATTGCGTGTGAATGATGCCTGCACAGACCATGTTGTCTGGATTGGGATCCACCTGGTCCAGCAGCTGCATGCCGAAGCCCATCAGCTTGTTGCGGGCGCCGGCCAAATCCAGTGGCTGGGCAGCCTTGAACACTTTCTGTGACCGTTGTTGTTCGCTGGAAAACCAACAGTTAATACCGAATACTTTTGGAAAGTCCAACTAGTTACCCGCTTAGATTTTTCCATCGCGCAAAGAAGGACTCGGCATTCATCTCGGTAGGCTCAAAGAACTTGTTCACGCTCAACGGCAGTTTGATGCTGAACTTCTGCTGGGTGCCGTTGTAGCGGAAACTGATCTCGATGGTCGGCGCATCGGCGTAGTCCTCGATGCACTCGGCAGTCAGCAGCTGTTGGATCTGGGCGCCGGCCTCCAGGGTCGGCTCCACCACCTTCATCTGCACGTTCAACTTGAGCGCATCCTCGGCGGACCATTGCAAAACGGGATTGAAGTTCTGGATTAAAGTTAAAACAAGTTAATAACTTCAGATCTTTTAAATACGATAGAGTATTTCCTTACCGTCAGTGGAACCTGCGTCTTGTTGCCGTAGAACAGTCCCAATCGTCCCAGATTCTGGCGGAACTCGCTCTTCACGCCGATCTGCAGCATTTCGTTCTCGAAGAGCACTCCATTGTTCTTGAACAAGAACTTCTTGGTGTTGTAGACGGCACTCGAGTTGTTGTTGCTGCCGTTGGTGCCATACATATCGCCCAGGACATCGATGAGCGTGCTATTACTACCGCCACCGCCGATATTATTCGATGGCGGAGTGCTCAGGCCGAGCAGATCCGTGTTCGCATTGCTGTTGTTCAGCTTGCTGTGCGAGTTGTTCACGTGGGCGTTGTTCTGCGCCGCCGAGGACAACGGAGCGGGGCTCTTCGACTCGCGGATCTCGTTCTCCGGCACCCGACCGGGCTTCTTCTTCTTAAGCACCGCCAGAATGGAGCTCTCGCGCTCCGGGAACGAGGGCATCTCCTCGAGAACGGTGGCCAGCACGTCCGTGGAGGCCACAATGCTCAGCTGCAGATACTCGCTGGCTCGCTGCTGCAATTCCGCGTCTGCGGATCGCAGATTGCTGTGCTGCCGGAACACATCCTGGATATTGGTGCGAATCTCGGGGAACAGATTGATAAACTTGATGTACGTGGAGAGGAGCAAGGCCCGCGTCATCGGCGAGCACAGGTGGTACTTGGAGTGCAGCAGCTTGAATTGCACCAGCGGTGCGGAACGAGAATCGCCGGCTATTAAATTACCAAACTCGCCCAGTATGTAGCCGCCCACCTTGACCATGTTCTCGTGGCAGGCCGGCGCCTGGAGCGCCTCGAAAACGGTCTTGGCGGCATAGCCCTGCACCTCCTCGCGGTTGATCACGATCTGGATGACGCGATACCACACCTCCTCGGAAACATAGTCGCCGGCGATGCGGATCAAATTGAGGATCACGTCCACATACCAGGTGTAGTCCGTGGCGTACTTCTCGGCGAGAATGGCCACCTTGAGCACCATCTCCTCGCGAATCGAGTAGTCCGCCGTCTCCAGATAGTTGAGCATCTCCTGGACAATCTCCTCGGCGTTGCCGCGATCGCACATGGCGTACAGCAGATCCACCGCCATTTGGCGCACCGACACGTCCTTCTCCATCTTCATCGACAGGATGACCACCTCCTGGTGCTTCTTGACCTCCTCGTGCGAGAACTCCGAGGTGGCCAGGTGGCACATGGACTCTAAAGCCAAGTAGCGCAAGTTGGTTTCGCGGTTGCTGAGGAACTGGCCCAGCTGGTTGCAGGCGCGCACCAGGAGATTCGGCTCGCTGTCGCTGTGAATGATCAGATTGATGGCCTCGAAGAGCACGGCGTTCTTGGCGTTCGAGTGCTGCACCTTCTTGCTCTTCGGCGGCTCCTGCGCCTTGTTCAGAATGGTCTCAAGGGTTTCGTTCAGCCGGGCACGCACACCCGCCTCCTCGGTCACCGGATTGTAGTTCTGCAGCAGCCGGAGAAGCTTTACCGAGAGCCACGGAGCCGGCACAAAGTAGTAAGTGTAGTCCTGTGAAGGGAATTTAAATTAGATTATTTTCTAATAGATATGTAGATATCATGTAGATAGCATGTAAATATCATGTAGACATCATGTTATTATGAATTTCAAAAATCCCGTAAATATAAGAGCCCTGCGTGAATCATTCAATTTTTGTTTTATCATAGTAAGCCATGAAATTTCTGATTTGTTTAATTAAATTCTATGTGAAATAAATTCAATGTTTTTCTAATTCATGTCAAATTGAATGAATGAAAGAATAATTTTTATGAATTTTTTGAATCTGCCAGATTTTTTTTGTGCTTTCATTTAAGAACAAACATTGGAAAATTTTTAAAAATCAATGTTAACTGCTTAGAAAATAAAATTCATGCAGATTTAATCACTAAATTATGGCCCTTCTTTCTTCAAAAGAAATTGTCGTTTGAATTATTTCGGAATTCATGCCATTTATTCATTCAATTTTATTAAACTCAAAATTGGAATTATTTCATTCATATAAAACAAAAAATTCAAAATAATTCATTGAATCCATTCATCCATTCTTTACAAGTAATATCCTCTACTCCTTACCTGAAGATCCGTGTAGCTGGCCGTTACGATCCGGGACAAGCGAGACACGGCCAAGTTGACACAACCCTTGTACTCGTCCGGATTGCGCTTCACCAGGGCGTCGATCAGCGAGGTGGCCGCCGTGACCACTCCCATGTGCTGGTCATTGAGCAAATGGATGATGCGCGAGGTCCACTCGCCGCCGGGAATGATGTCCGGCGAGGAGCGGAACAGGCGGAGCAGGCACAGCGCCGCCGACTGCTTCACCACGTCCATGGTGTCGCCCGAGACGAGTAGCTTGGGTATCTCGTTGGAGAAGGACTCGGCCATGTCCCGGCTGCCGATGTTGGCGATGCATTGCAGCGCCAGGTTGACGTGCACCGGATTGCGCGACTGCAAATCGTTCTTGATCGACTGGATGATCAGGCGAATAAGGTCGCTGTTCGTGTTTACCAACACCGAGATGAACAGGTAGCCCTGTAATCGAGAAAGTAAAAGATTTAGTAGGGGTATATTATTATTATTATTATGTATATTATTCTGAATCAAATGTTATTCAATTTTATCCAGGGTTCGCAGACACATAAAAAATTGTATTTTACAGCGTGAGCCAAACTGTTGACATGTGTATCAAATACAAAAGTGTTGAAATGTGAAAAATAATTGTTTACACACACGGCTCATTTGTGTTTTTTACACAATGTGTTATTAACACGAAGTCTTTTTTACACACTGTGTTTTTAACACAAATGAAAATTACATTTCACTGACATTAACGAGTCGAAGGGAAAATGAAGAACCAACATGACATCTTATATGTTAGTTTTAACCATTTCAAAGCATTTTTCAGTTCAACATCAAATTCCGACACTTTAATGTCAAAAACTCATTGTGTAAAAAACACGTCTTGTAAAAAACACGTCTTGTAAATAACACGTCGTGTAAATAACACAAATGACATGTGTAAGTTATTTATGTTTCTAACATATGTAGGATGCAATTTTTTGCACACAAGACAATAAGTTATTTTGAACTTAACACTTTGACATTTAACATGTTAATAATTCAGAACTCTGATTTTTTCGACTGGTTGAATAACAAAATGATCATTAAACCAATTATTCAGTGTACTCACGATCTGCTTCTCTGAGTATTTGTTGGAGGACAGCAGGTTGACCGCCTCCATGTGGCCAAAGTCGATGTCGTGGCCCAGGAGAAAGATGAACAGCAGCTTGCAGACATATTTCTTCTTCTGATAGCCGTCGAGGGTTTTGTCTCCTTTGAATTTGCTCCGTATGTTGGCCAACTCCTTGTTTATGCGTTTGACCTCCGCCTCTTTGCTTTTACCTATGTACGATGTGGATATTAGTTTGGATTTGGAAAATGGGTCAAGGTCACAAGGGGGGATTCACAGTAAAACAACAGCGATTCGTCGCTTTCTTTTCCGCCCCACGATTGATCGATTGGAGAGCCGACTTCACACTCTTTGGCTCCTCTCTCCATGTCGCGGGTTTTCTCCGGTTCACAGAGGCGCCAATTAGTACCAGTCACCGATCCGCTGCGGAACCTCTACTCTCCGATATGCTGTCCACAAACCAGAAACTAGTAACCGAGCATGTAGCAAACAGCGAGCGGTGACGATAATACCATACAGTGAAGCGTCGGGTAGACAATTGTGAGAGTGTGTGTGCCACAGACATACGCTTGAAGGTACTGCAGTAAGACCCCTAACTAGTTAAACTACAAGTACTTCCCATATTTAACAGAAAATTATTACAATTCAGCAATTACTAGGAAAAAGTCTAGGAAATATCTCTCTGGATATCATATCTATACAAATTAAACTTTGTTTTGCCATTTAACAGAAATTCAGTTAATCATTACTAAAATATTGGTAATATTGATAAAAATAATAGAATCATTAAATGTGGTCTTTTCAAACTTGTTTTTATATAATTCAAGTTTAAGTTACTACATTGACTACCTTTACATAACCATATCAATGGGTAATACTTATTTTTTAAGAACAAAATAATATTTTATGATACTACAAGTACATCCACCCTACAGAGTGACTACTGTATGTGTGCTTTTGTGCCGCCCCACTTTATTGTGAGTGCGCTGCTCCTGGTAATTGATCAAGAAATGGCGCTGATTCCGCCCCTATGGAAAATCTCTTGTTGCGACCCGCTCAATTGGATTTAATGGTGGTTACCCAAGACCCAAGAGAGATGGAGATCTGATCTGTACTTACAGTTCCTTATATCCGATATAAAGACGGCCAGGCCTCTCATGCCATCCCCCCTCACCGGCGCCATGGTAGTTAGCTTGTTAATTTTCGCTGGTTTTATGCAAACTGGGGGCGCAAGAAAATCGTCGATAGAAGGCGGCCGAGTCTCGAGGCGTTCTTATCGCTCGAACTCGACTGCTGGGACCAGAAGATATATAGAGTAGCCGCTCTCCGCTCTTTTTTACTATATCTCTCTTCTTCCGGATCTCTGCCGTTCCTTGGGGAGCTGAAATGGGAGAGATACGAGATTTATAATAGTAATATTAATACTTTGTATTCTAATCTAGTGTCTTAAATAACGATATATCATGGATCGTTTGATAAACTACCTATAATGTTGCCTAATTGAAAATTTGTTTATATTTTAATTCAAATATTCAAAAAATAAAAATCTAAAAAAAAATGCTGTCTATATCTCTCTTCTTCCGGATCTCTGCCGTTCCAGAAATGGAAGAGATACTAGATAGTAATTCTATTGGATTTTAGTACTTTATACTCTAATCTAGTGTCTTAAAAAACAATATATCATGGGAAATGGATCGTTTGACACACCATCTATAATGTTGCCTAATTGTAAGTTTGTTTATAATTTAATTCGAATATTCCTATAATAAAAATCTAAAAAAAAAAATCCCTATCTCAGTACCCCCCAGATACTTTTCACAAATGAAAAATAAAATATGTATCCAGCATTTATTTTGCCCAGTAAAAACCGCAGATAACGATTTAAATGGAATGTGGCTGTCTTTTCACCAAGTAGTTTTCGATCCTAACTTATCCGTTTTCGCGCAGTGCACATAATGCCTGGCGAACTTTGACATTTTCGTGGGGAAAAGGGAAGAGGAGAGGAAAAGGGGAGGGGAAGTGGAGCCCCCGCACTTTTGGCAACCGATTTATTTGCAACTTGGCAGCGTTTTGCACGCTGATAAAGATTCTGTTCTGCTGTTCTGTGTTTCGGTGTCTGTGACCTCGCTGCTCTCGCCCACTTTTTATCGCCTGGCGAAGTGCGATGCGGTGCACTCGGGCATTACTTTTTGGATGGGATTTGGCCTGTAGAACCACCGGCTTCTGTTTTCTGTTGTTCGCTTTCCGTTTCGTTTTATTTTCTGTTTTTCACCGCGCTCTCCGCGCTTCTCTTCTTTCGCTCGCCTTCATGTCACGTCACTTTTTTCACCGCTGGATGACGAAGGCGTTTCGCCCCAAAAAAAACACCAAAGAAGCCACCGAAAACGAAAACTAAAACATTGATGGGCGTATTGAGCCGAACTTTTCCCGGGGGCGCTTACTTTTCCCAATTTTTTCACTCGCCGTTGGCGTTGCGGAATTTCTGCGGAGAGAGATTCGGGGAGATTGTGGAGTTTTGGCTTCGCTTCGATTTGCAGTCCGGAATCCGGGTGTTGGCTGCGGAATGTTGGGTCCTGCGGGCTGCACTTTATGTAACTCCGACTGGCTGGCGCTTCGCCTCGCTGATTCGCCGCTAATTTGTTTGTTAACTATTCCCGAGCGCAGGGCAATTCACTAAAATGAAAATTTCTATTGATTTTTCTTCGCTCTCGCTGCCTGAGAGTGGAGCCATCTAGCGGGCGCGGGTGGAACGGACCGATTAGAGTGACCGCGCGCGCGTACGGCTGGTATACCGTGGATTTCAGGGCTGGGTGCGACAGGGCTGGGCGATGCAATGCAGAGTGACGTCACAAAAATTTATATTTTTATAATCTAAAAATATAAAAATTGAATTGTCGAAATCTATATAGTCCAAGAATTACCTTTACCAAGGAAAAATTGGTAATTATATACTAAGAATGTTGCAATTTTTCTAATAAAAAATTGACCAAATAATATTTGTTAAAACTTACAATTTAAATTAATAATAAAAAAAGGAAGTTAAAATAAACGTTATAAAAACTACTTTCATTTGAATATTAATTTCAGAACAATTAATAAGCCACAAAACCAAAAAAAAAGTTAAAAACAAAAATAAAGAACTACGATATATCCTTTTAGCTGCAAATTCATTTGTGTTTGACAGTTACCTATATGATTTCACATTTTTTCTTAAAACGTAATGAACAAAAAATTTAATAATATATGCATTTATTTTTTATTTTTATAATAGCTTACCTTGTGACGTCACAAAATGCGTGACTGCGCCACCTCGCACGCCGCACACCCTGCGATTACTCCGCCATTTTTTTGCGCGTTTCAGAAACGCGTTTTCGATTCGTGGTTTTTATTTGTGGAAAAAATATGTGAAATGCTCCTGCGGCAAGCAGCAAAGTGGCACAACTGAGTACACAGGACAACCGCAGACCCAGCCAACGCGACCAGGAGCAGCTCCGGAATCCGCGCGCGCCGAGCCAGTGAATCGCGTGCCGAATGCACCCGCATGTGTTACGCAGCAGAGCTCCGAATTTCGCACTGCCTCAAAGACCATAATTGCCATCGAGGATTGGATTTCGGGAGTGACTAGGAGTAGGAGCAGCCGGGCCACCATGAGTTTTTCCAGCGACGAGGTGAACTTCCTGGTTTACCGATACCTGCAGGAGTCGGGTGAGTAGATGGAACCTTTCGGAGGAGGAGGAACCCGCTTTAATGCTTCTTCATTACCATCCGAACAGGCTTCCTGCACTCGGCCTATGTGTTCGGCATCGAGTCGCACATCTCGCAGAGCAACATAAACGGCGCCCTGGTTCCGCCCGCCGCCCTGCTGACCATCCTGCAGAAGGGCCTCCTCTACACCGAGGTGGAGTGGAGCGTCGGCGAGGATGGCGAGGTGGCGCGGCCCATCGAGGGACTCTCTTTGATAGACGCCGTCATGCCGGAGGTGAAGCCGCCCAAGCCCATTGTGAAAACGGAGCCAGGGAAGCCGGGAGCGGCAGTGGACTCCTCCTCCGCCAGCGCTGCCTCCGCTGCAGCCGCCGGTGGCAACCAGAACAGCAGCAACTCCAAGCCGGAGATCAAAATAGAACCAGGCACGGGAGCAGCGGGTTCAACGGCTGGTGGCAACAAGACCACAAGCACCACCGGGGGAACCAGCACGCCCACAGATCAGACGACCAGCGAGGTGGATTCGAGTGGGAATGCGGCCAACAGCACTGGCGGCACTTTCGCCGGCAACAACGGAAACAATCAGGCGAGCGCAGGAGGAGCCAATAGCACAAGCAACCCCTCGGCTGGCGGAGATTCAGCAGGAGCAGCCACCGGAGGGCAGAAGAAGGCTCAAAACTCCAACGAGGCACAGGGCAGCTCGTCGGGCGGCACTGCGAATGCCACCAGCACCGATGACGCCGCCTCCTCCACTTCCACAAACGGCAATAGCAGCACCTCCAGCAGCGCAGAGCAGCCCGCGAGCGGAGTGACGCCCGCTGTGTCCACCTCCAATCCCGATGCAGCGGCAGCGGGCGGCGGAGCGACGGCGGCGGGAGCCAAGGCGCCCAGCGGAGCGGTCACGATTCGGGTGGGCGCCCAAGGGAACAGCAGCGTGCAGGCGGGTGGCGGCTCCTCCACGGCCCAGAACTCGGCGCCCAGCGGCACCATTTCCTCATCCACCGGCGGAGGTGGAGGCGCCGGCACCCCCGCCGCCCTGGTGCCCATGGAAATAGACGAGAGCATCGAGATACCCGAATCGAAGGCTCGCGTTTTGCGCGGCCACGAGAGCGAGGTGTTCATCTGCGCCTGGAATCCCAGCAGGGATCTGCTGGCCAGCGGCTCCGGCGACAGTACTGCGCGGATCTGGGACATGTCCGATGCAAACACCAACTCCAATCAGCTGGTGCTGCGCCACTGCATCCAGAAGGGCGGCGCCGAGGTGCCCAGCAACAAGGACGTCACCTCGCTGGACTGGAATGTGAGTAGAGGAGCCTCTGAACTCCGTGAATTTTTATACCCTTGCAGAGGGTATTATGAAGGAACTTTTCCGACCCCATAAAGTATATACAGTCTTGATCAGCATCACTAGACGAGTCGATCTAGCCATGTCCGTTTGTCCGTTTGTCTGTCCGTCTGTTTCTGCGCAAACTAGTCTCTCAGTTTTTGAGCTATCGGGATGAAACTTTCCCAAAAGTCTTCTTTCTATTGCAGGTAGTATATAAGTCGGAACCGACCGGATCGGACAACTATATCTTATAGCTCCCATAGGAAAAATCGGAAAAAAAAGTTTAAAAAAATTTTAGCTTTGGGATTTTTTTCAAATATTACCTTCTACTTTTGGGAGTATTATTTTTCGAATTAAATATTAAAAAAATCGGATCACTATATCATATAGCTGCCATAGAAACGATCGAAAAATTATATGGAAATTAATAGGAAAAAAATTATATCTTTGCTGATTTTTATAACATTCTCTTCCACTCTGGGATATGACTATTTTTTAGTATTTCCGAACTTCGATTTTAATTTTAAAAAGATCCAACTACCATATCATATAGCTGCCATAGAAACGATCGTAAAATTAATGTGAAATAATAGGAAATTTAACATTTTAGCGATTTGTAAATTAATAGAATGATCTGCAAGGGTATATAAGCTTCCTTTCTTGTTTCTATAACTATTTAATCTTACAGTGCGATGGCTCCCTGCTGGCCACCGGCAGCTACGATGGCTACGCGAGGATCTGGAAGACCGACGGCCGACTGGCCTCCACGCTGGGCCAGCACAAGGGACCGATCTTCGCGCTGAAGTGGAACAAGTGCGGCAACTACATCCTGTCGGCGGGCGTGGACAAGACGACCATCATCTGGGACGCCTCCACGGGCCAGTGCACGCAGCAGTTCGCCTTCCACAGCGCCCCCGCCTTGGATGTCGATTGGCAGACTAATTTGGCCTTTGCCTCGTGCAGCACGGATCAGCGGATTCATGTGTGTCGCCTGGGGGTGAATGAGCCCATCAAGACCTTCAAGGGCCACACGAACGAGGTGAACGCCATCAAGTGGTGTCCGCAGGGCCAGCTGCTGGCCTCCTGCTCGGACGACATGACCCTGAAGATCTGGAGCATGAACAGGGATCGCTGCTGCCACGATCTGCAGGCGCACTCCAAGGAGATCTACACGATAAAGTGGTCGCCCACGGGGCCGGGAACGAACAATCCCAACACGAACCTGATCCTCGCCTCGGCCTCCTTCGATTCCACCGTGCGGCTGTGGGATGTGGAGCGCGGCAGCTGCATCCACACGCTGACCAAGCACACGGAGCCCGTCTACTCGGTGGCCTTCAGTCCGGACGGCAAGCATTTGGCCTCCGGCAGCTTCGACAAGTGCGTGCACATCTGGAGCACGCAGACGGGGCAGCTGGTGCACAGCTACAAGGGCACCGGCGGCATCTTCGAGGTCTGCTGGAACTCCAAGGGCACCAAGGTGGGCGCCAGTGCCTCCGACGGAAGCGTCTTCGTCCTGGATCTGCGAAAGTTCTGATTGGATTTCGTCTATTAACGCTTAAATTAGCCGAGTCTATTTTCGATTTGGAAATAGCAACCCGGCCGTATGTAACTCCCTTCTTAGCTATCCCGCCCTGCAATCTGTAATTGTAATTGCTTTAAGTTCTAATTAGCTGTTTAAGGTTCAACTCCCGAGATCCCCTCGCTTTTGTCCACGTCTTTTTCGTACGCTTAGTCTCTCGAGTCGAGTCACACATTATATCGATATAGGCCTGCTATTTCAAGGGCTCCAACTTGGTTGTTGTTCTCTTCCGATCTGCGGGACTCGCGACTCCCGACCCGCCTCTTTTTAAACCTAGTTTATAAGCTCCATGTTTCTAAGGTCGTCCCATTTTTATACACAAATCGTTTAGTATAACTTGATGCATTTTGTTATTGTGTCGATCGAAGATGCCAGCCAACAACCAGCAGAACCCCCAAAACCTCTAAAATATATATCAAACGAGATCAGATCAGACCGATTCACGCATACATTCAGAACAGTGTAACTGCAGCCCCACGTAGTCTGTAAACGAACGTAGGCCTAAGAACTATTAAGAACCCGAGAATGGCGAAAACACAAAAACATCAGCAAAATCCATTAAAGATACAAATTAAATCGGTGTTTTTTCTGGGAGCTTTTTTTTCAGCCTTACATATAAAGTCTTATCTTGACCAGGGTTCGGAAATTGACACACATGTTAAAAACATGAAAAATTTTGTTTTACAGTGATCAAAATTGTTGGGTCAAATACAAAAGTGTTAAAATGTGAAAAATAATTGTTAACACACAGCTCTCTTGTGATTTTTACACAATGTGTTATTAACACGACGCGTTTTTTACACACTGTGTATTTAACACAAATGAAAATTACATTTCACTTACTAAAGAGTCGAAAGGAAAATGAAAAACCAATATGGGCCATTCTATGTTAGTTTTAGCCATTTCAAAGCATATATAAATTTTTATATTCTAGAAAACCGAGCATTTTTTAATTAAACATACATTTCTGACACTTTAATGTCAAAAACTCATTGTGTTAAAAACACGCTGTGTAAAAAACTCCTTGTGCTGACATTTAACATGTTAATAACATAAGTTTTTTACAGTGTGTGTTAATTTCCGAACCCTGATCTTGACATCTAAATTATAATATAATTTCCAACTTAATCCTAGAACTCCATGACATTTCCGAGGTGCCGTTGCTTGAAGAACCGGCACTCTTCGCGAATAACCTCGCCGGATTTGGTGGTGCCCTTGAAGAACTTGGTGAGCTTCGTTCCGGCATATTTGGGCTTCTCGGAGTCCGGCTCGTCGAACTCCATGTCGTAGGCCTTGTCGGCCAGGGCGTTTTCCGCCGTCGACCAGCTGAAGCGCACGAGGCGGGGAAATCCAAAGACCAGGTCGATGTGCTCGGCCAGGAAGCGCTTGGTCACGGGATCACCCGGATAGCCGCTGCCGAAGGCGTTGTCCTTGATGACCACGCCCTCGGGAAACCGCCAGACTTTCAGGGCGTGATCGCGGGTAACCTTGGCGCAAATACTCGCCGCCGAGACAATCGGATAGGTGGAGTCGGCCTTCTTGGCCACGGTGATCTTGAAGCTGGGGAAGCGCTTGAGCAGCTTCTCCTGGTACTTCTCCGGCGGCCCCACCGTGTCCACATAGACCTCGGCTATGTTGACACCCGCATCGATGGCCCGTTGGATGAGGCCCATTGCCGAGTCCATGGAGACCTCGTTGAGGGAGCACTTCGACCTTCGGTACATGCTGGTGCTGATGGTGTTCGGCGATATGATCTCCACGGCCCAGCCCACGCAGCTGGTGGCGTAATCCTTGGTGTTGATGTCGTTGAAGATCACATCCCGCTTCTCCTCGGTCAGCTGCTTGGAGTCGGCGCATCCCAGGTCCTCGAGAGCCTTCTTGCTGTCCAGCGGGCAGTAGGAGATGCCGTACACCATGGGTCCCAGCACAGGACCTCGCCCCGCCTCGTCCACGCCCAGCATGCAGGGTTTATCCTTGCAAATATCGGGAACATCGCTCAGGTAGATCGTATTCCTGCTGTTTTCTTTACTGGCTATAAAGGGGCCTAAGCTCTTCAAGGAGGTGATCTTGTCTGTGATGTCTTTATCATCGGGCTTTTCGTCCTTCTCATCTGTATCCTCTATGGTCTGGTTTTCCTGCTTTATTTCTATATCTTCTTGGTCCGACATTTTGCGCGCCTTTTATATTGTTTACAATTATTTAAAGCTACGGGCACACTAATTGCTCACTAGTGTTTTCAGAGTGACCGTTTCTGAGAAGGTATTAGGGATATTTCAAAATTTTAATATATCGATATTTTTGAAAAAAAAATAAATATTTATATCGTGATATTTTTTAAAATAGCAACAAAGTGACATTTAAATTCGATATATCAAGGGAAAACAAGAAGGGAAGTTAACTTCGGCTCGAAGTTTATATACTCTTGCAGGTTTGCCTTCTTAAAATGTTGGTTTTGCAATGTCAAAAATCAAAACGCCTACTTTCTATAATGTTTGTTCTATTATTTTTTTGATGGCTCCTATGGGAGCCATAAGATATAGTGTTCCGATCCGGCTCGTTCCGACATATGTACTACCTGCAATAGAAATAAGACTTTTGGGAAAGTTTTATCGCGATATCTTCAAAACTGAGAGACTAGTTCGCATAGAAACGGAAAGACGGACAGACGGACATGGCTAGATAGACTCGGCTATTGGTGCTGATCAAGAATATATATACTTTATGTGGTCGGAAACGTTTCCTTATTATTATAATATTATAATTATAATACCCTCTGCAAGGGTATAAAAATATCACGATATCAATAATTATTTTTATTAAAAAATAAAAATATATATCGATATTTTGATATATTTTTCACATCTCTATCGCGCATCTCTATTTTTCCCTCTTTCCTGTTTAGGATTTTGACCGAACGCGTGCTTGTTCTCGTCCGAGCTAAGGCCATTTGTTATAAACAATTAATTTTTGGCAACTTGCACAAACAGTGATTAACCACAGCACTCCAACATGTCCACCAAAGCCGAGCTCGCCTGCGTCTACGCTTCCCTCATCCTGGTCGATGACGATGTTGCCGTCACTGTGAGTTTGGTTTTTCAAATTTAGGGACTCTGCAAATCCTCCAAAGCCCGAGCCATCGGACTGGGATTCTGGATGATTTGCTGCTGCTCCTGTGTATTTAGTACCCCAAATCCATGTGCTAATGTTATTTCTTAAATTCTCCAAAACAGGGCGAGAAGATCAACACCATCCTGAAGGCCGCCAACGTCGAGGTGGAGCCCTACTGGCCCGGCCTCTTCGCCAAGGCCCTGGAGGGCATCAACGTCAAGGACCTGATCACCAACATCGGATCCGGAGTCGGTGCCGCCCCCGCCGGAGGCGCTGCCCCCGCTGCCGCCGCCGCCGCTCCAGCCGCCGAGTCGAAGAAGGAGGACAAGAAGAAGGAGGAGGAGTCCGACCAGTCCGACGACGACATGGGCTTCGGTCTGTTCGACTAAGCGTCCTCTAGAGACTCATCTGCCGCCCGACAACCTAACATCCGTTGTGTGTTTGTGCTCTAATCCTCGAGAGAGGCGAACGTGCGCCGTGTTTCCCGACCTGCGTACACGTTTTAATGTACAAATTCGAGGAAATATAGAAGACGTTTGCTAGAAATCAAGTGTTTATATTGGTTACTTAAGGGTAGGGCTTCGAAATTAGTTGTGTTCGTCGGTAAACCTATGAGTTCATGTTAACCAAGCGGAGGTATTGATGGATTATTGTTTGGAGTACTCGGGGTCTCCGATATTTGGGTGAATTTGGATGCTATCCGTTTTACAGAGAAGATTCTAAGATACAACAATTTTAAATTTAAAAGTTTTTTTAAATGTTTTCCTTTAAAAGCGAATAAACTAGTTGATATTTTTGTAATTTCGGCTAGATATTCAGTTTTATGACAAAGTTTCTAGATAACCAATTGGAAAATATCAAGATTTTTGTTCATTTTTATAAGACAATTTTTATTATTCGAAAGGATGACAGAAGTAACTAATAAACCTTTAAACTACATAAACTGGTAGATATCAAGTTCACATCTACTATTAAAAGCACAGTTAACATTTCATTTCAGTTTTGTGAAGATTTGCCTAAATATGAAGTGATTTAAAGACCAATTGGATATGAAAATATCGCAAATTAAGTTCCATTTCTTAGCAAAAAAAGGATGAATATTAGAAAACACAAATAGAGGCTTAACAAATATTACTTTTATTACAAAAACTGTCATACAGCTGCTATTTATTAGTTAAGGATAACGTGGACTAGAAGACATTCTTCTCGAGAACCGCGGCCAGGGCCTTCAGATGGGGTCCGTCAATTGTTTTGAGGCCCAGTCCCACCACAAAGTCCGTGGGGCACTTGTGGAGCCCGGTTCTGTTGACCAAAAACTGGATGGCGCTGCGCACCTCGTCGGTATCCAAACCCAAGCAGCAATTCATGGTGATGGGCACCGAAACATGGAACTCCGGGTTGTCCACGGGCCCGTGGATATACGGAATCACCCGCTCGTCCCGCGAGACGTCGAACTGCACATTGTAGATGCCGGGAATCTTGCCCAGCTGCGTGATGACCAGGAACCACTTGTTGGCGAAGCCATGGAACACGATCTCCGTGGGCACGCCATTCACTTCCGCCGAGAACTGCCTGTCGAAGCCGATTTCCTGGGGTTTCTCTGCAGCGGGCGTCATTTTTGGGCGAAAATTCTACAATTTTAAATTATTTCGTCGTCATTGTCCAAACCTATCGGTAGATATCGAATATATAATATGATATATATATTCCCCTAAAAAATCCCAGTTCAAACCCTTTTATTCCAACAGAGGGCGCTTGAAATTCATAATTATTATAAACAGCGCTCCCTAGCGGAAAATACGGATTTCGATACAATCGATTAATATAATATATTATTCTATCGGATTTAAATTTAAACGGATTTTTAGAATTAACTTGGAAATCAGTAATCTCATTTAACTTTAAACCTTTTTTTTCATTTATAGTTTAGTATTAGTTACATTAAAAAAATTAAATGAATTCTGTTCCACCTTTTATTGCAACTCCTATCGGTTTCCAAGACTACTGACTTTGTTGAATCCATACCTTCCATACCCTATAAAGTAAGTAACACGAGAAATGACCTCCTGCATTTGCCTTGGCCCGAAAAGAGCGGGTAAAACGCACCTGCTGAAAGCTCTACAGGATCCAGATTCCATCGACGAGACCACGTTTTCCATGCCCACCATAGGAACTGGGATCTATCGCATCCATTTCCCCACAAAGTCGCCAAGTGGGGATAAAAATAGGCCCCCTCCGGCAGACACGCAGGTTAATATACCGCATGGGGGGAAGAATCTGCCCAAATCCATACAGATCCTTGAGATCGGAGGAAGTATGGCTCCCTTGTGGCGGCAATATTTCGAGGATGTCAAAAAGCTGATTTACGTGGTGGACACCTCTAATCTCTGCCAGATTTCCGCCGCCGGTGTTCTTTTCTATTCAATACTCACCGAACCGCGTTTGCAGTAAGTAGGGCTAAAAGCTAGCTGCAAATTGATGATTTATTAATTTACTTTAAGGAACAATACTAAGATCCTGCTGGTTTTGGCCAAAATGGACTACTCCTACCGCCAGATGCGAAACGAGGCGCTGCTCATGCTGCAGATGTCCAAGTTGCAGAAGCAGATCCGCCAGCAGGTGACCATCGTGGAGGCCAGCGCAGTCTCCAAAGTCGGTCTGGATACCATTTACGATTGGCTGCAAAGACCCTAATAAAAATATACGTTTTTATGCACCCAAAAAAATTGAAATGAAACGATGATCGAATTGACGTTATGTGGTATCAAATTTGACTGGATACGCTCGAAATGTAAGCAACAGGCCAGTTCGAATTTCGAATATGTCTTTCTCGCTCCCACTCATGTAACCTGCGCTGTCTCACTCTCCGAGAAAGAGATTTCGGTAAAAACTATGCGTATGCAATACCAGAAATTTACCATGGGCATATCAATTTGACTGCTACGTGTTTTTTGTGTTTAATTTTTAATTTCCGATTAAAATTTATTAAAAATAATAAATGCAGGTGGATTTTTTTTAAATTATAATATATTTGGTTGGTGTTTAAATACTTTTCAGGAATATTAAACCAATTTTCCCATGATTAATTTCCAGGAAATGGCGTTGGGCAAATAATTAGTTATATTACCTACAAGGGCATTTAACTTTTAATGATTACAACTCGCATTGGAAATAGAATGCCAGGTAGATTAAGATACACAGGGTGGTCTAGCCAGATTCTTCCAACAGGGTGACTTCACAGGGACAAGAACAGGCGCACTACGAAACCAATTAATGTTTTGACCGACGAGGTTTCCATGGCAATCACTTCGTACCCAAACCGAACCGGAAGACCCTTTCCATATGGCGCACATATACCTGCCAGTCGGTCGATACAAGAAACCGCACCGGCGGAGGAATCCACAAATTAAGTCCCGTGGAAAAGAGGTAGGCGGGAGGTACAAATTATGGGCATAGAAAAATTAGATGGCATGCAGACGAGCCAGAAGAAGAACTAAGACCAGATTCGAGTCCACAAGAATCCCAAGCAGGAGGAGGAGGAGGAGGAGGAGGAGCAGGGTAAGGGGGCCATGGACAAGAAGAAGAATCGCAGGAAGCAGCAGCCACATTCCTGATCTGCCCCTGGATTTCGAGGTCTTCGGGGGGCAGAGGAATGACACGCATCCGGTTTTAAAATTCCAGCGATCGAAGCGCAGCAAGAGAACCCGAAAAAAAGGAACCAAGCCAAGGAATTCAAACACTTGAATCGGACACAGATACACAATGCACTAGGAAAAACTTTCAGTTTGTTTAAAGGATCTTAAAATTAAAACAAAAAAAATAAAAAGAAAAAAACTTTTTTTTAAGTTTTTATATTCTGTGTTTTGTGAGTGATTTACCAAGCTTTTGTATACAAAGTGTTTTGAAAAAATTTTCATTTTGTTTAAAAAAAACTTAAAATTAGACAAACTTTTTTTTTTTCTTTTTTTTTGTGGGTGATTTATCAATCACTAATGTTACTAATCAACTCATCAAACATAAATAATTTTCAGGTGAAATATACATATAATATTTTAAGGAACACCAAAATTTCTTGCAGTGTGACAGCTGAAAGCGAAGGACGCGTATCGATGGCGACGACGACTTTGGCGTCTCTGGAGCTGGACTATTTCAGGGCGGTGTCCCTCTACCGCCGCCGCTCCTACGAGCGATGTGCGGAGCTGTGCAACGCGCTCCTGCAGGCCGGTCACGATGGCCATGTCCAACTGTTTGCCACCAAGGAGGAGGAGGAGGTGGTGGATCCGAAGCAGCAGCAGGCGGAGCACAGCAGATTCGGTAGCAATTTGCAGCGCATTGGCCCCAGGCCAAGAGGAGCAGCTGGGGCAGCTGGGACGGACTCTGGATCCTCATCCATCATGATGCCCACTTGGCTGATGGAGGGCGTGTGGCAATTAAAGATGCGCGCCCTGACGCAGCGCGTCTACCTGGACGATCTGGAGGACGAGGCCGGGGACGATGAGGGTGAGTGGGTGACAAATTTGGCAGTCTAAATAAAAAAAAAATAAAATCAATATCCATTGGATAAAATAATTTAGTTTTTTAACAAAATCAAACGCGAATTCTTCAGAACAAGAGAATTAACCATTAAAACCATGAACTCTTTAATAAAATGAGAACGCGAATTCTTCAGATGAAGCCAAACCGAACCAATATTTACCACACTGATATTTTTGATGGATTTTCTTTTGTCAAAATAATATTAATTAATATTAGCTTAATATTTCTAGCACCACTTTATGTTTGATATATCAAGTTTTTCCCTCAAGTGTAACAACTTTTTAATTGTTTCAGCCACCGAGGAGGTGGAGTTCGAGCGCATAGCCACCGCTGCCCGGCCGGGAAGCAGCATAAAGACCGCCTTCCAGCCACGCCCCCTTACCAGTCAGAGGGCGCAGCAGGCGAGGAGCCGGGGCTCCGGGGTGGCCCACTCCAGCGATGGTCGCCTGAACAGCTCCAGGCCAGGATCGGCGGCAGTGGCTCGTCCGGGCACCAGTCTCAGTCGACCGGGATCCTCGCTGGGCTCCCGTTGCGGCACCGCCTCAAGAATTCGCGCCACCTCGGCGGCGGCCTTCAATGTGGGCGATGCCACCGCGAAACTCTACCAGGCCTCCCGACTCAATCCCACCATATACGCCGAGCGGGAGACCCTGGTGAAGGCACTCTTTCAGTTCCTCTACTACCACGAAGCGGATGTCCAGAAGGCCCATTCGCTGTGCCAGGCGGTGCTCGAGGCTCAGCGCCAGAAGCCCAGCGGATCGGGTGGCTCCACTTTGTCCTGGTGGTGGCAACAGCAGATGGGTCGCTGCCTCCTGGCCCTCCACTATCCGCGCCGAGCTGAGCCCTTTCTGCAGCAATCCCTGGCCAGCTTTCCCCATCCGGACACCTATCTACTCCTGTCCAGGGTTTACCAGAGAATAAAGCAGCCCGAGAAGGCTTTGTTCGTGATTGGCGAAGTGGTGGACTCGCGACCCTTCGATGTCACCTACCGCCTGGAGCAGGCGAGGATCCACCAGGCCATGGAGCAGCAGGAGGATGCCCTGCAGCTCTATCGACTGGTGGCCAAGCTGCAGCCAATCAACGTGGAATCTCTGGCCAGCATTGCCGTGGGCTACTTCTACGACAATAATCCAGAAATGGCGGTGAGTGTGGGATATAGTGGTGATATTTATCATACTGATGGGTTTCTTATATCCCTAGCTGATGTACTACCGCAGAATCTTGTCCTTGGGAGCCCAGTCGGCGGAGCTCTACTGCAACATTGCCTTGTGCTGTCTATATGGTGGTCAAATCGATTTGGTTCTACCCTGTTTCCAAAGAGCCTTGGCCATGGCCACTCAACCCGCGCAGAAGGCGGACATTTGGTACAACCTCAGCTTTGTGGCGGTGGTAAGTGGGGTTATAGAACAAATGAACGTTAAAAATGTCTAAAAGTATGCAACAATATTTTTGTATGTTATTTTGCATTATACTTTTTGACACCTTAATAGGTGATTTAAAAATTCGAGTGATACAACGGACAGATTTTATTTTTTAGTGCTTATTTCATCATTAAATAAATTTAAAATTTTGTGTATAATCCTTAAAGAGTGAGAAAATTGCACATAAAAATCTAGGTGTGCAACAATATATTTTGAAACCAAATGGAAAAATTATTTTCTCGAAAAATAAAGTTTATTTTTTCATAGCATACTTTCAGACAGCTTTATAAGTGATTTCAAAATCTATTTTATTGTGTTTTTGATAATTTAAGTAATTTAAAATGTCTTTATTGCAGACTTCTGGTGACTTTAACCTGGCCAGAAGGTGTCTTCAGTTGTGCCTCACTTCGGATGCCCAGAACGGCGCTGCCCTCAATAACTTGGCTGTGTTGGCTGCCCAGTCTGGTGATATTTTGGGGGCCAAGTCCTATCTGAATGCAGCCAAGGATGTGATGCCCGAAGCTACGGAGGTTGCCACTAATTTGCAGTTTATGGATGTGCACTACAAGCTATAAATGTAAAGTTAATAAAATGAATATTTAACAGTTGCTTATCAAATTTGCCTGTCGAGTGAGAAATTGCGGGTCTTAAGTGCCAAATACTTCATTATTGTACTCGATGAATGACTTTCGTTTTCTTTTCATACGGTCAATGCAAAGTGATTCATGTTTCGAAATACCGTATACCTTAGACCCCAGAAGAGCACCCACTCTAACCATTTCAATTAGCGGACTCAGCAGAACAGCTACGGCAAATGTTGTGCAAAAATCCAACGAAGAATCGAGGAGTTTGTGGAATCATTATGCCATTCGTCAGGTGTTCGGGTCAGCAAATCTGCTGATGCTGGACCCAAAGATCGGTGGCTTCTGGCGGGGAGTGTCCCAGTACCCTAGCCACTGGCCCAACAACTCCGCCTTCCCATTGTTTGGCTCGAACAAATGATAAGCACCAAATATTTGTTGATAAATGTTTGAAAATTAAATGAGCAACGTCCGACGACGACGACGACGCCGTTGAACTCATCGCGCTGGCATGCAAAAGCCAAATATTTATCAGCCTAGAAGGGGCTGTGGTCTATAGGAATATGGGAATACGGAGCCCCCCGTTCTACTTAGCTGGGGATTACACCGATCCCACGGTTCGGGGGCCAAGATGCTAATCGAAATTTGAATAACGCTCTCGAGCTTCCAGTTGTGCCAAAAAAAATCAAGAAAAAAACCTTACAGTTCACACACTCGGAAAAACAATAAATTCCATGAATTATAGATGTGTGTGTCTTCTAAACGGACACAAAACTTGAAGATGCAAATTAGACCTATAAATAGGTATAGCTTAAACCCAAATTCCGAGATCATTTGGTAGCTCATAATGCAGATCAGTAGATTGTTGTGCTATTTATGATATTGTTTATATAAAATAACATATCGCATATTTTAATAATGAATATAAGATGTTTGTTTTTCTGATTTTTAACCAGATATCACTACAACTTATCCCAAATAGTATTCGCAGAATGATTTACTATGTTTTTCGCGCAGCTTGTTTATTTTCTAATTTTAAATGCGAGTCCAGACACATTTTTTGTCGAGGTGTACATGTGTATCTGTGCCTACACATCTACCTGTATCTCTATCTCTATCTGTATCTGTATCTTGTATTTGCTCGTTTCCGTTTTCGAGGAGAGTTTCGTTTTCTTTTTGGCATTGAATTCGCGTTGACTGGGCTTATCAGCCTTTGGGCCGAAATGCGTCAGCGTTTGCGGGCACTTGACGGGCTTTTTACTTACTTTGTTTTTTTTTTTTATCACAGACATGGCAGCAAGTTGCAGCTCCACCTGAAGTCACCTGCCCCCCAATCGGAGTGACTAGTTAATCATTGGCGGATTCGCCTCGTCCGGCGAAGGCAGGTGCCTCCAAAGTGTCAAGATGATCTCGTAACGCGACTCTCAATTAGCCGGCCACACCTGACAGCTGCAGATTGAGCTGTGAGTTGAGTTGAGTTGAGAAAGATATTTCGCCGGGGCTCCAGATACTCCAGATACGCTTCCCCCCGTCTCACGGGAACCTCCTTTCCCCGGCTTTTAAATATTTGTGGAGCACGAGGTGAACTAAAAAAATATTCCAAGTTTTTTCAGTTGTAACTTTTTAAATTAACTTTATCAAAAACAAGAGAAAACGCTATAGTAGAGAACTTTGACTATTCGATTAAAGGGAGATGGAAATACGCAATCATCAAAGCTACTGGCGCCATCTAGAGGCTGTTGAAATTTATTATGGCTGATCGTGCGGGCAATTAATTTTTTGCTCAAAACTTTTTAATGGTTTGTTTGATTTTAAAAATTTCTTTTAAATTTTGATAGGTATTAGTCTAGTATTAGTCCGGGTATAATAAAGAAAAGAACAACTATACTTATAGAGGTGATCTCAGATACCATAAAGTATAATCATACCTAGAGATTTTTTATCGGTTGCAATGATGTATCATGTGTGAAATTATATACATATAGAAACATACCTTACCCTCCTCACACGACTCTGTTTGAACAAGTGTTTTTTCTGCGGTTTATTTCTATTTCTGCCTAAAACTGTGTTACCATAATAATAACCCCCCCGATTCCTTTGCTTGCCTTTCACCCATGGGAACCAAAGGCATTACCGTGAATCCATTGATGGGAGGAATCGCGGAGGAATCGATGTCTAGGTTTGTTGTGGGTAGACCGCAAGAGCAAAAAGCACCATCATCTTCTCCGGCTGACATGGAGATGCAGCTCGGATGCCCCGGTTTCCCCGCTTACCCACCTTTCCCCTTGAAATCCCTCGATCCTGGGCAGCCCATATAAAAGCTCATTAAAAGCATAAAAAAAGAGCAGCCAGGCAAACGGAGGCAAAGCAGCAGCTACTGTACGGACCTTGGTTGATTTTGTCGATTTTTAGCGGCCATATAAACCCCCCAACACCCCTTGCTCCCTCCTGGTTCCCGGGAAAGAAATCTCCTCCGAAGGAGGAAAAGCAAAAGAAAGACCAAAACAGGTAAGTCAACAACAACCAAACAATTTACACACAGGAAAAAAATGAAGGAGTTTGGAAGGTTTAAATTTAAAGAATTAGAATTTATACATTTATGTATTATTAAATTCGAAGGTTATAGTCACCAGCACTAATTAATATTATATTTCATGTGTAAATTTAAAAAAAAACAAGAGAGAACGCTATAGTCGGGTGCCCCGACTATCAGATACCCGTTACTCAGCTAAAGGGAGTGCGAAGGAGATGGAGAAAAACTTTGATCCGCCGTAACTTTTTAACGAATGGTCCGATTTAAAAAATTTCTTCTACATTTCGATAGGTATTGATAAACACAATAAAACTGCACTTTTACTTTTCCAAAATATTGAAATTTTTAAAATCGTATATTAGCGATTGTGGGCGTTAGAGGGGGCGTGGCACCCTTTTGAAACAAACTTGCGCTGCGTAGGAACTCCTAGAGTCTGCATGCAAAATGTCAATCTTCTAGCTTTTATAGTTTCCGAGATCTCAGCGTTCATACAGACAGACAGACAGACAGACAGACAGACAGACAGACAGACGGACAGACAGACGGACAGACGGACATGGCTAGATCGACTCGGCTAGTGATCCTGATCAAGAATATATATACTTTATGGGGTCGGAAACGCTTCCTTCTAGCTGTTACATACTTTTGCACGAATCTAATATACCCTTTTACTCTACGAGTAACGGGTATAATAAATTATTAGATTAAACTTTTATCTGTTTACCTCTATGAATGCTAAAGGACTCTTTTTTACTTCATATTTTCAAGTGTTTTTATGAAAATGATTTTCTACACAAGGATTCTGAGAAAAGGACTTCAAAAATGGAAATAACCTAAATAAAAGTTGGCTATTACACCTCTTCTTTAAATCTTGGTTGTTTTATACATATTTGATGTATCTTATCATAATTTTTTATTAGCATATTACATTATCATATTGATATTTTCTCAGTGCATACATCCGTTCGAGATGCGCACGCGCGACGTTGACGTCGACGTCCTCGGCAGCGTTGGGTTGCCTTAATAGTGTGTGTGTTTTGTTTCCTTTTTTTGGGGGCCTTGGGGCCTTGGCAGCCTCGAATCTCGTGCCTCGTGTTGCTCTTCTTCTTGCTGTTAGCCGGTATTTACAGGGTATCTGAACAGGGATTTATGGTGTGTACATGGGATACACAAGGTAATTAAGGTTTACAGGGTTCTAAACGAATATCTTCAATAAGTTAAAGTTCAGTTTCAGCTTAAATAAAATTAAGAGAAGATTTCTTTACAAATTCTCCGAATTCTATCCTTAAAATTACCTAGTATCTTCAGGTCGAGCTCTTTACTGAGTGTTGTTGCTGCTGCTGCGGCTGTTGATGATGATGATGACGATGCTAAAGATTGCAATCACGTTGCGCGCAGCGTACAGAATTTGTATCTGCAAGATACATCTGCGACTCCTCGAACCCCTGCTCCCTGAATTTCATTTCACTGGAATTTATTTAGAACACATTGTTGCTGCTGCCGTTGGATGTTGTATGTTGCTGTTGCGCTGCTGCTGCTGCTGTTGTTGCGGCAATACAGCAGCAACATGCTGCATTCCAAGGCCCAAAAAAGGCAAATCCCAAGCTACAGCGGCAGCAAAATCGATTGGCAGCCTGAAATTTCATTGCAGTTTAGTCGGATTCGGATTCGGACTCGGATTCGGATCCCCGATCGCTAACTGAAAATCCAAAAGAGAGAGAGGAGAGAGAAAAGATCGGTTCGAATAAATTGAATCGAATCGAATTGAATCGAATGAGATGCCAAAGAGTCGCGATGCCGATGCCGACTGGAAATGGAGTGAAAGTAGGGTAGGCAGATTAGACTCTTTGGATTGGATCGGTAAATGTTCGCTAGACGAACAGTGGGGGATATTTTTTAAAATTTCTTTCAGTGCACAGTATTCCACAGTCAAAGGTCAAAGTTGAGACCCTCGCCCATTCAAGTAACCCCTCCCCATATACCCCTCCCCCACTTTTTTTTTCTGGTAAATTCCAACGATCCGAATAGGAAGTGAGTTAGTGTAACAAAGGTAATAAAAATAAAAATACCTGGGACAGAAGGTACGACCGATCGATCGATCGATGATGGCCCGAGCACGAAGTGGTGAAAGAGGGGCTCTCCATTAACATTATCGTGGCCAGCAGAAATATTTGACCATAATAAAAAGAATACAAAGCAAAGCGAATCGAATCGAGCAGCGAATCGAAGCGGAAACCTAATCGTCAACTCATCGAAGCCTACGATACCGATACCCTCGAGATCGGTAGTGATAAGAATATAAGCGAGTTCATGCTCAGGACTTGATTCTGTTATGCTAAGTATTTTATTATCTTAAATATGTATTATCGAATTGTAAAAATAATTATTATACAATTGCATATTCAAAACTTCCTCATATCCTATCTTACTTATCTTACTTATACATTAAATATCTTAAAAATATACTATCGCATTTCTACGAGCTGGAGTTTGGAATCTGAGCTTAAGAAGTAAATAGTCTTAAAGATACTTAACATAGTAGATAATAATTCTGGATCCAAGCTATAGTAAGCTTTAGTCACCAACAGAAAGGGTAGAAAGTATGCGACAATCGGTGATATCGACGAACCATCGACAGCAATGAAGCGTAACGAAAACACACCAGAATAAAAACAGAAAACAGCAACACATACACTTCCACTCGGAGGGTTTGGTACCCGCGTCATATGCCAACTTATTCAATAAATTCCTGGCCTCCTCGCCATATCATCATCGCCAGCGACTCTTCGAAAACCAAAAAAGCCCCAGGAATTTTGAATAGAAAGAGGATCAATGGCAGCTGCTCTCCGCTGAAAGATCACCTCGCCAAAAAAAAGAAACAAAAAATTGCGCGCCAATTCCGAAAAAGAGATTCTGGACCCGGAGACTGAAATCGACTTCAAGGAATTGCATAAAACATTTTTGCTCATTTCTTGTATTTTTTTCTGTTTTTTTTTAGTTCTCCTCGCTGCGGTCGAAACTTCGGCCTCGACCAGGCTCCAAACACATACATACAAAACGTATATCTACACAATATTGACCAAGAACGTAGCGCCCAAAAGGCAGCTTACAGCAACAACAACAACCGGTCTTAGAGAACCAGCGATCGACCAAAGACGAAAGAATAACGAACAGCAAAGAAAAAAAAAGAATGAAAACAAGAATGAAAAGCTGGGCTTTAAGAAGTCGAAGATGGAAGTACTCTATGCCTTTTCGGAGTGGTTCGGGCTTATCCTATCAGGATAATCGGACCTATGCCTTTTCAGAGTGGTTCAGGCTTATCGTATCAAGATAATCGGACAACCTAAAACTATTTCAAATTTTCAAAATTTTTTAGGTATTTTTATTATTTGTTTATTTTATATTATCATGGGACCAAGTTCACTCGAAAAAATCAAAGGCTATGTGGCGAGTTCCCATCGCTACCCCGCCACCCCGGAATGTCCCGCTCCAAAAAGCCGCCGCCTTCCCTGACTTCAGTCAACAAGTTATGACCATGGCAAGACGACCCGACCCCCGACCCGTCAAGAACGTGCTCTCTCTGTTCTCAGTTCTCAACTCTCCGGTTCCGAGTCTTACTCCCAGTTCTTGTGGCCAAGACTCCAAGAGCGTAGTCAGTTCTGGACACAAGGGGGGTCAAAAAATGAAAACTCTTTTAAGATTTAGCTACTTAAAAGTTTGAAAAGTTTAAAATTAAAAAAAAATAAAAAAAAAATTTGTTTTTTCTTTCCAGGGCATTGAAATCCTTTAGGTTCCTGACTAGACCCCTGATTCCTCCCCTTGTTCCCCGCCCCTTTTGTGGGGCGTGTGTATGCCGCATATTTGAAGCATATAAAGGAAGAAGAGGAGGAGGAGGAGGCTGAAGAAGGAAAAAAGGAAAACAAAACCGACGAAAAAAGAATTTCGAGTGCAAGCGAGAGAGAGCGAGAGCAAAAAGAATCCAGCAAATCAAGCTCACATTATGCTGAGGAATGCGCCCAAGTGACGATATCGTAGCAGCAGAGGACGCCGGCCGAGGCAGAGGCAGCAGACCCTCAAGATCCGATTCTCCCCGCCCTCCTCTTCCATCTGCTATCTATGTATCTCTGGGGTTCTGTCCAGGGAGTTTGTTTGTCAGATAGCCGCATCAATAGTGAGCGAAGGGATACTGAAAGTTAGATTTGAATTCAACAGGCCATCAAGGGTTCTATGATCCGGAATATAATAAACCTTTTTTGCAAGTTTGTGGGAAAAGTCAAATTTTCTAAGCTTACTTACTAGTATATTACCAAGTATATGTCCCTTTTGGCTGCCTTTCTTGTTATTACAGGTCTTTGAAAAAGGTAATATTTTTAGGTGATTACCTTACGAAAAGTGAACTAACCAAAATAGACTGAAAATTAATTTTAGATGGTTCACAAATCAAGATATTGGTTTTTTCTTTATATTGGATCTTTCTGATATACTTTAAAATCTATAAGTTTCACATAGTTCCATATCAGCTCTTAAGAATCGATGGATCTTGTCCGAATTCTCCTGAGATAATCTATGGAACCCCTATATGAACTATCTACTTTAACAGGGTATCCTGGGTATTCAAGCCCTTGAGAATCGCTGGCTCCATGGTTTTGTTCCTGAAGGGTTCCACATTCCAGTGGCTGCGGCTGCCCCCTTCCCAAGCCAAAACCCCTCCCCCAATCGCTCCTTCGTCTTCTCGCGAGATAAACCATTGGAATTCCACTCACTCTCAAAATGACACACACACAAAGGCAGTTGGCTACTGGGATTCTCCTTTGAAGTTTATTTTTCTTTTATTGCTCATTGCTATTTACATTTTTCGTGGCTGTTGTTGTTGCTCTTGGATTTGTGTTTTTTTTTTTTTTTTTTGAGATAGGGGCCATAGATGTAACTGTAACTGTGTGCGAGTTTTTTCTGTTTTTTTATTTTTTAATTTTGAGCCGATCTCTCTCTCTTTCGCTCACATTCCAATCTCAAATCTCGGATACAATACTATTCAGATACAGAAACTCTCTTCGGGCTCTCTCTAGTCGCTCTCTCTCTCTCTCGCTCACTTGAATCCAAACAAAGTACTATGGGCAAAGGAGTATATTTTTCTAGACAATTTTAGTTAATACTTTGTAAAACAGATATCTTCGCATATATCGGATCTGAAGGAATAGAGATTTTCCTTCAAAAATACTTTTACTTTATTCTTTATATGCATCTTTATAATATTGTCTTGTAGTATTTAATTTGTTTATTTTTTAGTCTATATAAAAACATAATTATTAATTTTATAAAATAATGTAAGCATTCCTTAAAAAGGAATGTTTTTCTTATCTATAAATCCTAATTTTCTTTGACCACAAATGTTGCTCATTCGCCCCATTGTGCCATCCGCGCTCGGCTCGGCTTCGTTTCGTTTAAAAAATCTATTTAAGCAACCTCGCTCGCTCAGTCTCTCGATCTTCCAGCAGCGCGATTGTTGCGTCCGTGTCTTTCGGATTTCGGTCTTCGGTTTTCGGTGCTTGGGTTGCAGTGACAAAATCAGTAGGGGAATATCACTGAACGTCGACGGTAACCGAGAGTGGATCGCCGGGATGTGGAAAAGCATGTGGTTTTCACACTAGGAATTATGAATACGGCTTACTAAATTCACTCGAATTCCGAAACTTTCGGAAAAGTTGATCTGCAGATTTCAATTGCATACGCACACACACCATCGCGCGCCAGATACGGATGCACACACACACACGCCGACAGAGATACACAGATACAGTGGCTTAAAAGTGAAGTTCGGTTTTCACTGAAACAAAAAACAGCGCGTTTCGTTTTCGCACTCGCTTAAATTACAAAAAAAACGTGATTTTTGTGTTGGTGCTGGTGCAACTAGTGCTGTTTATTCGGGGAAACGCGCCTTAAAACCACGAAAATAACTCCGACTAGCAGTGAAAAAAAGCTGAAACTCCAAAAAGTTGGTGCTGGTCAAAAAAAAAGTATAAAAAATCCAGCTACAACAACAACTGGCCACTGGAAACTACAACTACAACTACAAAAAATAAAGCAGGCAGCAAAAAAACAAAAACAACAACCCAGCAAACGGCATTCTTTCGCGCAACAACAACGACTCCAAAGAGAGAGAGAGAGCAAACACAGATACTCACATTGGATTGCTGTGTGTGTTGGTGAATTTTGATTAAAGTGTGCGCTCTCCCTCTCCCACACTCGGCCCCCTCCCCTCAACCGCCCCACCCCCCGCCCCCCCGCCATACAACGACGCTGGAATGCGGCCCGTTCGCTGTTGACTGCGCAGTCGCAGCGCGCGTCGTGGAAGAGGTCAGAAAATAACAACAACGAAACGACAAAATTTTACTGTTAGGCATTTATCGATAGCCAAAATCGATAGAAATTGTTCAAAAGTGTGAGCTAAAAAATCAAAACTACCATTGAAAACTCAGTTATTGTGGATTACGCGAAACAGAAACAACAAACAGCAACAACAATGCCGACAACTGCAGCGGCTTAAGGTAAGAAAGGGAAAGATATATATAAAGTATATAGTATAACCCTTATGGGGCCCATTTCCCCGGAATTTTAATGACTCCCCGAAAACGGCAAACAAAACAAATGCCAGCGAATTTCTTATCTGCCAACCATAAAATCGCCAACGTCCAACGATTGTTTAACTTTTCGTTGTTGTCGCCACTTTTTTACGCCCCTCTAAGAGTCGAAAATCCAGCAAATTGTGCAATTAACCCATTTCGCCCCATGGAATATCAAATATCTGCGAAATTTGAGACTCTGCAAAGGCAATATTGGTATAGGGGAAGCTGTTTTGAGTTGATAAGGTTATAAGGTCATTTTGATATTATAAAGATCATTGACAAAAAGTAGTCTGTTTTGAGTTGAAAAGGTGATAAGGTCATTTTGATATTATGCAGATCACTTCAACATAAACTAGCCTTGGTACTCGAGCTTTAAAAGCTGAAAAATAGTTTTCCATTTAAATTTTGAACCACTTTTTCCATAGTTATAATCTCAAGTTCAAGTTCTAGTGGGTTAAGTACTCCTATTATCGGGGGGCAGTGCCTAAACTGTTGTCTGAAAACGATCGACAGCGCAGCAATTAAGTGGAAATTGAAGTCCCCGTTTATGGGGATATAGCTTTTATGTTGTTTGTCCCGGGTTTGGAATTTCAGTCGGCAGGCGAGAATCAGACATCTCGAATGTAAATCAGCTGCGGAAGATAAACAAATGACTGGAAACACACGCTTTGGGTATCGGACGACGATAAGCTTTAAGCGGTTAAACCTTAAACGCTAATCGTTAAACGGTTGTGCCACCAGGCAATTATACATATGGGTAACTGTATCTGCGGACAGACGTATCTATATCTCGCCCAGTACCCGTGTACGTAGTTGTAGTCTTGTGGTTTTTCGATTGAGCACAGACATCTACATCTCCATCTTTATTTCCAACTACAATCTACAGTATCTGAACATCCACATCCACAGCGCACTTGACCTCAGGCAATGGGCTTTTGCATTGAAACTGACAACGGCGACAACAATGATAATAAATACTTAAAATAATAATTTCGTAAACCCAAATTCCTGCACGCAGTCAATATGCGTACGTACATAAAGAGCCACAAGTGCGGTTGTTGTTCCGAACAATTCAAGCAATTAAAATGTACAACAAATTAAACAAATTTTGAATGACAATCGGAGTCGAGGCTGGCACAGAGATATTATAGAGATATAGATATAGCGCTGCGTTGCCGGTTCATTCAGTCGGGGATAGACTAATGAATGACCTTTAAGGGGGCACTCGAGTTCGGGGAATTATAGCTTCGAATTTCACGCTGTCTTGAACTTATCTTTATAGAGTTTTGACAAACATGTTATTTAGAAAGAGGCGAAAATTTGAAAGCCTGATTGTTGCATATATTGATGGAAAGAAATATGGCAGCTATAAACTTTAAACAACTATAAAATAAATCAATGCTGATCTTTTATGCGATCTGGGCTTCTGATATGCCAGATTTTATACTTCAACAGGTTTTGATGGACTCTACACAAAAATAGAACACCTAAAGATGAATCCTGTTAAATATTTATGATAGTAGCATGGTTTTAATTTGAATTTTATGGAGAAAAATATGAGGGGTTTATCAATCTCAAGATCTGCATTACGGTAATTTGAATTGGAACTCAAATATTCTTAAGTACTTTGGATTTATTCTTTGGTACTCGGGGTCTGAGTTAAAAAGGTTCTTCAATCTCAAAGTCTGCATTACGGTAATTTGAATTGGAATTCTTATAACCTTAAGTACTTTGGCTGTATATTTTGGTATTCGGGGTCTGAATTATAAAGGTTTTTCACCTGTTCTTTGTAATTTTTTGGGGTCTTCTTTATTAAACCAAAACTCCCTTAAAGCACTGCTATTTTTTCCAGGGTATTACGGCAGGCATAGTTTCGCACGCCTTCGATTTGGCATGCGGCACACGTTGCGGCTGCTTATTTTTTGTTTTATTTTTTTTCTGTGTCTTGCTGTTTGCTGCTCTCATTGCGGAGGCCATCGCCTCCTCCACCGTTACCACCTCCGCCCAGTTGGGCATTTTGCTTGAGCGGGGTGTGGTGCACAGTGGTGCGGAGTGGTTTTGAGTGGTTGAGAGTGGTGCCAAGTTAACTGAAGCCGAGCGACGACGACGTGTGCGCTGGTTTCTTTTGGCCCACTCCGCCCTGTTGGTTGCTCATCAAAACAACCAACCATCCAACCATTTTCATTATTATCATCGCCGGGGACATTTCACGCATTTCAAAGACACCAAATTGTTTGGCCATAACTGGCACAACAAGTGGAATTCCGTGGCTCGGAATTCGGCATTTGTTTCTCTTCGGCTTCCTCCTCTCATTTCTCATTTCTGATTTCGGATTTCTGTTTTCTCCTATTCGAAATTCGTAGTTTGGCAAAAAGACGCCGAGTTATTCGCCGATTTGATGGCACACTAAAACCCGCATATATGGAAAAACATCATAATAAAATTAGTTCCACATTGCTTTCATAATTGCTTGTGCTGGTAAAATATAAAATTTGTAATAATATTTACAATTCGATACAAATGCTAGTTAGTAAAACAATTGATGTAAAGATCATCATTAAGTCGGTTATATAAAGTAACCAATAATATTTAAAATTACAAAATTAGAACGCTAGCTATAAAGATGTATCATTAGGCTAGTTCTAACTAGCCAATTTTGGGGAACCTTTTCCCCCTTTAGTCAGAGATCGGCTGAGGCTAAACCCATTTGCGTGACGACACCCGACAGCCACACCCCTTTTTTTTTCTGTTTAAATGACACTTGTGCGCCCAGTTCTCGATGACGCGCATCCGCCGCGTTGGCCAGCGTGTGAAAATGCCACCAAACAGATTCGAACTGAACTATTTCTGGCCGCCCCATTGACGCCAGCTTTGCCGTTCTATCGGTAATTAAAAGGCCCAGACTCACGTAGAACCCGCTCCGGTTTTTTCAGTCTTTTCCATTCCGGTCTCGGTGGCGAGTCGGGCCAGGCAAACACTCATGAGCAAAATATTCCACGTCAAAAGTTACCGCTCGCCGTTCCGTTCCGATCCGATCCAATGCGATCCAATACGATGATCGTCATTCATTAGTTGGCGAGCTGAGAGCGCTCGAAACACTTTCAATAAAATGCGAATCCAGTTTGAGAGCCACTCGATACTCGAGCACTTAACTCGGACTCAAAAGATCGTCGCTTGGCGATTTCTTCTCGCAGAAGAGAGGTGAGGAATGCCGAAGAATCGCTCCGTGGAGTGGGTTGTGTGTGGGTTGTAGGGACTTCTCAGACGCTTTCGCTGGAGAGAATCTATGTATATATTATAGCTTAAGCGGAAGTTCAGAATGCAGGATCTATCGAAAGTATATCATAAGATATCCCAATTTAAGTTAACTAGTAAATAAAGATAAAATGTTGATGGGATAATACAAGTCTTATAAATATTATAAATAACCATAGGATTTTTTAAGATTCTTGATTGTTTCCCACACTTATTATATGCATAGTATAGATTGTTCTAATTTTCTCTCTAAGTTATGAGCTATCTTTCAGCTCAGTGATCCCTGAGATCTCTCTAGAATATAGAATCTAAAGTCTAGATCCAATTTGTTTCGCATTCCTCAATGCTCGCTTTTACGACCGTTTACGCTGCCATGTTTATTGATCTGCTCAATGCGCACTCGCATTCCGCGCTGAAATCCATATGGATATTTTCAATTTCTGATTCGTTCAGCATTTCAATGGGCCTGCACATGCGATTAAAGCGTTTATCGCTATAGAGTCTCGGCTCTATAGGTCTCGCGGTTCCGGCAACCCCAACCCCCAGCTCCCGGCAGTTCTTTGGACCCCTCTGAGGTCTTGGTTCCCAGCTCTCAGTTCTCAGTTCTCGGGGTCTGATCGATCGATCGATCGTTCGACTTTGGCGATTGTTGGAACTCGGTTGACAAACACACGCCCCGAATGAGCTCAGTGCAATGGCATGTGCAGTTGACATAGCAGTTGCTTATCCACAGGAAGAAAAGAGAAGTGTGTACAAATAGGTGTCGTTGTATTCTAAGAATTCTAAAAATATAATGGAACGTTTTTTATGACTTACAAAAGTCTGCTTGTTTTCTTTAAAAATAAATATAATAATACTTATATGTTAAACTTAAAAGTTGGGGCATTTTGGGGTTGAGTAGTATATTAATTCAATCTTAGTTAGTAATTCGAATTATTATAGAATTTCGGTTTCATTTTGAGGTTGACTATAATAACAATTAAATCTTAGTACGCATCTTCGAATCTTTGAAGAATTTCGTTTTCATTTTTAGGTTTCTACAATCTTTCTTTCTTTCTTCTACAATCTTTCCTTTTTATAAAGCGTGTATTTTATTTAGTAGTAAAATATTTTCTATCAATTCCCCTTAAGTTACTAAACTTTTTCCAGTGCTTTCTGCCTTTTAGTTGCTGTCGCAGCACAACGTGGCGTATGCGGAACGTCTCTGTTTCTCCACTTCTCAGCCGCTGACTTAATTCTCTGGCTTTTTGCTCTCTTTACCCCTTTGGCATTCGCTTAGCCAGCAGAAAAGCTGAAAAGCATTCACTGCTGGCGCTTGCGCCATTTAATTGACTTTGATCGCGGCAGAGCCCGTGAGATTTTATTGCCCCAGACCCCCTTCCCCCTCCCCTTTCCCTGCCTCTTTCACCCAGTTCTCCACGAATCTCCACCAGCGTCTGCATTCCAAGCTCTCTCGAACAGCCAACCCACTCGCAACGGAGCAACCGAACAACCAAACAACCGAACACACCACCCCCTGAACAACCTCGCCCCGCGCTTAATCATAAACAAAATATTTATTGCCATTTGCTAATTGCTGATTAGCGTGTCTCTTGCGCTCGCTCAGCTCCACTTGGCTCGCTTCTTTGCCGCGTTTTTTAATTGCCCACAACAGTGCACTGGGAGAAAAGTAGCTCGATATCACTTTTTACTAAAGCAGTGGCAGTTGCTGGAATTGCGTTGGTTCGAGTGATTTGCAGGGTGAAAGATTTAAATACTAAAATGCCTTTTTGTTGTATATTTTAACGCTAAAATCCGACAATCCATTAAAAAGTTATGAGCAAAAATGAAATGGCCGCTAGATGGAGCCAGTAGCTTTGACGACTGCATATCTCCTTCTCCCTCGCACTTTCTATAGTTTGAGTAACGGATATCTCTCTTGTTTAATAACATTTCGAATTAGTATATATGTTTTTCTCTCCGTGTATGCCCCCTCCTCACATTTGTCTTTAATAATTAGCGTCGCCACGGCTTTCTTTGCTTCCCGCTCTCATTAGCCAACGGAATGCGGATAATTTGCTATGATTGAAATTGTTAAATGCTTTTAATTTGTTTGCATTTCGAATTAAAAGCCCCCCTTTCGGTTGACTCATCCTCGAGGAAGTCGTGATCACACATATGTATTTTGTTTTCGGTTTTGGTTTTTGGCATTGGCGATTGCATAATGACCGGCATTGTGAGGAGCTCGCGGAATTCGAGAGAAATACTTGTGAGAGGTTTCGAGTCTTCAGCGAAATTATCGCCTCACTAACGTCGTGTACCCATTGATCAGGTCGTTCGATCAATCATTCCAACCCCACACCCATTACTTCCGGAGAAATCGCGCCTATCGAACAGGAGATCTGTTTGTCGTACATGAAAGATCATTTCGTTTAATCGTTCTTTCTCATTAAAGCTTCTAATTGTCTTCCTTTTATTGTTATCAAAATTGATAGGATGCCTTTGTCAAAGGCAATTTATTGTTTCCTTTTATTGTCGATGGGTAAATAACATGTTATTACATTTAAATGGCAAAGATAATTTCGCTGGAACTCGAGAAAAATAGTTTGTTTGCCTTACTTAATAATAAGGCACTCTATAATAATTAGAAAAATTCTATTAATTGATAAGGAAGCAGTATAAAATGTAGTATCACAGCATATACACCTTTCGAAACCCCAAAGTCTTGATCACTCACTCAACATCTGCGACTTGAGTGATCGCTTAATCCAGTTCCTCTTGAGAGCTCAACAATGCAGTGTTTTCATGTTTATCCGATAAATTCCTCGGTAATAAGTCAATCGCAGCACATTAGAGACCTGGAATTTCGATTCTCGTTTCGTAATCGTCGGTGATCTGGCATAAAGTGTGTCTGTTCGAGTCTGAGTCTCTGAGCCTGTTCTCCAGATCAACCTGGCTGGGTCCAAAGGTGCGCATGGAAATCGGCTTAAATATAATTGCTTTTCAAAATCTCTTGCTTTTGGAGAGGCCTTTAAAAAGCGGGGAGTTGTTTTGTTCCCAGATATTCTTTGGTTTCTAATTTATGTCAAATGTGCGCTTTGATTGATGATCGCTTTTCGGCGGATGGAGGGGCAGAGGCATTCCTTCCTTCGATGGGACCGATCGGATCATATATTTATAAGTCAGGGTCTGTCTCTCTCTCCACTCTCGACTCTTGACTCTGAATAAATTTATTGGACGTTGAAATTTATTAGACACAGAAAATGCGCCAATATTGAAATTTATGCGTCGTCTCCACCGGGTTGGTAGAAACCGCTGTTGAGTCGCCGCTGCCGGCGCTCTACACAAAAAAAGTTGATTTGATTCGATTTGATTATAATTTATGCATAAAATACTTTTCTTTCATCACGAGGCCAGTTTTGGTTGCTCTATCCCTCTCTCTCTCTATCTTTTGGAACTTTCTTTAACTGAATTTTAATAATTTTATGCGCAACGCATCGAGAGGGGGAGGGAGTTTGGCTGCCACGCACGCACCGCCTAGAGTCCCCAACTATTCACTATTCACTATTAACTATTCAGTTTTCTGTCCAAGTCCAAGACCAATATCCCCTGCCCGCTAATCAAGTTTGTCGCCTAAGTCTTTCGTTATTGATTGGTGAAATTGTTCGGCAGTCGGTGAGCCCAAAAGAGGCGGGCGCCATCGCCATCGCCATCTTCCGCCTCCCATCTCTCGTCTCCAATTCCGTCTGGGGTGGCTCCAGCGGCATCAATTTGCCTGAAAGAATGGTGCCTAACCGCGCCGATCGAGCGGCAGCTTTATCGGCATTTGATGAGCCAGAAATGCGGTTAGAAATGACGCTCGAGATGCGGCAATTTCACCCTGGAATGCCATGAAATTTCATAGCGGAATGGTTAACCTGGCAAAAGGTCTACAGAAATATCAATAATGCTTATCAAAAACTCAGAAAACTACCATTAATTCAGATTTTTGCCAAGGTAAAACTAAACTCTTTATCAGATCCTGGCCTTTCAATATGAGTCCTTACATGTTTTCTTAATTCTTCTTTTATTACTAAGATATTTTGTACTAAGTAAGGGTTTTTTTTTATCAATGTGGAATCCTTTCCTATCGAAAAAGAGCCTACAAATCTTCACATATTTTCTATCCATATATAGAATCTATTTTATAGACATACTTAATACTTAAATATACTTAAATATCTTGAGATATCAATAAAAGTCCTTGCGAATTTGTATATTATTTCATTTTCTTGAGCTATCAATAAAAGTCCTTGCCAATTTGTATACTATTTCATTTTTAAGATCTAGTAAGTTAGTAAGTCGGAGTTTTGTTGCTCTAAAAAGAAAGTCAAAATTATGTGAAAATAAGGCTCAAAGGACCAACATACTTTTTCAAATCCTGTTAATTGATTTACAAACTCTTCAATTTGTAGTGAAAACAGAACATAGAATTTTTGTTACCATTGTAGTATTCATCCTCAAGATCCTGAGATATTTACCACTATTTTTTTCTTCTCTTTCATCCCAAACAGCAACGTATTTCGAACGCGCGCGCTGTATACGGAAAATGATGCAGCATGCGAGCATTTTGCACCGTCAGCGCGCCTTTGGAAGTATGCGCGTCCTCAGCCGAGCAACTATCACCAGGCTCGCGATTCCTGGCCCTGAGGTGAGTGTTCGGTGTTTAATTTACAAAATTTCATTGCCTAATCTGTGTTGTGTTGTTGGAATTTTCGCAGACTTCTGGGGCAGCAGCAGCCGAAAACCTTGTACTTCCTAGTCGATGCCAAGAGTCGGGTTCGCGAGGTCTACACGCAGACATGTCTGCACTTTGCCACGCAAGGGATGCTGGACACCGAACTCTTCGGTCTGGCTGTGCTCATAGGTGAGTCCTGGTCTGCGTTTCTCTCCATGGGGCTCTTGGACCCAGTTTGTTACCCAGTTTGCAGCCGAGTAGCCAAATGCCAGCGATAAGGCATGAAAAATACAACTAATAAACATAAACCAGTCCGCTCTAAAAGCTGCTCATCATCATCAGCAGCAGCAGCAGCGGCAGCGGCAGAAGAGGCTGCAGAAGATTCAGCCTCCATCCACCATCCTCCATTCTGGCCAAAGCGATCTGCCAAAACACATAAAAATACCAACACAGCGGAGCAACACAAAAAATGGCACATAAAACGAACAAAAAGGCAGGGAACGCGTCGCCTCCATGGCGAACAAACAATTTCAGGAATACAGAAGAGGGGCATTCGAGGAGCCAGGGGAGCAGACACAAGACGCGTGTTCAGTAATTCAGGTAGCCGTCGCGCGTTGCATTAACACAAACGAATCGAACGACAGCCAAGGAGGATGGAGTTTCGAGGATGGAGGAGCCCAGAGCTCCACAGCTCCGGAGCCTGAACTGAAACTTGGAAAACGAGCAGACAACGTCTTTGGCATTGGCCACAGATATATATGCGTTCTCCAAAGGCCCACAAGCACACACAAAAGCGGGGGAAACGAGAGGAGAGGGTTCAGGAAAGAGCAAACGAGAAAGGAGCGAGGAATTTGATTTTCATCGAGTCGAAGTTCTGTTGCTCTGAAAAGGGAAACGCGTAGGAGAAATGTAAATCAAATACTAGTAAATATCTGGCTCGAAGGACCAAAGCAGATACTTTTAAGAGCCCAGGGGCAAGGAATTTGATAAAAATCCAGCTCGAAGGACCAATGTGGATACTTTTTGAGACCCCTTTAATTGATTTACAAACCTTTCCTTTTTATAGTGAAAATAGAACAGCAATTTTTGTTACCAAACCCCTTGACTATTCGCGTATACTCTTGCCTTTCTGTTACAATGTTAGAGCACCGAGCCCAAGAACACAACACGTAAATTTTCGAATCTGGTTGGCATCAATTTCGTGGCAAGAGGCAGGGGAGCGTTGAAGTTGCCACAACATCTTCAGCAAAGAATTTGGTATGCAGTTTGAAGTCGCTGCGAGTTGCAGCTTCGACTGAATCTGAAGATCGGGCTGGGCATGCCAACGTCCTCGCCTCGCAGAGGATTCCTCGGGCTCTCAACTATGAAATTGGCAGTTTGCATTCTGCTTTCGTGTGTGTGTTTGAGTTTGGGTTTGGGTTTGTGGCCAAGGATTGCAGCCAATGTCAGTTGACAGTGTGTGTTTGTGAGTGGTATGCGGTTATATCTGGATTCGCATCCGCACTCTTTCACCGAACTCAACAGATATGGAGTTTGAATAAAATATAGAAATATTGAATAGTTATAAAAATATGAAATACAAAATCTTTTTCCGTAAAACCCCCTTTCTTCTTTTGGAATGCCCCCTTTCCAAGTTCGTTGCCTGAGTCTTTCGTTTTCGGTAGGGCCCTAACACAAAGAGAAGAGTGGCTCAAAAAGGCCAAAATGATGTCCCGTCTGCGTCCGTTGACGGGGATGAAAATGAATTTAAATTTTATGGCCGGCCAGCGTCAATAAATTTCATCTTTATGCAAATTCAGCTCGCTCCTTTTGGAATCGCAGATGCAAGATGCACTTTAAGTGGCACTCGGCCGTTGGCAATTTGGCAACATTGTCATCTCATCCCAGTTGGTCATCCTCATCCTTTGGTGTTATTTTTAGGCTGTCGCATTGCCTGGATTCCTCGGCCGCATTCCGCGGGGCCAAAGGGAAGATCATTTCCCCCGCCCCCTTTTCCTCTTCTTCTTCTTCTTCGGCTGCCCCGCCCCCTTTTGTAGCTGAATCTGCTGTGTGTAGACCAGCATTTTCTTTTCCATTTAATGTTAATGGCTCATAATCATTATTATACGGCGTTGGCTGTTTCGTCTTCAATCTTTGGACACTCGGCCTTGCAGCCGATGTCCATCCTCTTCAGCCTCCGCAGCCCCTTCCCCTTCCCCTTCCCCTGGTGATCCCCTCCAGCTGCCGCCTCTCCTCTTCGGGCTGCGTGCATCTGATAACATCGGAAATTAAAATTCTTTTGGTTTTATGTTTTTTTTGTCTTTCGTTCTCTTTTTTCCCCAGCCAGTTTCAATGCACAGACACACACACATGGAACTCTGTTGCCCATTCTTAGGATACCCTGTAAACACTAACTTTACTGGAAAATGTTGATAGAACTTGTGGAATTTTAAGAATATTTTTATATAAGTATTTTTATTTTTATGAAATATTTTACATATTTAAAAATTGTAATATTTTAAAGGAATGCTTAGTAGTATTTCTTCAAGGGTATTCTTTCGTCTAATTTTACCTGTCTTTCTTTCTTCTTTTTTTTTGGTTATTATGGCCACTCAAACTCGGACTGCAACCTTTTTGAAAATAAATCTGAATCTGAAGAATGCCAGGCCTTGGCATTGGGCGCAGCTGTCTCCGACTGCGTCTCATTCTCTTTCTCCATCTCCAACTGGAGACCCCATCCCCAGACCCTCCTCCTGCTCCTTCTCCTCCTGCCATTACCTCTGGAATTCCTCTGCTTGATGAGCCTTTGCCTTTGCCTCTGCCAGTTGCCTCTGCCCCTCTGCTTTTGAGGCTGTAATTTGTGTTGCATGTGTTTCAAATTGAAGATTTATTTCGCTGCCCCTCGAACCCTCGAAAGCCTCCTCCTAAATAAACCCGTGTGCGTGCGTGTTAATTGTGAGCGTTGAGGAATGCGATGGAAAATATGTTAATTATTAGGTTTTTGCCGCTGGGAGCAGAGCAGCGCTGGCAGAAGGTAGAATGGAATGGCTGCGATTGCGTGAGGATCCATCAGGCTACCTCAGATCTCGGATTCGGACTCGGACTCCTCTGGCCTTCACACCTGCTCTTAGAAACGGAGGAATCTTCCTCTACAAGAACGAATTCCATTCCATCGGAGGGCCATTGGCCAAAAACTCCTCGGAGTGGAGTGAAATTTGAATGCGAAAAGAAATCGCTTGGAGTTTTCGAGGTTCGAGTCTAAAAACTGCGGCTAAAAACCAAACGACTTGGGTTTCAGCTGCCTCTTTTTTCACCGCTGCTTACCTGTCTTTCTACCTGTTTTTTTTCCTCTTTCTCTTTTTCTTTTTCGTTGCTGCGTTTTGGGCTTGGTATGCAACACTCGCTCTCGCTTTGACTCCGTTTCTACACTGCGCGGAAATAGAAATATTGATATAATAAAATTAAAGTATTTTTGAATTCAGGATCAAATGGTTTGAAATAGAAATTCTAAGGGAAAAACCAAAAATCGGAAATAATTCAAAGAGGCGTACTAGGATTCTATTTAAGGAATAGAGGACCTTAAATAAATATTAAAGATACATTTTATATGATATACCATTGACTACATTGTTGTAGTCTTCCTGTGAAATGATCCCTTTCCAATACATTTTCTTTGAGTGATTCAAACTCGAATAGCTCCGCTCCCCTGGCATCGCAGCATCCCAGCATCCACTTGTTGCCACTTCCATTCCAGCTCCGCGTCCACGACGTCGTCATTGATAGGCACTTATTCGGCCGCTGATGATTATTATGATATTGTGGCTGCTGCTGCCGTGCTGCTGCCTCCATTCCATACACATCCCCCTTCAACCTGCCTCCGCCTCTGCCTGATTTTTTCATAATTATTATTTTCCATCTTGCTGCTCTGCTCTTCATTTCGTATGCAGGAATTCCAATTTTTCGTTCGATGAAGTGTGTGTTGATTTCGTTGTTGTTTTTGCCCTGCCTTCTCGAGCACCACACCGACATGCCCTTGGGCCCTTCTTCTGGGATCGTATCGTAGCGTATGGGATGGGATGGGAGCTATAGCTATATGGTATATACCGGTCTCCTCTTCGAGCATCGGGCAACGGGCCTCTGACAGCCTGACGTGTCGTCATCATCATCATCGTCTCCATCTGCTGGAGCCTCTGACTCTTGTTGATGTCAATGGGCTGCTTGTTTATTGCCTGACAAACTGACAGAAGTCTGGTCGGGGTCTCGATCCGATTTGAGCCCGATTCGATTTCGGGAAGGAAAAGGAGGTCTCCTTTTCCGCTCATCTCGCATAGCCGAAAGTTCATTTACAATTTTGATTAGCGACCTTGGCGACTGCGCGCCAAAAAGTTCCTTAGCCCAACCGGAAATTCGGGCGAAAATGGAATCCGACTTGACAACCAAGTCGATCTTTAACTGAAGTGGTTATATATGTATGGCCTTTATGAATGAACCTCTAGGAACTTAAAAATATAGCAGAAGAAAACCTTAAATTATTCTGTTAAATAAAATTCTAATTGGTCCTTCAAGCGGGATAGTTGAAATCTATGATTAATATGTAAGAAGGCCTATTTTAAACAGGAAGTTCAAGTTCAAATTTGGGTATAAAATAAATGTAAAGTAAAATTTGTTAAATACAGTTTTTCCTTTATTTTTCAGATGGCGAGTACATGTTCGCAGATCCCGAGAGCAAGCTCTCCAAATACGGCCCGAAGAGCTGGCGATCTTCGCACACCCACGTAAGTAGAATCAGAATTTAATCAATAGGAAATACTATAATAATAATACCTTCTTGTTTCTAGGGGCTAGATGCCAATGGACGACCGCTCCTGGAGCTACACTTCCGAGTGCAGTTCTACATCGAGAGTCCGTTCATGCTGAAAGATGAGACGTCCCGCCACAATTACTACCTGCAGCTGCGCCACAACATCCTGCAGCGCGATCTGCCGCGAGAGCAGGCGGAGCAGGCCCTGGTCTTCCTGGCTGGCCTGGCTCTCCAGGCGGATCTGGGTGATGCTCCTCCGGTTGCGAGTTCCGCCTCCGGATCGGGCAATTCCAAGGACGATTCGGGTGAGGAGACAGCGACAACAGGGAGAGGACTGAGTGCCACCACCACGTTGCCCAAGATCAGCAAGCGTGCCAATGAGAGGATGCTGAGGCTCTCCACCTACGTGGCCTCCACCTCGAAGCGGGAATCGATGCCTCTGCCAGCCAGCCACCTGCCGCCTAATCAAGCGGACTACTACCGGATAGAGGACTACCTGCCCGGCGGAATGCACACGCCGTGGGCGAGAAGTGCAATGCGGGCCTGCCACCGGGAGCACCTGGGCATGGCCACCTCGGAGGCGGAGCTGCTGTACATCCAGCAGGCCTGCAGCCTCCACGAGACCATCAATGCCCACACCTACAGGATGCGGCTGGCCAAGAGCGAGCAGGGATCGGGTAGCGCCTGGTTCGTGGTCTACGCCAAGGGCATCAAGATTCTGGGAGGCGACGGCACTCCACCCGAAGCCACCACCACCTTCCTGTGGCCCAATATCACGAAGCTCTCCTTCGAGCGCAAGAAGTTCGAGATTCGGTCGGGGGAGAGCAGGATCACCCTGTATGCCGCCTCGGATGAGAAGAACAAGCTGCTGCTGACCCTCTGCAAGGACACGCACCAGTGGAGCATGAAGCTGGCCGCGCGGCTGAAGGAGGTGTCCAAGCGGGAGGAGGAGGAGGCAGCCGAGTCCCAGCGACTCCATGCCAGCTACGCCTGCTCAAGGAGCCTCCTGCTGCCCTACAAGAGCAAGAACGAGCAGCGCATTTCGGTGATCTCGAGCACCAGTTCCAACACCACCTCGGGCATAGTCAGCGATCGGGTTCACTCCGAGGACGAGCTGGAGATCATGATCAACACGCCGCCCGCTCCACTCGCGGCTCCCTCCACGGAGAGCCTGGCCCTGGCCCACCTCCTGGATCGGCCCAGTGTGAGCAGGCAGACCTCGAGCGTGGGTCAGATGTCTCTCAAGGATCTGGAGGAGCAGCTGGCCGCCCTGAGTGTGCGGCCAGCGGAGGAGCCGGCCATTAGCTCCTCCTCCGTGCAGCGGAACTCTGTACCGAACACCAACGACTCCTCCACGGCCACCGATTCTCCGAGTTCCCAGCACAACATCGGTTCCCAGTGCTCCTCCACCTGCAGCACTGTGGTGGTCACCTCGCCAGTGGGAGGAGCAGCCTCCGTGCCCGTGCACTCCACTTCATCCAGCCTGGAGCTGGGCTTCAGTCACACCGCCCAGAACTCCCAGCTGAGCGAGACGAGGGAGGAAACGGAGAGTGTGTCGGGTGCCTCGGGAGTGTATACCCTGGCGGACCACGGAGCTACGCCGACTGAGACTTCAGGGGTGTACACCATGCACTCCAGCGAGTTGACCGGCCAGTCATCCGAGATGGCCGAATCGGAGAAGAGCTCCCATTACGGAATGTTCCAGCCGCAGAAGGTGGAGGATGACCATGTGCCGCGTTCCGATTCGGTGGATGGTAAGAAGCTGGAAGGAGAGGAGGTGGAGGAGTTCCGACTGCGTTCGGACTCCAACATCAGTACGGGCAGTTCCTTCCGAGGCGACGGGAGTGATCCAACCGACAACAAGCATTCACTGCTCTCCGCCGAGGAGCTCACCAATCTGATTGTGGGCCGGGGAACCTATCCTAGCAGGAAAACGGTGTCGAGTAGCCTCCACTCGGACTGTGATTACGTGACACTGGGCAAGGATGAGGAGGAGGAGGAAGTGGCACCACCGCCACCCTACAGTGCCAGGCACGAGAAGACCGGCCTGTGTGGCCCACCGATCGTCAAGCCACCGGCTCACCCACCCAAACCCATAGCAGTGGTGGCTCCCAAGCCGGATACACCACCGCCTCCGGTGGCTCCACCACCACCACCACCGACGGCCCTCCGACGCCGCGATCCTCCGCCATATTCCAGTTCCAATTTAAGTACCTCCAAGCCGCGACCCACATCCCTGATTTCCGTGAGTTCCTCCGCCAATCCTGCGCCCAGTGCCGCCGGCTCGATGAGTTCCTTGAAGTCCGAGGAGGTGACGGCGCGGTTCATTACCACCAGGCCGCAGATCAGCATCTTGAAGGCCCACACCAGCCTCATTCCGGATGGAGCCAAGCCGAGCTACGCCTCCCCGCATCACTGCTCCTCGGTGGCCTCCTCCAATGGCTCCGTTTGCAGTCACCAGTTAAGCCAGCAGTCGCTGCACAACTCTAATTATGCAGGGGGATCGCAGGCTTCACTGCATCACCATCATATGCAACCACCGGCGCACCACCGACATTCCGGTTCAGCGGCCATTGGGATACCCATTGTTCCGTATGGTCTGCACAAGAGCACTGCTTCACTGCATCATCAGCAGTCGTGTGTCCTCCTGCCAGTGATCAAGCCGCGTCAGTTTTTGGCCCCACCACCGCCCAGTTTGCCCAGGCAGCCGCCACCACCGCCGCCTCCGAATCATCCGAACCACCACCACCTGGCCAGCCACCTCTACGGGCGGGAGCTGGCGAGGAAGCAGCTGGAGCTCTACCAGCAGCAGCTGTACAGCGACGTGGACTACGTGATTTACCCGATTCAAGATCCAGCGGTCAGCCAGCAGGAGTATCTGGACGCCAAGCAGGGATCCCTGCTGGCGGCCATGGCCCAGGCGGCACCACCACCGCCGCACCACCCCTATTTGGCCATGCAGGTCTCCCCGGCGATCTACAGGAGCACTCCCTACCTGCCACTCGCCCTGTCCACCCACTCGAGATACGCGTCCACCCAGAACCTGTCGGACACCTATGTCCAGCTGCCCGGACCCGGCTACTCCCCGCTGTACTCGCCCTCGATGGCCAGCCTCTGCTCGTCGTACGAGCCACCACCACCGCCACCACTTCACCCGGCCGCCCTGGCAGCCCATGCCGCGCATGCCTCCTCCTCGGCCGCCGCCGCCGCCTCCTCGATGTTCGCACGATCGCGATCAGACGATAACATTCTGAACTCGCTCGACTCGCTGCCCAAGGGGAAGCGCCTGCCGCCGCCGCCACCACCGCCCTACGTGAACAGGCGACTCAAGAAACCACCCATGCCGGCGCCCAGTGAAAAGCCACCTCCAAGTAAGTAGTTGCTACGGACCTTTGCCCTGAATCTCTATATAATGAAAGCTATCAAAAATGTCAGTATACTAGATATTAGTATGTCTTGTTCTGAAGAATTCGCGGTTTCCGTTTTTTAATAATTCATATATAGTCTTGAATGATTAGGGCTAACAAATACGATTAAATGTTCAATATTTAGTTATCTTGTTCTGAAGAATTCGCGGTTTCAGTTGTTTTAATAATTCATGTATGGTTTTGAATGATTGGTACTAATTGTTCCGAAGAATTCGCGGTTTTCGTTTTTTTAATAATTCATGTTTGGTTTTGAATTATTAGGACTAACAAATATGATATAATTATTGATATTTAGTTACCTTGTTCTGAAGAATTCGCGACTTCAGTTGTTTTAATAATTCAGGTAAGGCTTTGAGTGACTAGGATTAAATGTTCTGAAGAATTCGCGTTGCTCTTATGTTAAAGGACTAAAGTATTTTGTAAATATTTTCTTATTTTTATCCATTTCTAATCCCCACCTTCTTCCCGTTTTCAGTACCCTCAAAGCCCAGTCCCAGCATGATGATGATGAGCCCGATGCCGCCGCGCAAACCGCCCACCCTGAATCCGCACAACGCCAACTCACCGCTGACCAAGACCTCCAGTGGCGCCCAGTGGGCGGGCGAGCGTCCTAGGCCGGACTTGGGTCTCGGCCTGGGGCTGAACCGGGGAAACAACAGCATTCTGGCCCAGCTGCAGGCTTCCATGGCCGCCGAGTCGCATGCCCAGGCCCAGGCTAAGGCCCTGGACATTGCACTGCTGCGGGAGAAGAGCAAGCATCTGGATTTGCCGCTGATCTCTGCGCTCTGCAACGATCGCTCCTTGCTGAAACAGACCAAGGTGATGATGAATCCGAAGACGGGCCAGGAGATTCCCATGCCCTCCAGCTCGCAGTCCTCGGGAGTCGCCACCACCGCCATCAACGGGGGTTCCAATTCCTCGGGAGGAGGCGGAGGAACCTTGAGCAAGGCCAGGAAAGGATCCACCGTGAGCCACCGGCATCCGCAGGACAAGTTGCCACCTTTGCCTGTACAACAGCTGGCGGAGGCCAACAACTACGTGATCGATCCCGCCGTCATGATGAAGCAACAGCAGCAGCAAAACCACAAGACCAGCTAGACTCGCAAAGCTTAAGGGGAAATGGAAATGGACTAATGGGTCCAAGACGACACTCTTCTCTCTAGTTCGGTTGCTGTTCGAAGTGCTGACGTATTTGTGTGCCCAAGTGAAGAGCTTATTCTGCGTTCGGAAATTTGCATAGATCGTAAAGAGTTCTCTATATATTCGATCACAGTGTTTCGGAGGGTAGAGATTCGCTGGGCACGAAAGGGGTTTTCGTAAACCCACTGGGAAGAATCAGTTAACAGAGCAGCAGAATAGGAACTAACATGCATTTAACAGAAGCCAGTTTTTTTTCGAAGGACCAAATTGTAGAAATCATATAGATTTTTTGTTTGGACCTTTGCCACTTACCACTTACCGGATGAATCAGACAGAAAACTAGAGTAACGAAAGCCACTGAAAAACAAACACACAGAGTCAATATTTAAACTAACAGAACACAGGACGTGAGCAACATAACCTCAAATACGCATAACATAACCTTCAAATAATCTGAACCCAGTCTAGTCACTTAAGGGAATTGGTAACGTAACCACACAGTAGAAGCCACAATGACACACCATCGGAAAAGGAAACGTAAACGGAAATAGAGAGAGAGTTGAACAACAACAAAATGGGAAGCAACAATACTCAAGTATAAAATACGACCACTACCTAATTAACTAAACTACAACGTAGAACTTTAGTCTTAGCTGCAAATACTTAGTTAGGCCAGAAATGCGAATACTTAACACTAACTACTTCCGCCCAAACAACTGTGATTGATTTTTATTTAAACTTACACTATAAATTTACAACAACTACTTTAGTCAGCAAGAACAACGCATAACAACATGAATAACTATGCAAATTTTTTAGTACGTAGCAATCGCCCCTCACGCTAAACACACACATACTCACAACGAATCGGGCCAGCGAGCGTATCGGGTTATCACCCGTTCGAATCGGCTGTGAAACGGTTCGGATCGGTTTGGCCCGCCTCGGTCGCTGGACGAAAGGAACTAAAGAATTTCAAGAGTGCCTAGACTTGCCCTCCATCCCTCCCACCATAGTTTATAGTAAGCGAGAGATGATTATGATTTATTTTTTTATCCACTTTGTTTATTATTTTTTGTTCGATTATTAACCCCCCCAACTATTTTTTGGATGTGTGAGTGTGCGTGCAAAAATGATTTCGAGTTTTTGATGGATGTCACAAATATTTGCGTAGATTTTTCTCGACTAAAAGTCTATGGCTAAATTGAGGAATGTGATCTTTGAGAAAATGTTAAATTTTTGCCATATATCTTACATAAACACAAATATATATATATATAAATAAATATATATACGTATACAATTATTTTAATTTATTAATTTACAAAACAACAACATTCAATTAATGCATTTATAAAGCAAATCGCTGAAGCATCCAACAATCGTATACGATAAGTAAAAAGTCCTCGAGTAAAAAGCATACAAAAGTTGTAAAAATTATCTTTGCAAAATAAAATGGAAATTGAAATGAAAAACGTAAAATGAAATGTATCGAGTGTTTTAGTTTTGTGTGGTGTTCTGTTTTATAAAAGGTAAAATCTCAGCTTTGAAATAATTGCAGTTAGAGTAGGGTTTTGGTTAAGTTAGGAGTAGGGTTTGCTATCACAAAATGCAAGACGAACGTCGGATCTTACATATTACATAACGCGTAACTGACAACTGACAACAAGCGATGCGCGACTATCAGAATGAACTAGGAGAGTTAACATATTTCCTGGCACTTTGGCTACGCTTTAAAACTACAATGCTCTAGTTGGTTAGCATGTCCTCGTCCTCGGGAGCTCGTCGCACCCACTTTTTCATCACCGTCAACGTGATGCCGGTGACCAGGAAGATGCTGCCAAAGGCGACCAGCGAATAGCCGAAGATGACGCCGTAGCTCGACAGATTGATGGCCAACTGAAAGGCAGAACTCAGTGTTATAAATTGGATGAGATTTTGAGTAAAGAGTAGAGCTCACCTTGGCCTTGGAAGCCAGCTCGGAGGACAGTTCCGCATACTGATCGAACCAGAACATGGGCATCAGCACTTTTGGCACTCCACGATAAATGCTGCAAATAGATCATGGTATTATTGATAGATTCATAAAGAAACAACTTCATTTAGAACTCACTCGAAGTCATCGTCTGGCTCGATCATCATGTTGATCTGAATGCGGCCGTGCACCTGGACGGGCACTCCGGTGATGGGCTCCACGGCGAGGAAGAACTCGTGCTTGTCCTTCTCCGGCTTCATCCCGGTGACGGCATCCACGTACGACTGGTCGGCCAGGTAGAAGTGCGGGAAGGAGGAGTAGATGGGCGCCTTGTCGCGACAGGCTTTGCACTCCACCACGCCTGTTTTGGGACACTCGGTGAATCGATCCAAATCACAGAAACATTCCTGGTTCGGGTAGTTCTCGCCCGAGTCCAGAGTCTCCTCGGTGCCCACCCATTTAGTGGCGGTCAGGCCATGATTCTCATAAGTTCCTGTCGGTCGGAGGTTCATGAAGCGGCAGGCATCGGTGGCGAAAATCGTAATCTCATCGTTGACATTCATCTTGGGCGGGAAGACGTCGCCGGTGGTTCCATTGACAATGCCGCAAGGTCGGGCGTAGAAACCAGTCTCATTCTTTCCATTCCAGTGGGTGAGCCTGCCCAGATTGGTTATATCATCGGTTCCAGTGTGAATGGTGAACAGGCCGTCGTAGGTTAGCGATTCATTCCGATCCGCCAGCCAGCCGAAGCGCTTGTAGGGAATGTCAATCATGGAGGTGTTGAAGAGGTTCAGGAAATCGGTAATGTTATCCTGATAGCCGTCGAAGATCCACTCGCCCACCGGCTTGGTCACATACAACTCGCCACCCTCGTGGTTCAGCATGAAGTTGATGATTTTCTTGACGATCTTGCGCTGGTTCCTCATCTCATCCGCCACCGTGGCGGTGATGGCATGGGCAGCGGTCACCATGTCGTCCAGGGTGCCGTTGGAACGCTCCGGATCGAAGAACCACGTGCGGCGCTCGTAATAAGCCACCGTTGCATTATCGTAGAACGTGTAGTTCTCCTTCTTGTGCTTCTCCAAGAAGGTGTACGGACCCATCTCCACGAAGTTGGGCTTGACGTTGGGGTTCCTTATCTCCTCCGGATTCGTCCAGTTGAACATGTAGAAGCTTAGGTAGATTGGGATAGGCGCCTCCAGCCAGCTGTCGTAGGCATCCGTGCCAGGTTTCAGGGTAAGACCCTGAATTAGAGATAGAAATGTTAGTTAAGTTTACTATTTTTATATCATTAAATCCAACAATCTTTCATCTAACAGGCTTTCATTTTAAAATCTTGGTATCGAACGGATTATTTAAAAATCAATCTATAAATCACAGAGTTCCCTTAATACGGGAAATCTATTGATATGAAAAATATATATATATTTTAAATTCTACTTCAATATCTTTAATCTAACAGGCTTTCATTATAAAATCTATGCAATAAACGGATTATTTATAAATCAATCTATAAATCACAGAGGACCCTTGATATCAGAAATATGAATATTTCTATTAAATATCTTTTAAATTCCACTTGATACACCCACTATATAAACAGCTATTGACGGGTTTACTGGCCAGATTAGACTTAATAGTTTTATGGTTTAGTTTATGGTTTCAGTTAGGCTACAGCAACATTGGCTTAATGAAATTGTTTACTACTTTTTACAATACTATTAAGATCTGTAGTTTTCTTTGATATATTTTCTTGATAACCAAATATACTCACATCCTCGACGAGGTTATCGGCAATGCCCGGCCAGAAGACCACGAGGAGTACTCCCAGCACCGCGAAGAGCGATCCCAGGCCGAAGACCCAGACCTTTCGTTGAGTTTCCCCGCAGCACTTGCAGCACATGATGGAAGATTCAGGGATTCAGGAAGCGGTTAACTAGGAGAGATTCGATCCTAGGCACTGCGTTGCATCTGGAAGTGGATAAGAGTTCGTTGGGTTATTTTCGCTTGCATAATCAGTGTTCCATAAACCGTATCGCCGGCTAATCTGGGAATTTTTATTCGCCAGTTCCCCGGTACAACCATCCTGACACCCTGCAGAGTAATACTATCGCTGTTTTTGTCCCTGCTTAAGTATTTCGATAAGCATCTGCGATTAAGTCGGTTTATTTTTGAATAAGACGACTACGTCCGCTGCAGACGCCCACATGACAGCCCACTCGGCTCTGAAGTCAACTTCAAGTGCAGACATCCGTAGATCTCCCCGGTTAAGGAGCACTTGCCCCTGTTTGGGCTGGCCAAACTTACTAGTTCCCAACTGAAGGGGCTCGAAAATATGGTACTCCACACTGGGCACCTCTATGGGAATTATCACAACCGCACGCGTCCCCTGGCAGGGCGAAACTGCTTGCCAGCGGGCTTCTTGGGGTCTTTTAATGGGCCTCTTGACGTTTACTACTCGGTTCAGTAACTAATCTTTGGATTTCGTTAATCTGGAATGTTTGCCGATAGAAGGTTCAAAGAATAGACATTTTTAAACTTCTTTAATCGCAAATATTTGTAGAAATACTATATTAATTCTTAATAATAAAGCTAAAATGATTTTCTTTATGATAAAATGTAGAGACTTTTTAGAGAAATAATAAAAAAAAAAATTTTTTAACAAATAAATGAGTCTTAGTAAATTTATAAACATGGATTTTCCAACTTAAAAATTACAGGAAATGAATAAAATTTAATAATTTCCCAATAAAACGATTTACAAATCATTAATCATAAATCTACCTGTTACATTTTACTCAATGAATGGCAATTATTGCCCAATAATTGACACAGATCGTCAGCATGAAATGTAAGATAAGTATTCAATATCCTTATCTTGGTAATACCCGCATTTCTTGGCCATTTCGTGTGGTGTTTGTGCTTGGTCAAGATGTTCAGTTCATGCAAACGCTACCAAGGGGTTCCTATTTATATTTATGGCAACGATAAGATAAGCTTATGGGAGATATTGATTAGCCGGTCGACATGTGTTGGATCAGATCTGCTCTACTGTAGCACATTAGCCTTGATCCGCCATTTAAACCGGAGTTATATGAATAATAGGAACGGGGCCTTTATTTATCAGAAGTCTAGTGCATATCGTATTGCAATTTCGAATACCCCGCCTTTGTTTCATTTTGTCGACTGACTCAGTCTTGTTTTTGTCGGTTTGTTGGGTTCGGATCTATAGTATGCCCTCTTCCTTTGTTCAACGACTGATAATGGACAAAAAAGGGGGTCTGGAACCACAGTAGAGCTTCTATAGTTTGAACTGTTTGTATGCAAAAGGTTTTTTATTAGTTGTTAATTTTTAAGAAAATACATTTGAAAATAAAAATGGTCTTTATAAAGTTTATTTTAAACAAAAAAAACCTCTTATATTATTCGATCTACTGGGGTTTTACTGTTTATCTACAGTGATAAATTCACATCCTAATGGAGGGTTTGCTTTTTCTGAACCCGAGCTTTGATCTTTGACTAACTAGCGTTAAAAAGTGTTGACATCACCAGTTGGGGATTATCTCTACCGCTAATTATCACGTATTACTACCCTTATTACCGGCTGCATAAGTAAAGTGATGATTTACTCACCTTTTTTATCTCGCACACAATTGCAGTTGTGTTTTCTTGTTGTTGTTGCTTTGGCCTTGACTTTAAATATTTGGATATTACGGAATAACTAAGGTTTTTTGGGGTATCCGGCTTTATTATTTAGATAGTTAAACTTTTAAATAATCTGAAAATGCAGAAAATACCGTTAAAAAGGGTTTTAATTGCAGAGGATTATGGAATTTACTTTTACCTTGAAACTGAAGCGTAGGGCGTTCTTTTGGCAAATGGGCTTTGAGCCGTTGGGTAACTTAAAGAATAGGCACTTGCGGGTGGGGCGACACTGCGAAGAGCGAAGCAAAAAACACCAAACTTGCAGTTTGCGTGTTTAATTGGATTAACAATTCAGTTTTCCTTATTTATGTTTTTGGGATCTGAAGCAGAGTTGCCGGATAGGTTTTAAGGCACTGTAATCAAGCGTTGCCAGAGTGCGTAAGGCTAGCTGTTAAGCAGAAACAGCTGTGCTGTTAGGGCAGGGTTCACACCCTCATCGACGAAGTCAACCAATCAGCGCAGACCACGACGCACACACACAAACAAAGCGCAACTACAACATTTTCTACATTTTGCCAGCATTTAATTTTCAATTTCCCGAATTCACCGGCTAAAATCATAGTTTTAATGAGATAGAAAGGATCGCAGGCAGAATGCAGCTAATCAAGTGCTTGGTGGTCATACAGCTCTCCCTTTTGCTGGTGGAGGACGCCCTAGCCGGCCGGGATTTCTACAAGATACTGAACATCAAGAAAAACGCCAACACGAATGAGGTGAAGAAGGCCTACCGCCGTTTGGCCAAGGAACTGCATCCGGACAAGAACAAGGACGATCCGGATGCCTCGGAGAAGTTCCAGGACCTCGGAGCCGCCTACGAGGTGCTCTCGAACCCAGACAAGCGCAAGACCTACGATCGCTGCGGCGAGGAGTGCCTGAAAAAGGAGGGCATGATGGACCACGGCGGCGATCCCTTCTCCAGCTTCTTCGGGGACTTTGGCTTCCACTTCGGCAACGGCGACGGTCAGCAGCAGGATGCTCCGCGTGGCGCCGACATCGTGATGAACCTGTACGTCTCGCTGGAGGAGCTCTACTCGGGCAACTTCGTGGAGATCGTGCGGAATAAGCCCGTGACGAAGCCCGCCTCGGGAACCAGGAAGTGCAACTGCCGGCAGGAGATGGTCACCAGGAATCTGGGGCCCGGCCGCTTCCAGATGATCCAGCAAACGGTGTGCGACGAGTGCCCCAACGTGAAGCTGGTCAACGAGGAGCGCACGCTGGAGATCGAGGTGGAGCAGGGCATGGTCGATGGCCAGGAGACGCGCTTCGTGGCCGAGGGCGAGCCCCACATCGATGGCGAGCCCGGCGATCTGCTGGTGCGGGTGCAGCAGATGCCGCATCCGCGCTTCCTGCGCAAGGACGATGATCTGTACACGAACGTGACCATCAGCCTGCAGGACGCCCTCGTCGGGTTTTCCATGGAGATCAAGCACCTCGATGGACACCTCGTCCCTGTTACGAGGGAGAAGGTCACGTGGCCAGGGGCCCGCATCCGCAAGAAGGGCGAGGGCATGCCCAACTTCGAGAACAACAACCTCACCGGCAACCTGTACATCACCTTCGACGTGGAGTTCCCCAAAAAGGATCTCACGGAGGAGGACAAGGAAGGTGGGTTTTCCTAAGTCTGTGTATATTTACACCCCTTATTAACTAAATACTCTTTCTATTTTAGCGCTCAAGAAAATACTCGACCAATCCTCCATCAATCGCGTCTACAATGGACTGTAAATCGCCCAGAAAAATGCGCTCGCCGGCTGTACTCTAGTATTTAAATATGCCTAACTGGGCGATTTCGATCTGGAAACGCCCCCCAATTCAAGAGATGACTTTGTTCAAGAAAGTTGTGCGATAAAAACAATTTAATTTTAGTTTAGAATTTTGTAAAATAGTAAAAACTGCAAGCAGTTCCTGCTGACAAAAGGAATTGCCACAACGAAAAACCAAGCCCCACAAAATAAAACGGATTTAAATTATAAATCATTATGTTTTTTAAGATTTTCCTTAATTATTTTAACTAATCTTAAATTCAGATAATAATACTGTTAATCGATGGGCGCAGGAATTGCAGCCCTGGCTCAGCTGTCGATAACTGGCGCAGGACAACGGTCTAAAGAGAGCGAGAGAGCGGGAGAGCGGTACAGGAAGTGGCGAATTCGCCTTCAGAGAGCGTAGAAATTTTCACCAGTGCGGACGTAGGACAAGCTCCATCGGGCTTTTATTTTTTTACAGACAGCACAAACTGAAAAACCAATTGTTTGTTTAATATTATTAACGGTACTGCCTTATTTCACCACCAACCAAAAAAGAAGCTAAGCCACGGAAAAGGATAATCATTTAGGGGAATTTCTAGCCCAAAAAACAAGACACCAACGACACAAACAACAAAAGCGACCACAAATACATAGTATGAATGTCGCCTAAATATCATAATTTCGAGGTGAGTCGCGGTGGTTCCCCGTTTATAAGCAGGTCGCAGTCCCAGGGATTTCATGTTCCGCGAAGACGCAACGCGGCCCACCCCTTCCACTCAGTTCTTTTTCGCTATCGATTTTCTGCGGGGTTGTCCCTTCAACTTTAAGTGACCCAAAAAGAAAGGGAGGGTGGTTTTGGGTCAGCCGGCAAAGTTGCGTGCTCGGTGCAAGTTCATCCATCCCGGTTTCGTGCCAAATTAAAAGGGTCTCTTAACTGGAAGAAGAATTAACCCTTTTTCAGATTGCACTGGTCTACTTTCTGCTGCTGATACCATGGCCGCCCACGAATGTGATCAGAATCCTGTGCTCGCGAGATAACAGCCGACTGGTGCGCAAGATAGTGCGCTCCAAATGGACTCCCATCTTGGACAAGCATCAGGTGAGATAGTCCCTCTATAAGGAGTAACTCCTATAACTCACATTTAATGTTCAGGTGAAACTTCCGCTGGAGTGCCCGCTGCATCCGTTCCGGGATGTCTTCGCCCCCCGACAGGATGCCAAGCAGAGGGATCGACCCACTCAGTGGACGTGCCGGAAATGCGGCAAGAGCTTCTACCAGGAGAAGCACCTGGATCTGCATTTCGACACGCGCCACAAGAGCATCATCAATGAGGTAAAATTTGGGGCCATTCTTGATCATCTGTAAAAGTAGGATTTGATTTTATTCGATTTCACATCAAATCCGACGTCTTTTCATCAGTGTTCTTAGTTTTTTTTATTGCCAATCTACATTTTATTTGAATAGGCTATATAACTCTTTAAATATGATTCACAAATAAGTTAAAAATTTTGAAATCTTTGAGAGTGTTAGAATTTTATAATCACTTACAAAGTATCTAATAGATTATTTTTAGCCGGAAGATTGAAGGACTTAACCCAATTTTTATTGTCAATGTACATTTTATTTAAATACGCTATAAAACTTTTTAAATATGATCCAAAAATAAGTGAAAATTTTTGAAATCCTTAAGGTGTAAGAGTTTTATAATCACTTGAAAAGTATCTAATAGTTTATTTTAAACGGCAAGATTAAAGGATTTAAGGCTGAGGTTGTTTTATACCTTGATTTATACCTTAAAAAAACGTTCAATCTCTAAAATCTCTAGTGATTTCATTGGGACAACTTTATTTAAATAATATTTAATAAATATGAAATTATCTTTCAATTGGTTTTTTAACTTCCATCTGCTTTGATCAGGCGGAGGATGCAGTTTGCCTGGCCGACTTCTGCGACATCATGCGGTGCGAGGTTTTCGAGACGGAGGACGCCTCCAGCCTGAAGTTCGGGGACCAGCACATCGTCACGGACATCGAGGTGTGGGGCGACTCACTGGGCCAGAACTCGGCGTTGGCCAAAGCGAATGCTGCCTACTTGAGCTTAATACCAAGGTGGGTTTCGCCACTTGCGATCCTTACTTTCAGCTATTAACTACCCCATCTCGTTAGAACTTCCACATTGGGTGCCTCGCGTGCCGCCAAAGTACAAAATCGTCAATTACTCCAAGACAAGCCAAGCCAGGCCAGCGGCAAGCAGGATCAGTCGGCGGCAGGTGAGCGAACACAACCCCACTCCCACTCATCCCGCTCCTCCCACTCCTCCCACCGAGTGCGTGCATCCACCACAGCCAATCCCCTTCGCCTAGATCCATCCCCGGAGGACGGATCGGCGGACAGGCCGCGGTCGGCGGGCGAGAAGCTGCTCCACAAGCTCAAGGAGCTGGGCAAGGCGCACCTGAAGCCATCGTCGTCCGGGGATCCCGAGGCCAGCCGGCAGAACGAGACGGACGAGGAGGAGGACGACGAGGAGGGCAGTGGACAGACCGGGGGCAGTGGCCACTCCGCCGACGAGGCCAAAACGGAGGAGGGCTCGGGTGCGAATGGGAACGGCAACAAGGCGAGGGCCAACTGCAAGCCGGAGGAGCTGAGCAAGCTGAAGAACCGCTGCGAGATGCTCCTGAGGAGCTGCATCGGCGGACTACTGCTGTCCATGTCGGATCAGGCCTTCAAAGAGATGGAGGGTGAGTACTCTAGTTACACGGGGAAAAAAAATATCACTTTGATATTATAATGTAATCAAATCATATCAATTTTTGATTAAAAACCTATCTTAGAGATCCTTTAGATAGGTTTCCATTATATAAAGTCAAAGAATTGATTTTTAAATATATTCAATATCAATTTGATATTATAATGTAATCATATCATATAAAATTTTGATTAAAACCGCGAATTTTACTAGAGGTACTTATTCATAAATGAAATAGGGCCGCGAATTTTTTAGAGAAGAGCATTAGTCATATCAAAATGATTGTTATAATATCAAGCAGAAAACAAATAAGATCAATTCATAAGACCGCGAACTCTTTAGAGAAAGAACAATAGCACTAGTTTACAAAATAATATTCTTGGTGTGCTCCCCAGCAATTGATGGCAAATTCTGTTAGTGTTGAACCCCTAGATCACAAAAATAGCAATTATTTTTTTTTCCACCATAAATCCAGTTTTCCATGGATTTGGCCCATATCCGGCTTGTTTTATTCGGTAGGATTTAAACTTTAAGTTTGTACCCATTATGATTTTTCAACGGATTTATTTCGAGTTTTTACGATATATACAGCCGACTTACAGACGACCAAAAAACACATTTTTCATCTTTGTGAAGCTTCTGCGCTGCCATTACTCATCCAATCATATTGATCTGTATGGCAAAGTTAAGCTCTGATCTATTGACTTTAAAATAAAACTAAAACTGGCTCAACCAAGTGGATTCTGCCGAGATATAAGAAGAAATTCGAAAAAAGTCCGAAATTTAACATTTCGAACTTTAAAAAATCTTTAAAAAAAACTGTGCCATCGAAAAAAAAATAATTGCTATTTTTGTGATCTAGGGGTCTAAAACTAACAGAATTTGCCATCAATTGCTGGGGTGCATTTCGGCTGTAAACTAGTGTAGTCAAATGTTTTATCGAAAATATCTCATTAATTGTATAAATAATATCAAAATGATAGTTATAATATCAATTTTTGAAACCCTTAATTTTCTTAAATGATTTCCAGATGAGATGAACAAGGCGGTGTGCTGGTATTTGACCTGCGACCGCTACTGGGAGGACGGCCCCCTGGAGCCACGCGCCTTTCCCTGGGGCCTCATAGTCATCCTGATCTTCGTGCTGTCCACGGGGATCTGCTTCTGTTACTACATCATCTGGATACTCTTCGAGTAAGTGTGTCCTGGCCTCCTTGGCAATAATCCACCATTGAGATTGAGCGAACCGAAGTCATCTGTTTCAGCTCCGAAGAGACGACAATCAACGCGAACCACTACTACACCGGCCAGGGAGCCATTATCGGCGGCGGCGGGAGCATCTACATGCCCGGAGCAGCAGCGGGTCATCACTACCATGTGGACTATGCCACGCGGCACGACCTCGACCTGGACGGCGGCGGGATAGCTGGTCAGCAGCAGCAGGCGCAGCTGCTCCAGGAGCAGCAGTACTACTACCAGGAGCAGCAGCAGCAGCAGCGGGATTTGTATCCGGAGCAGGTGCAGTACCTTCGGCACAGTCCGCGGCACTACATCGCCGATCAGCGTCCACCAGTGGGCACACCCACCCAAGGGGCCGTGCGCAGCAGTTCCTCCAACGCCAACACGCCGTTGCACCATCGGGTGCAGCAGCATCACACGGTGCAGCAGCAGCATCCCCACCACCTGCAGCACCGCCACTCGACGAGCCTGGCCTACCCACAGGACATTTTAGACCGACGCGACTATACAAGTAGCTCCTCATCGCGCACCTTAGCTGGATCAGGATCAGGATCAGCATCGGCATCGGGAGCGGGAGTGGGTGACGCCCAGCAGCGGCACTACAACACGCATCCGCGGCCGCTGGAGACGAGGCATCGCCACGTGGGCTCCTCGCAGCAATCCCTTCGTGCCTCCGCCTCCACGCACGAGATCGTGCAGCAGGAGGCGGCCAGTCTGGGCCAGAACGAGCACTACATCTATGTGACCTATCCGCCGGACCTCAAGAAGCGCTACTTCGAGTGAAGGACTGGGCTGGGAAGGAGATAGATGGAGGTGGAGTTTAGGATGGAGAGACCAAGAGAGCCCTCCGGATGGAGAGCCAAGGAACGATACCAAAGCCAGAGATCAACTGCAGTTGATCCCAGTAGGATGAACCTAACCGAAAAAAGTTGGTTTTTTACTTTTAGCCTGCAAATTCTAGATTTGTGAACTGTGCTGTTCTTTTTTAATTCTACAAAATAAATTGCAATATTTCTGTACAATAGAAAACAACGAGAACTTTGATTTATTTCCTTAAAAATTAAAAAAAAAAAAAATTTTTTTTATATTTAGTTCTTTGTCTAGAAGTTCAGAAAAAGTAACCCCTCTTTTTTAATTCTACAAAATAAATTGCAACATTTCTGTACAATAGAAAACAAAGAGAACGTTGATTTATTTACTTAAAACTTAATACAAAAATAAAATTTTTTTTATTTTATTTTTTTTTGTTTTTTTTATCTAGAAGTTCAGGAAAAGTAACCCCCTTTAAAACAAGTAAAACCACAACTCACCGAATAACATTTACATAAAACAATTATTTCTCTTTTTGGTTTTTTACTTTTAGCCTCCAAATCTTAGATTTGTGTACTGTGCTGTTCTTTTTTTAATTCTACATAATTTGTGCTGTTCTGTGCTGTTCTTTTTTTAATTCTACATAATAAATTGCAATATTTCTGTACAATAAAAATCAAAGAGATTTGATTTTTTTACTTAAGAATTAATAAAAAAAAATTTTTTTTTTTATTTAGTTTTATTATTTTTTCCTCCAGAAGTTCAGAAAATGTAGCCCCCTTTAAAACAAGTAAAACCACAACTCACCACATAACATTTACATAAAACATTTATTTCTCTTTTTAGGATTTCGTATATCATTTCTTTTGTTTGGTTTGCTCAAAGACACTCACATTGATATAGTCACAAATCTTAACGCTAGGGTACTGTGAAAACCTTCCGATATACAAGTAAAGAGCTATTTATAGGTCCATTGTGAAATGTGTCGAGTGGCAAAGGATGGTATGTACATATTGCGCAATAAATATTATTGTTACTGCTAACATTTTCTTACTCCATTTAGTGGGCTAGCTCTTGCACTTTGTTTTTAGTTTTTTGCTTTTGTACTAAAATTAAGCGTATTACTTAGGGTAAACAAGTTACAAACGAAAGAAGATACATTTAGAAGCTTAGCTAGACATTAGATATTTATTAGTTTCGAAAAGTTTTGGTCCTTTGGAATGTGTTACAAGAGAAAAAAGACATCTAGGTGGTTTCGATTATAGGATAAGATAACATTAGATTACTGTTTAGCTAGTGTTGGCTAGGATTCTAAGACTAGACCAGCACCCGAGTCTAAAGTTGGCATTGCCCTTGAATATTGTTTTCCCCATCCGCATGTTTACAAAAGTCGAGCGTTGCGGATTCTTTGGGGTCCCCATACCAAATGTGATTAGTTTTCCTGGGATTGGTTATGCCTCAAAGTCGCAATTAGGAACGGGCCTTATGAAACGGAACCTTTTCGGGTTTCCTGGTCAAGATGGGAATTCTATGGGCTAACTAGACTAAACAATTCTGGTACTCCCCGTAACCCTAAGAAAAACAACAAATTGCTCTAGGAACCTAACAAGTAATAGGTTGGCTGATAAGTCCCCGGTCTGACACATAGGTGGCGTCGCTAGTATTAAATGCATATTATTTTTATAAAGTACTAACCTTCAAATGGTTCGTGTCAAAATTTGACGTCTGTCAGTCAATTAGTTTGTGAGATAGAGCGTCTTTTGTGAAGCAACTTTGGTTATGGTGAAAAAAATGGAAAAAAAGGAATTTCGTGTTTTGATAAAATACTGTTTTCTGAAGGGAAAAAATACCGTGGAAGCGAAAACTTGGCTTGATACTGAGTTTCCGGAGTCTGCCCCAGGGAAATCCACAATAATTGATTGGTATGCTAAATTCAAGCGTGGTGAAATGAGCACGGAGGACGGTGAACGCAGTGGACGCCCGAAAGAGGTGGTTACCGTCGAAAACATCAAAAAAATCCACAAAATGATTTTGAATGACCGAAAAATAAAGTTGATCGAGATAGCAGAGGGCTTAAAGATATCAAAGGAACGAGCTGGTCATATCATTCATCAACATTTGGATATGCGGAAGCTCTGTGCAAAATGGGTGCCGCGCGAGCTCACATTTGACCAAAAACAACAACGTGTTGATGATTCTGAGCGGTGTTTGCAGCTGTTAACTCGTAATACACCCGAGTTTTTGCGTCGATATGTGACAATGGATGAAACATTTCTCCATCACTACACTCCTGAGTCCAATAGACAGTCGGCTGAGTGGACAGCGACCGGTGAACCGACTCCGAAGCGTGGAAAGACTCAAAAGTCCGCTGGCAAAGTAATGGCCTCTGTTTTTTGGGATGCGCGTGGAATAATATTTATCGATTATCTTGATAAGGGAAAAACCATCAACAGTGACTATTATATGGCGTTATTGGAGCGTTTGAAGTTCGAAATCGCGGCAAAACGGCCCCATATGCAGAAGAAAAAAGTGTTGTTCCACCAAGACAACGCACCGTGCCACAAGTCATTGAGAACGATGGCAAAAATTCATGAATTGGGCTTCGAATTGCTTCCCCACCCACCATATTCTCCAGATCTGGCCCCCAGCGACTTTTTCTTGTTCTCAGACCTCAAAAGGATGCTCGCAGGGAAAAAATTTGGCAGCAATGATGAGGTGATCGCCGAAACTGAGGCCTATTTTGAGGCAAAACCGAAGGAGTACTACCAAAATGGTATCAAAAAATTGGAAGGTCGCTATAATCGTTGTATCGCTCTTGAAGGGATCTATGTTGAATAATAAAATCGAATTTTGACAAAAAAAAATTTTTTTCTTTGTTAGACCGGGGACTTATCAGCCAACCTGTTAATTGCACTAAAAACAAACAAAGTCTTCGGCTTCTAACAGATCAAACAAGTCCAACAGATATATATTAGTTTCTTTTTTTTAGTTTTTGGTCTAGGCTGCATTTGGTGGCAATACAAAATTTAAGCTAAATGGGGATTTTGACCTTACATACGATATATCATATATGTGTTGCACTGCGAATGTATCGCAATCTGGGCCTGACCTTTGGCGAAAAGCATTTTAAATTGGCCCGACTCGCTGAGCGACTAAAACGCTGATACATTAGCCGATAAAATATGTCCACATACATCTGGTTAATAGCACGCTACTCCCCGAAACTCCCCCCGATTAACCCTTCTCGTCTAACGCTGCTTACTCATGCCTAACCCATCGAGATTCGAATTCGCGCATTCCAGATAAACACGACATTTTCCATGTAAATATTGCACAGATATCTAAAATATATGGTATATGGGTACTATGGTACTCTATATAATTAGGTGTAAAATAAGTATCGTATCGTAAAAGTTTAAAAACATTATGATTTCCCTAAAACAACGACTATACATAGTTATTATTATTACAAGCTATATTCCGTTTCCTAAAATAAATCCAAATATTAAAAAAAGTCTTGAGATTCTGGTTAAAGTGTTTTCTATTTTTTGTTGTGTTGTATCTACGTGTGGTGTATCTTTCGTTTAGTTCCGGTTTCTGGATCGTCTGGTTTCTGATCCTTTCGAGGGACCAGATATATCTTTGGTAGAAGCTGGAATTCTTTTTGACGCCCTCAGGCGCTTGTACTTCCGCAGGATCTGGTGGGCGTGGTAGAAGCGACTGATGCGACTTTGGACATACTTGCCATGCAGATACTTGAGCAACTTTCGACGATCCTTGTGCGGATCGGGTTCCCCCTCATCGCGGATGATCTCCTCGTGGTGTATCAACGGTGTGGCATCGAATTCCGGCTGGGGTTCGGCCAGCAGCTGGATGAGCTGCAAAGTGTCCACCTGTGGTTCCACCTCCTCCTGGACGAGATGGGGCTCTCCCTCGACCACCGGCTCCTCCTCACTGGCCACCACACCCAGAATGTTCTCGTTCATATCGCACTGCACCACATAGAGATCACTGCTGGAATCGAAGATTTCGGCCAGGTTGATCAGCAGGACATCCTGACCATTGGCGCTCGGCTGCTCCTCCTCGTCCTCCTCCTCCTTGCCCTCCAAATCGGAGAGCTGGTACATCTCCGCCAGCGCCTCCTCGACGCTCAGTTCTCGTGGAGATTCCGATTCCGATGCCTCGCTTACGACTAACTCTTTTGTTTTTAAGGAACTATTTAAGGCAATCTTACTAAGGTCACTTGGCTGCGGTTCGCCGTCGCTCTCCAGGATCTGCTTCAGTTTGGCAATCTCTCCTGGGGATGATTCTTCAAGAATCTCTTCTTTGATTTTTATATCCAGGTGGGAGAGCTCTTCAAGCTTGGGTTCTTCGGTTTGTGGTTGGGACAGTTCCTTCTCCAGAGCGGCCAGTTCGTTGAAGTCGCTTTCCTCGCCAGCTGTGGAACTCTGGGAACTGGAGCTGCTGGAACTGCTGCTACTGGATGAAGCGTCCTCCTCCTCCTCCTCCTGGCTGCTCGAACTACTGGAGTCATCGTCTGAACTGGAGCTACTGGAACTCGAGCTCGAAGAAGATGACGAGGGCGAGGGTTGTATTACACTAGCTGGTATAGCTTTTTTCGGTAGTTCAGTTTCGGTTTCTGGGGTTTCTGGGATAGGCACCACACTATTTTCCAGCCAGGCTTGTATTTGCTCCTCCTTATTCGGCAGCTCATCCTCAACAGGTCTCTTCACATCGTCCTTCACATCCTCCTCGTCTTCTGCTTCCACTCTCAGTTTAATTTTAGGTGACATATTCGTGTTCTCGATGTCATCGAATCCCTTGAAGTTCGATTGCAGCTCCAGGGACTTGGTATCCAAGCTCTGTTCCTCCAGAACCTCCTCAGTCTTGTCCTTGTAGCTATACCCACTCTTGATGACCGTTTCCCGATCGGTTCCGCTTAGCAAACTGCTTCGGAATTCGTTGGAATTCAAGGCAGAGACACTCAAACCCTTGAGACTCGGGGGATTGCGCAGTTCTGGCGGGGCCACGTACTTCTTGATCAGCCTCTTGATCAAAGGCAGTCGGTTCTCCTTCAATCGGGTCAACTGTTTCTTCATCAGGATGGCTCGGAGTTTTCTGGTTCTACTGAAGGCGGTTCTCTCCCTTAGAACCTTGAGTACCTTGAAGTAGTGACGATACTTTACTTTCGGGCTCTCAAATTCCAGGATCTTCAACATCTTCATGCGATTTCTACGCTTCTTCGCCAGCAGCTTTTTACTGGCTCTGGCTGAAGCTTTTGGTGATAGAGAGATTACATTGGCATTTAGGTTAGGATTCTTTTCACCGAGGCCTTCCTGGGGTTCAGTCACCCTGCGCTTCCGCTTGTAAAACTTGAATCTTTTCGGGTTCTCCCTATATTCACCCTCCTCCTGGACAGTCGGCTCCTCCGTCTCACTCTCGGAACCCTCGATCTTGTGTATGAAGGTCTCGTACTCCTTGGCAAAGGTTGATTCATTCGAATTCGAACTGTTGTTCTGATCAAAGTCCATGGTTGGCGGTTGGGTGACTTCGGTAAACACCTCATTGGTATTCAGAATGGGACTTGGCAAGGGAAGAACCGAAGGTTGTTCCGTGATTAAAGGAGCAGTCACCGGTTGTCGCAGGATCTCGGCCAAGGCATCACTTTCGTTCACAGCTGGTTGCTCCGAAACACTCGTCTTGAGACGCAGTTCATCCAGCTCCTTTTCCACATCGAAGCTGCCAAAGGAATCGTCCACGGGAGGAGCACCACCATTCCCATTGGCCTTTTCGATGTCTATAATGATGTCGGGCAAGTTGATACCCTGATGATCCACCACAGCGGTGGCTTGGGGTCCAGTGGGTGGCAGAGATTCGTACATAAAGTTGGGGGCACTGGGCACAGGTGCCACCACAGCCACAACGGGAGGATCCATCTCTAGAGCAGCACTGGCCTCATCCTCATCGTCCACCTTCCACGTGGAGAGAAAGTCCCGTATGGTCTGTGTGGACTTGGCGGAGTCCACAGAGTAACCCAGGTTGGAGGGCGCCGAGGCATGCAGATTGAAGCCCACATAGTTTTCCACCTGGGCATCTAGGTTGGTCAGTGGTCCTCCAACTCCTCCTCCTCCTATTCCACTTCCCCCTTGTGTTAGGTAACAGTTACCCGAGGTTCCCGAGGCTCTCTTGCGATAATCCTGATAGGGTTGCGATCGCTGTGGCATCGCGGGAGCTCCATAGTTGTCCAGGCTGTTGAGACTAAGATCGTTGTAGTAGTTACCACTCCCAGGATCCATTCCCATGCTCATTCCGATGCCCATTCCCATTCCGAGGTTCACATATCGCTGGCTACTCGATGAAGTGGATCCTGGGTTGTATCCATAGCCCAGTTGAGTGGGCGTGGCTTCGTAGGGTCCATGACCCACATACATCTCCGTGGGATGCTTGAGCTTCATGGCAGCACCTGCGGCGGAGGATCCATTGACCGCTGGATATTGGGGTTGTGATTGGGGAGCGTTCCCAGCCGTTCCATAGCCATACGAATTACCCCTGGGGTAATAGCAACTCTGCTGGTTTAAAGGGTATCCCTGGGAGCAGCAGTTCTGCCGGTTACTAGCCGGGGGATTCTCCGTTCCTGACCACAGATTACGTCCTCCGTAGGACTGCGTGATCGAAGGACCAGCATAGGGATTGTTTACATAGGGTGAGACACCCGAACTCCCGTACTTGTCATACTTCGTTGAGCCGTAGTAAAGATCACTGTTGGGGATTCCGGGACCAGGACCAGGTCCTTGTCCTGGTCCTGCTCCTGGATGTGGGTGATGATACGAACTATTCGCCACCGGTGCCGTCGGCGGCAGAGATCTGTAGTTGGGCGCCTGGTAGTCCACTCCCCAGTGACAATTGTTTGTCGATTTCCTGTAAGTGGATTCGGGAGGTCCCAGATCCGGCTGGCTATACATGGGAAGCCCCCCATTCGGCGAATACATGGACATGGCCATTCCGTACTTGTCGTAATATTGCGATGAAGAGGGATTACCAACCAATCCACCGGAGTTTCCAACGGAATTCGAACCATAAACCCCCGAGGTTGGCATCGCCTGATAGCTTCTACTGGGCTTTATGGCCGCATAGTTGGGCTCCAGTTGGGTGAGCTGCGTCTGCGGCTGCGTCATCTGCTTCGGGATTACTGCAGGGGCATTTATCCCTAAACCCTGGTTATAGGATACACCCGGTAACCCCGAACTTCCCGTCATATTCCCCGGCATCATGGATTGCGAAGTGGCCTGGGCATTGGGCGGCATCTTGTACTTGTAGGGATCGTACATGGGATTCGATTGGGTCATATAGCCACCCGAGGATCCCGTCGGCTGGGCGTAAAAGGGCGTGGCCGTGGCCTGGGGCTTCATACCCGTATTTGTACCTCCCATACTTCCCGTACTTCCTCCATATTTTACACCCGAACTGGGGGCCAACTTTTCATAGCGAGCTCCACTTACGGGATAAGAATTGCTGGAAAGTTGCTGCGAGGCCGGCGGAGCACTGTACGTGTTGTACGGAGCTCCACTGTAAGCGTTGTAGGCGGGATCCAGAGGCAGCGAATTTCCGTAACCGTAGTTCTGGTGGTAGTAGTGGCCCGGATTCGGCTGCTGTTGCTGCTGTCGCTGCTGGGCATCCAGCGATGTCAGGGCCTCACTGTAGAACGGAGCCACTGTGGCAATCGTGGCATTGGCCATCGGCATCGAGGTAGGCGAGTTGTCGTAGTGACCGCCGCCGGTGGGCGTGGTCGTGGCGCTGCCATAGCCGCTGCTGCTGCCGCTGCTGCTGCTCCCCGGACCGGAACTACCGGAGCCGGAGCTCAGGCCGGAAACGGATCCAGAACCGGAGGAGCCCACGGCTATGGCCATGGCCGCCGTGTCCATGACCGCTTGCATCTTCTTGGCTGCAAAGAGGAAATTGGGAGGGCATTTTAAATAATATTCAAGCTAAAGTTTAAGATTTGTTTAAGTTAAGGTTAAGTTTAGGTTAAGTTGAGTTTAGTTTAGGTTAAGTTTAGTTGAGGTTTAGGTTGTTTAAAGCATTTAAAAGTAGGACCTTAATTCTACCACTAACTAATATACATCAATATCTTACTTAAAAATATTATCCCCTTTATGTTTTAATATTAATACTTTTAAGTACAGTTAATCATCCATATCTTCTGGAGATCAACTGTTTAACCTCTCCATTAGCAGGTTTATTTTTCATTTCCCCATAATTACCCCTAAATTACATAAAATACTTTTGTCATTTAATCAATCAATCTTGTGACAAAATAAGATATCAAAAAAACTCCATTAAAAAACCATATGTTGTAGGTGGGATCCAAAGGCAACGAAACTTGTGATTACAAGACAATTAGTTTGATTGATGTAAGGTATTAAAAATGGCTTAAAAGTGGAATGCTCTAAACCAACCAAATTGGTAAACCAATATTTGAAGATATTTGAATTAAAAGAAATAGGCCAAGAATGACTTATTTAAAATCCCCAAATACCATTTTAAGTGGTTAATAGGCTAGAGAAATCCCATTTGTCATGTATTCTGTCAACATATGTGTATCAACCCACCCACCTGCCAAGGCTTTTCCACAGGTATCCCAGAGTTTTCCTTTCGAGGATTTCCCCTTTATTCACCCGGCTGCATTCTCAAATTGCATTCGCAATTGTTAAAGGTACCCCACACACCGCACCGAACAGGAAAAAGCAATTATTCCGTGGCATTTAAATGTAAAATGGAAAGCCCCACAACATACCACACCAACCACCCACAAGCCCCCGCGACAATTTCGCTTTTGTTGGTCATTAAATGCGGTCTTCAACGGCACGCAGGTCCTTCGTAGTCCTTCGTACTCCTGGCAAGTGTGTCAGTGGGGTTTTTGATGTCTAAATGCAGCGAGGAAGGGGGGAGAGCACTCAGAAAAAAATATATTTCTTAGAACATAATTTATTTCTGCGGAAAAATGTTTTCAATTAACACTATCATTCGTGGTTTAGTTTCATAAAATAGTAATTTTCGGTTCCTTGTGAAAAATCACTTCCTACACTACAATAAAAAAATTTAATATATTAATATTTTAAATGTAAACGCCTGTAACTTTTCTATTTCGAGCTTGGCAATGATTCTTCAAAATTAAACATAAGTTTTGTAATTAAAGAAGGTATTTGTATTTCAAAAAACGTTACAGTTGATAAGAACCCTTTGAGAATTTTTTTAAAGAACAGACTACTTTTTCTTTTTGTGTACCGAAGACTACAAAATGAAACGCGCGCCTCGGCTTTGTGAAATGGAAATGTGGAATGTTCATGAAATATTAATGATTGACCCCGCCACACACACACACGCACACACAAGGGATGGACAATGCAAAGAGCAATGGTAGGAACAACAACAATAACAACAACAACAAACGAACCCCTTTTCCACGCCCACTCAATGTCAACGCCCACCGCAAAGTGGGCCACCGACATTCACACACACTGGGAAAAACCAATAATTGTCGCAGATAATTGTCGGAAGCCAATGGAACTCCTCCCGCACTCCTTCTAAATCATCAATACCTGTGAGCTCGGGCAGAAGCAGCACACTGAGAAAAACCGCACGATTGTCATTTGGAATTCGCGTTTTCTTAGAGCTAGCCATTGTAGAACCGAACAGATCAACAGCCATTCCCTTTATGAGTTCCATGTTCCGTATATAAGATGATCAGTTCCTAGAATATGTTCTTTTTTTTTAATTTGCACGTCGATAAGAATGGTGGCTCTTGGAAAATCGCGCTTAACCTCTAAACTCCGGACAAGATTAAGCATTAACGACTCAATCAAAGCTGATATGGCGTCGGATGAGACAAAAGGAAGCATTTGGGACTTTCCATAGACTAATTCAGGAACTTCGAAACAGTATACGTGTTCTTTAAGCACAAAATACAACGGTATCAAATCGATATGCGCATGGTAAAGTTCTGGCAAATCAAATTGAGAAGGTGCATATCAAATCAAAATTTATACCAAATAATATCAAAAAGATTATCGTTTCATATCAAGTTTTCTTTTTTTTCCTTTTATATCATTTTAGGCAGTTCAGTTTTAAAAGATATAGAATTTAAGAAAACAAAGAGCTCTAGAGGAACTCAAGACTTCTAAAATCTTTGGTATCACTTTTCCGGCAGTGCATTAAATCCGTAGTCGTACCCTTTTTCCCTTTGACTCCGCCGTAATAGTTCGGTGGTAATTCCATCCACAGTCCATTGACGACCACCTGCGAGTTCCACGGGCAGTTCCATCCGTAAGGACAACTACTGTCCGCCGGCAGCCACATGGTTTACACAACGGATTGGACAATTGGACAGCTGGACAACTGGACAACTGGACGATTGGACAATTGGAACAAAAGAGCGCCGCGCACGGAATAAAATTAAAACGGAGTACAGAACACCGAGCACGCCGAGTGACGAACTGGAATTCATTATGATAATTCACTTTCGCTCGAGGCGAAAAGAATATTATTGATGACCCGGGAACCGGGCAGTAGTCGTCTCTGGATAATCGACCTCTCGGCCATTCGATTCGATTCGATTCGGGTCGGGCTTTTAGTCTAATTGGGCGTGAAGCGACGAGCAACCGGAATAAATGAGATCGCGATTGCAGGCTGTGGCTTTAATCGAAATGGGATCGCAATGCAAATCACAAATGGAGCCGGCGGGTTAACTGAACCAAAAGGGGGAAATGGAAATGGTAATCGAAGAAGTTCGGCTCGCCATTCGATATACTTGTACATACGAAAAAAAAGCCGGGTAGCGACGTAATTCGAGCGCATTGCGTATACGCCCAAGGGTACGACGATATCGGAGATCACCGCAATTGAATAAAATGAGTGCGCTGCCCTACCGTGGAAATAATGGAAAGTACAAGTGTGTCTATCTATGAAAAAAAAAAACGAGCCAAAGACGAAATCCATAATTAACTTAATTAAAAAGTACAAACATACAAATGAAATGAATCTAAAACACCAAACGGTCTATTAAAGATTTTATTTGTCTCGAAAAGATTAGAGATTCATTGTTTTAAAAATAGATTGTCTAGCGTTAGCATGAAACTAACAGTACAACAAGTAGGAGAGCTAGTGATATGACTTAGGAAAAAGTATTCTACATAAATTAAATTGATACTTCAGAATGTTCATTAAATATTTTTAAACGTTTTTATGTTCAGAAATACATTAAATTAACTAACACCTCACAAGAAAAACAATTAAAAATAGAAACAGTCACATTCACCAATTGTATTTATTCATTCAAAGGCACATTCCAATTATAAATATTTATTAAAACTGCCTAGAAATTTAAAGTGATAACTTTATGAAACGTAAACTAAAGAAAACATACAAAAATGCAAAGGGAGAAATTAGTCCTTCCCAAAATAATCTTGTAGTGAAGAAAATATATAAAAGAAATATTAAAATGTATAAAAATTCTTGAATGTAGGCCCATAAACAACACAAATTTAAATTCTGGCCAAGTTTAATGAAATTCTTACCGAAAATGCGAGGAATTATGCTGCCATATGTTGGGCACAGAAAAAAGGCGGGCTAACACAGACACTCACACACGAATACACAAATGCACACACCCACGCGCAAAGGACACGTTTTTGTTCTGGTGTTAGAGAGCGTGTGTGTGTGTGAGGGGATTCCCCACACAACCGTTGCCTTTGTTTTAATTATGAAACTTTGAGGACTGCAGTTATTTTTACGAGAAGGAGGCGTGACAGCGCGTGCGACTTTCCAGCAAAAACTTATTCATCTGTTGAAGCTGTTGAAGCCGAGGAATGTGACGTCGGCAGCTGACATTGGCAGCGACTCCGGCGGCGACGCCAGCAGAGACGCCTGCGCCGACGCAGACGCCGTAAAGGAAAAGCCGACGAGGAAAATCCCCCCGAAGAGGGTGTTTGTATGTGTGGAAAAAATAAGGAAAAAGGCAGCCAACAAGTTTAGTTGTATGCGGGTTCTCTCCATAAAAATGTGGTGTTTGTGTGTGTGTCTGTTGTTGTTGTGCTTGGGAAAACAAGTGGTTGCCGTGGTGAGAAGAAAGCGGACACGAAAATAGAGCGAAAGGATTGAGCTGGGAAAAGGAAAAGCGACTGCAGCGGCACCCTGTTTTCTTATCAACGGGAAATCCCTTAACTAACATTTTATGAGCCTATTTGATAGACAATACATTTGTCTCTGACTTGCGGTTATTTTGACTTAGGGTTAAGTTGTAGTTATAAAATATCGATAGAACTTTGTTTTACCTCAAGAGATTTGACTACCAACAAAAGGGAATTAAACATCTTAAAGACCCTACTAGATAGACAATGCATTTTTCACTGACTTACGGTTATTTTGTGTTAAGGTTAAGTTACAGTTATAAAAGACCGACTGTACTTTGTTTTAACTTAAGGGGTTGGAGTACCAACAAAAGATAATTAAGTACCTTACAAATGAGACAAAAAACGTTTAAAATTAATAGATCCCTAGGGTTGAATTAGCAGAATCATTAAGATCCAAAAGTTTGTGTCTGCAGGAAAATGAACTGGGGAAAACATAAACGAACCTGTAGCTTAAGTTTTGAATAATTGGTTCACTGTTAACTTTTATTATATTTATTTTGTACTTGTTTACATTAGCATACCCCAGTTCAGCATTCCCCTCATTTAATACCAATTACAGAAACTGCCAGTGCAGCCGCTCCCGAAGCATTTTGCCAGACATGTGACAGCTCCAGTTCCCACATTACACCCCGATACAATCGAGTAGCCAGGTCCTTAGTCCTTAGTCCTGAAAATGGGCGGAAATGAAGCCGCCGCTCATAAGCAAACATGACAGCTCCACGCTCCCATTAGCGTTCCAATTTTGTTGTTTGCAACTCCTTTCTATCCCCGTTTTCCTCAATTTTCCCATTTCCCATTTCCAGTTCGATGACGAAGCGTGACAAATAATAACAACGTTGTAGTAGCTTCGAGCTACCGAAATGATTGGAAAAGTGCATCGAGGGCTTTCCACCACCACTGTTTCCACTTTTTCCTCTGGGGAACTGGGAGGTGACAGACCCTAGAAAACTTTGGGCCTACCGGAGTGAGAGTTGCTTAAATAGGGCTAAACCATCGACCGCAAAAACAAATTAAGTAAATTCAGTAAACAAGCAAACAAGCGACAACAACAAATCAGGCTTTGTGGTAAAAGAATTGGGGGTGAGGCGATGCACAGAAAAGAAAATATATATTTTAAAATATATATTTAGTGCTAGAAATAATCATGTAATATATTTTATTTTGAGATATATTTTATTTTAATTTCTCATTACTTTATAATGGGAGGATCAACAGTCATTAAAAAAACCGAAATTCGGAAGTAATTCGAAATTGCCTACTAGTCAACCCCAATGTCAAAAAATGTCGTATTAACATTTTACATTTTAAAGGCAATAAAAAACCGAAATTCGAGGCGTCTTATGCGCTTTTTTCGCTAGTGCAAAGAGGGCAGCTCAAAAAGAGAATTGAAATAAACAATGAGCAGCAAATGGGCAAAAAGCAAAAGCTAGAAAAAGTGGAAAAAAGCAACAATAAAATAGGCGACAAGCAGCAACAACGGGCAATCATAAAGGCAACGCAATCAAATGATAATAAAAAGCAGCGACGATTACGCCGGCTGCGACGCCAGCAGCGCTGCCACAGTGGGGCTTCTTCGGTTCCCCGATTACTTTGCATACTATATACACGGCATATAGCACATGCGGTGTCTCCAAAGGTGAAACGCGAAGAAAGAGCGGAGAAAGAACCGAAGAAGAAGAAGAAGCTATAGCAATTCCCAATTCCACATTCAAATGCAAAACAAATTCAAGAAAATCGAACAACACAAAATGAAGCTAGCGACGTGACAAAACCGAAAGAAAGACAGAAACTTGGGTGTCATCGTATGGAAAAAAAGAAGAAAAAACAAACAACCCAAGTCGCAATTATGGGAGTACCGAGCAAAGCCATCAATCTGTGCTAATTTATGCGACTCCAAAGGCTAAAAAGCCCCAAACTTTGGGTGTTAAGACCAACATCCTAATCAAACTCACGTTTTATCTAATCTTTGACCATCTACTAGTTTGCGGCAGTGAACTTGGTGATTAAAATCTCTCAAAATAAACTAATTAAGCCCATTAACCTTTGGTGTAAGGTTTGACATCAAGTATACGGCATGTGTGCCAGTATTTTTCTTAAATTTTAAACTGAATAGGAAACTATCATTGTTATTATTTAATCGCATTTGTTTATACAATTATGCTAATCGAATTTATAAATTACTCTTATCTTATCTGAATTGATATCAGCACAAACAAATGCAAACGATTATTTTGACAAATGTTTTGTTATTATGCAGACGAGTATTAATTGTATGAAGCTTTGTGGCATTAATGACAAAATAGTAAAAAACCTTTTACATTTATTGTGTAATTAGGAGCTTGAGTGGAATTGTAATTTGCTGTTTTAAAACATTTGACCATTACACCTATGGAAACCTTAGCTATTTTCTTGACCCCCGCTGTATGACTATGTAAATAACTGAAAGTTATGTGGCCACGACAAAATATTGATTGAAAATCAATAGGCTCGGCCGCTTGTCATTCATTCTCTATGATTGCCCGGCGGCAGAGAACTCGGAATTCAAATGTCGATGCGATCCAACTGTCAGCCGGCAAACTCACTTCAATCATATATAGAAATCTATATATATAGAGTCGGGCTCGGGCATATAGGTATATATATATCTGGCATTCGAACGTTAACATGCACACTCGTATGTGTGTCAGTAGTTTTGATGTTCGTGCGTGTGGCGATGACAAGCTCGGCTTGATAATTTAAACACGTAGCCCTCGACTAGAGCTTCTGCCATGGACTGCGCCCCCGCCCCCAAACCCCAAAGCACCACCCATCGCCCACCACCCCGAAACACCCCCTGTCACACACACACATGCCATAACGTATAGAGCAAAACAGACGTAAAAAATCGAAAAGAAAAAAAAACACAAAAATGTCAACACACTTTTATTGTTGTTGATGTAATACCCTGCGTAGATAGGGGAGAGGGAAGTATATTAACTATGTACTACTAAAAATACAATTAAAGTTAAAAATAACTGTAGAGAACCAACACTGAAAGAAGTACGGGATACCTCTTAAGGAAAACTCTGTAAATTTAATGTATTTTGGAATATAGGATGGTTTTCACAGCTAACCTCATATACAATGTGTTAAAGTTTTGGAAGTAATAAATAAATTTACCATAGATGGTTTTCTACAAGTTAGTAAATCAGAAATGCCAGGAAATATCCTTGCACAAAAACGTTGCCTATTTTAGAGGGTATATTTCGGTCGAACCTTTTCGGGTGGCCATCATTATTTGTGCTGTCTGTGTGGCGCTTTTTGGGACTGTCGTTGTAATCGACTTTGTTGTTGCCGTTGCCGCAAAACAAAAATGCCAAAGAAGAGAATAAAGTAGAGCACCCAAGTCGGCGACGTCAGCGTTGGCAGCGACGCCGACAGCGACGCCAGCAGCGTAAGCCGCACTCAGCAAAAATGTGCGAGAGGGAGGGGGCAATGAATGAGGGGGGAAGCGTATGCACTCAAGCAGCAAATAAACCACGTATTCACACACACTCGCTCACACACTCGACATACTTACACAGATATTTACAAAAAATCTAGACGCAAAAAAAAATACAGATCCATTTAAATTTCTTATTAAGTGGTTATTAATAAACAATTTTTGAATAATAAAAATGGCTATTTAAAAATTTGTTGTTCACCTTTTTGAAATTAAATACATAAATCATTTTTATGACTAGATTATATTGATAATATCAATATTTTGAAAAAAATGATATTGTATTGTATTTAAAACTCAACAAATCTAAATCTAAATATTTTATATTAAATCAATCTTTAATTAATTAAATAAATATTTCTCTCCGTGCACGAACCTCAACAGTTTTTCGACATTTTGTTGCTATTTTCGCTGCTGTTGTTGCACCCTCTGCCGCAGTCGCGGTCGGCGTCGACGGCGCAGTCGCTGCTCACTTAAACGTTCTTTTCGATGCCTTTGCTCTGCCGCTGTTATTGTTTGTTTTTGTTGTGTTTTTTTCGCCTTGTTTCGCTTGATTATTTTGTGTTTTTCTTTTTATTTTGCTTTTTTCTCCCTCAGCTTGTAACTTGCAATATAATTTAATAGTAACTGATGTGCTTGCTGTTGTTTTTTCACTTAGTATTCGGCTACGCACTCAAACATACACAGAGAGAAAATGTGGATGGGGAGAATAACAAGTGGCACAAGTTTGGCTTTTCACCTTCAAGGTAGCACACGCGTCGTATACGCGATATCCGCGCTGATAATAACCAAATAAGTTCGTATACTTTGCTCTGCTATTTCCACTTTTATTATTACTTTTGCCCGGACTGTTAGCACGAATTAGATACGACAGTTGGTTGGGGGAACGGGAACGTCAGCAAAACACACACATTTTAAAGCCGGCATTGAAAACGCTCTATTTCCCGAACTACGTATCTTTTTTCCAGCGCTTCCACTTGTACAGGTGGCAGAAAGGCGAAAAAGCGGCGCGTAAACGGCGGAGAACAGAAAACAGAAATTATACAATGTTCCGTAGTGGTAGTAAAATACAAAAGTTAATAACAACGCGACAAACTGAAAAAAAACACGCCAGAACGTAACAGAACGAACGAACGGAATCCAGTGATGCGATGCGCCAGCGTAAACGCGTCCGTGCACGTCCGCTCTCTTCGAAGTCAAAAACGCGAGTGAGTCGCTTGGACAAACGGTAAAAGCACACACGGCGGATGAGTGCTAATTGCGCTCAGCACGCGCCGCCATAGGTGAAGGAGAGGGAGAGTGGCGAGAGAAAGCCACGGAGAGAGTAGTGCAACGCTCTCTGTGCCAAAGTGCGAGGGAGACGGCTCTCACAGGTGGTTGGAGGGGGGTTGCTTTCTACACGGAAAGAAAAGCTGTTTGAATTCAAATATACCTGTGGTGATAGTAATAATCATGTTAAATTAAAATTAGTCTTTTAAATTTATATTTGTTTTCTCGCTCTATAACCTTATTAAAGTTTAATACGGAAGAAATAACACCCATTAATGTGTAAAAATATTAAATCCAGATTAATTCTACATTGGTATCATTAAATCATCGATTAAAGGACGCGACAATCTACAATTCCGACCTAAAGGTAATCAAAATTCGAGTGATTCTTGAGGCGCCTCCAATATATCTTCGTGTGTAGTCGTACCTTTGGCATTGGTAAACAAAGCTAGTGTAAACGTTAAGAACCAAAGCAATCAAGGGGTGCTAATTGAACTCGCCTGCGCTCATGTGCTATATTCACCGTTAGACCAAAATAACCGATAGTGAGAAATTCTTTAGCGTGGCCTACGATTGCTCCTGGCAACACCTGCATCAAAAAGTTAAAAAGTAACGGCTATGCACTGATGAGGTTGCCAGATAACGGAAAATAGTAAACCGGATATCCTGACTATAAAGTGAATACTCAAATTAGTGAACCATAAGAACTGATGGTAAAAGTAACACAGAAACGAAAAAACAGCATCCCCGGGGATGCTTCTTTAGAGCACAGAAATCAAATCCAATTTATTCAGTTCGCCTAATGCTAAGGATTAATCACAGGACTTTTACTCAAATACAATATCTTCCTTTTCTTGTTTTAATTACTATTTAATACTTTATTATTCTTCGAACAATTTAAACTAATTGTCGTATTTTAATGACATAAATAAATAGTTCAAGACTCTGAGTTGTTATGCTTAGACATTTTCACGGTTTCCGTTTGTGTTAATATTAATTCCATTATTTTGGATGGCCAGATAAGAAAGGTCATTTGATAACCTATTCGCAGAGCTCTTAAAAAGTGAGCACAAAACAAAAAGCTATTCATTGGATTGTTGGCAACATCACTAGAGACATCGTTTTCGCTAGAATATTTCTGACGCTTTTTTTGGGGAGAATCCTTTTGACAAAAGGTTTTTGTAACTTTATTTTAGCAACACCGATATGCGAAGTGATTAATACCGTTGGAAGTTTGTCTACAGAATAGTATAGACACTGTCTAATAGACAGACAAAAGCAACTTGAACTTCGCTTAAAAAGGTATACAAATTAAACTCTACAAATTTGAAAAGCAGTTACGGGAAATGTTGTTCATGCTGTTAACGCAATGTATATTAACAGCGGCTTAACATGTTTGGTATATTTGAATAAAAAAGTGTGGTATTTTTCCCTGACCTAATAACGGTAACACTTTGAAGAAGAAGAAAGGAGGAATTTGTGAAGATATCGCGATTGAATTTAACTCAATTTAAACCCCTCTAAACCCGTTAAAAACTCAAATCCGCAATGACCGAGGACTGGCAGAGTCAGAAGTTCCGCCAGAACGTCATCTCGAAGATGTAAGGGCCACCGAAAGCCAACATTTCATGGCCTAACTTTTGTGTTTTTCTGTTTTGCAGCCACGACTTGTTGCCGCCGAATGCGCAGGATCAGACGAAGAATGCCGGCGTCATGGAGAACCACATATTCAGGAAGTCCCGCACGAAGGACGAGTACCTGGGCCTAGTGGCCAAGCTGTTCATGCACTACAAGGACATGTCCCGCAAGTCCCAGCAGCAGCAGCAACAACAACAACAGCAGCAGCAGCAGGGCGGCCCGCCCCCGAATGCGGAAATGGGCGGCGGGCAGAACATGATGCAGGATCCGCTGAATGCCCTGCAGAATCTCGCCAGCCAGGGCAACCGCAACCCGCAGATGATGCCCATGGGCGCCGGCGGAGGAGCCCCAGTTCCCGGCGGCCCGGGAACGGCCTCCAATCTGCTGCAATCCCTCAATCAACAGCGTCCCGGGCAGCAGCAAATGCAGCCCATGCCCAATATCCGCGGCCAGATGCCCATGGCTGCTGGCGGTGGACCTCAGCAGATGCAGATGCAGGTCCAGCAGATGCAGCAGCAGGGCGGAAATGCCCCGGGCGTAATGAACGTGATGGGCGCAGGCGGCGGAGTAGGAGGCGTTCAGAATCAAGGCCAAATAGTGGGCAATCCGGGACAGCAGATGGGCGTGGGCATGCCCAACCAAATGGTGGGCCCGGGACCGAACAGTGGACCCGCTGTCGGTGGGGCCGTGGGCGCCAGTGCCGGAGGAGCCCCGGGAGCAGCTGGTCCCGGGCCAAATCAAATGCAGGGCGGGCCGATGAACGTGAACGCCATGCAACAGATGCCGCCCATGCAGCAGATTCAGCAGAACCAAATGGGGGTAAGTACTATTACTATACCCCTTATATTTTTTTCAAATTTTGTGTTTAGAGTTAAACTTTTAGACACATTTATGACTCATAAATTATGAGGATTACAACTTATTAAAATTATGTTTTTTCAATCTTCGATAATCTGTCAAACCATTTTTGACATATGCAGGATATGTCATACACTGGTCGGCATAATTATTTTGACACATTTGAATGTTAACTGTACTCTTATTTTGAACTTGTAATATAAACTTTAAATTACACAAAAATGTTCTTCACCCATTAAGCACCCTTTGAAAAGTTAGAAAATGTTGTGAAAGTCAAATTTTAAACTTTTTTTCCTGGGGCTTAAAACAAAATGTTTTGATGCAAAGTTTTTCCCCAAGCAAAATGAATAATAACTGCAAAAAGAAAAAAAATTCAAAATATTTTCCCTTGTATTTTTTATGATTTTTAATCTAATTATCTGTCAAAATTATTATGCCGCCTAGTGTTCATAAAAAACTATCTGTCATTCTTAACATTTTTCCAAAGTGTTCAATCAGAATTTGATTTTGACCCTTCTTTACAAATATGTAATATCTTAGAGTAATACTAATTACTATTCTGACTAATTACATCCCCTTGTTCTCTTCCAGATGGGCATGAATCCGATGATGCGAATGGGTCAGGGCAACGGCATGGGCGGTCCCCAGGGAATGCCCGGCCAGGGCATGCAGGGAATGCCGCAGGGTCCGCACAATGTGGTCGGCGGACCGGCGGGTCAGCAGCAAGTGGGCGGAGCCGGCCTTCCGCCGAATGCAGTGCAGCAGGGCGGCATGAATCCGATGGGCGGAATGGGCGTAAACATGCCACCGAATCTGCAGCAGAAGCCCAACATGCCGATGGGCCAGGCGGGTCAGATGTTCCCCGGCAATCGAGGCGGGGTGGGAGTGGGAGTGGGCGGCCAGCAGCCGGGACAACCCTTCATGCGATCCAGTCCCTCGCCAGCGGATGCCCAGCAGCTGCAGCAGCAGGCGCAGCTCCAGCAGATGCAGCAGCAGCAGCAACAACAGCTGGTGGTGGGCAATCAAACGCCCACGCAGCAACCGCCTACGCCGCAAATGCCCACGCCCAATATGATTCCCAGTCCGGCACTGGTGCCCCAGTCCAGTCCGCAGATGATGCAGATGCAGAATCCGCAGCGCAACATCCGCCAGCAGTCGCCGAGTGCCTCGATCAACACGCCCGGTCAGGTGACCGGCAACAGTCCGTTCAACCCGCAGGAGGAGGCACTGTACCGCGAAAAGTACAAGCAGCTGACCAAGTACATTGAGCCACTGAAGCGGATGCTGGCCAAGATCAGCAACGATGGGACAAGTGAGTATATATATAGCCAGGAGAATTTCAAGGAATTTTTGTACTTTCCGAAAGCTAAAAGGGAATTTATCTGTTCCTCTTGCTAGAAAATCGTTATTTAGCATCACAAATTAGATTAGTTATCGAAATTAACACTTTTACTAGAAAAACTTCTACATAAACCGAAATCAAATTAGTTCGTTTTAAAATATCAACTGAAAATGAAGCTAGTTTCCATTGCAATCTTAGTTTTTCCAATATTTGGCTATGTTCTTGGTCTTAAGGATCGTGAGTACTAGAAAAGAAAAGCAACTTAAAAGCCCTAATCCATTAAACACTTGATTAATTCAGCCATCTGCGGTCTGTATCCTGAATTCCATGGACATTGCAGGAAGTTGGCTCGCGGATTTACCTATATAGCTATACGTAATAAATGTAAACATATAACCGGAAATTGTAGGGGATCCGGAAATTTTTTTACAAAGATGAGTTATTGCGAAGCCAAGTGCAAGAAATAATGAAAAATTAAGCTAAAAGCAAACTAATAAAGATTATCAAGGGGTTTCACATATCTCGTAGCATTTTGAGTAATCTAGGGGTACATTTCCTTATAGATGTGGAGAAGATGACCAAGATGAGTAAGTTGCTAGAGATCCTATGCAATCCCACTCAGCGTGTGCCGCTTGAAACTCTTTTAAAGTGTGAAAAAGCTCTTGAGAAGATGGATCTGATCTCCTATTCCGGCCAGCAGTTTGGGGTAAGTTTAATGATTACTAAATAGTATTACTTTATTATAGTTTATACTGTTTACCTAGAAATCCTCGAATCCCCTGCTGGAGGTTATAAACACCACGCTGCAGAGTCCTGTAGCCAATCACACATTGCATCGCACCTTCCGACCCACACTAGAACTGCTTTTTGGCACGGATATAACAGCTCCAGTGCCCACGAAGCGACCTCGAGTGGAGGAAAAGTCGTCGACCTTCGAGCAGGATGTACCGCATGTGTTGCAAGGTGAAATCGCCCGGTTGGATTCCAAGTTCAAGGTGAAACTGGACACTACGTCGCAGATAAACAACAAGGCCATACGCCTGATTTGCTGTCTGGACGACAAGCGATTGCCCAGTGTTCCGCCAGTCAGTGTCAGTGTGCCAGAGGAGTATCCTTGGCAGGCGCCGGACTGCTCCTTGGCGGAACAGGAGTACTCGGCCACCCCGTTCCTGCAGACGGTGCAACAGGCCCTCATCGCTCGCATGTCCAAGCTGCCCAAAAACTACTCGCTCTCGCATCTCTTGGACACCTGGGAAATGGCAGTGCGGCAGGCGTGCTCTCCGCAATCGAAACCCCAAGCAGTCTGCGAGTTTTCCACTTTGTTGGGAGTTTAGACTGCTATTTAGCATAAGCTAATATAATGGGAAATTAAGTAGGTATTTAACTTTATTTTAAAAACAATTGAGATTCTAAAATGTTCTTTGATTTCAGTTTCCCCGCATTTCCCCCATTGAAATTATGGTTTGAGGATCGAAATACATTTAAGAAAAATAGAAATAAATAATTTTAATCCAAGCAAAGCTGAAGAGTGGTAAATTCAATACTTATTATCAAATATCCTGGTATTCAAGACTTGCACCATCATTTTCAAGACACAACACACTCACCAATCAACATAAAAACACACAACTCAAATATCCTGGTATTCAAGAATATGAAAGGTCAGTTTTAAGCATGTAAATTTTAACCGACTGAATTCCATTTCGACCACTAAACCATTCCGTGAGTAGGCCCATTAACTTTCCTCCCGCCCATTCATACAATCGATTTATAATTATTTGGAAAATATGTATATTTTCATTTGTTGAGATTGGAATCGTGTGAGGATCCAGCATTCTTTTTTGTTTTGTTTTTCTTTCTCTTTTTTTCCACATTTAGCAATAAATACAATTGTTTGTGTGTGTTTAAGTTTAAGAGAATTAGACCGATAACTATGGTACAATAGAAAAGAGTTAAGAAAACTTAAGTATCACAGATGTTGGGCGCCGAATGCGCCGCTATATTATATGTACAAGCACTAGGGATAATCAGAATCTAAATCTGCTGTGCTCCTGGAAGGGAAGTGGCACCTATCTACAACAGATGCGAAGCCTATTGAATTTGAAGTTGATATATGCACAAGACGATGACAAGATCTAGCTCTTAACTAAGCTTAAGTCTACACCAGCTACACGAGAATTGGGGGGCAAACTCGAAATAAAGTTCTTACAGGAAAAATTCGAGCTTCAAGTGTGGCCTTAAATAGGATTCTACAAATCCCTACTGTAATTATCTAAAATATGCTCTGATTTTGGTGGGAGTTCTTCTGTTCTTTTCGTTTAGCTGGCGATACTGTCGGGCTGAGATTGGTTCTGGTGCTTCGGCTGCTCTCATCGCTGAACTTGCAGCAGGGTTCCGCCGAAGGTGAAGCTGCTGGCCTGCTGCTGCAGTCTCAGCAGATCCTGGGCGCTGTAGACCTGCAGACTTGCGGAGGAGGAGCTGGTGGCCGCCGGAGCTATCGCCCGCAAATGGAGCGAGGCATCGCAGAGGGAGGCAGCCACCGAGGAGGAGGCGGAGGACGAGGAGCTGTTGCTGCTGCTGTGGGCCAGGGAAACGTGTCGGTTCACCCCGTTCGCCTTGTCCTTGTTGTGCCGCTTGACGTGCTTGGACAGGTGGTCGCTGCGCATGAACTTCTTCTGGCACACGCTGCACTGGAACTTCTTCTCGCCGGTGTGGGTGCGCTTGTGGCGGGACAGCTCGTCGGAGCGGGAGAAGCGCTTGTCGCAGTTGGCCCACTTGCAGATGAAGGGCCGTTCGCCGGTGTGCACCCGCTGGTGGGCCTTCAGGTGGCTGCTCTTGAAGTAGTTCTTGCCGCACTCGGGAAAGCTGCACTCGTAGATGCGACTCCTGGTGGCCGCCGCCTGGGCTGCCGTGATTCTCGTCGCGAGCTTCTCCTCGGGCATCGCGGGAATGGGCGTGGGACTTTGCTGGGCGGCCACGGTGCTGAGCAGGATGAGCTGGCTGGCCGGCGACTGGGCGACCACTGGAGCCACGTAGATGGGTGTGAGAAGGGGTTTGATTTCCTCGGGCTCCTCTTGCTTTTCCGCTGGAGCAGAAGGAGCTGGATGCTCTGGAGCCGGTGTCTCGGGTTTTTGTACTGGTACTGGTAGAGCTACTTCCGCCGCCCGCTTCCTGTTCATCTTGAACTTGAGATTGCGCCACACATTGGCCTCCGGGTAGTCGTCCTCCACCGCGGGCGGAACGGAGTTTGTACTTGTGGTTGTGGTGTTGGAGGAGGAACTGCAGCTGGAACTGGAGGAGTTCTCGTCCTGGTTGCTGGAGGAGACGGCGCCGGAGCTGTTGACCCGCATGATGACGCTAACCCTCTCCAGCTTCTGATCCGGTGGCGGTGTCATGGTCGTCGCAGGCTGTTCCAGGCGCGGCTTCTTGCTGGGCACCGCCACTTCCGGCGACTCGTCTTCCGTGTCTGAGGGATTGGGTGTGATAATCCCTCCATTCTTCTGGCTCTTCTGGGCCACCAGCTTGAGCTTGGCCTTGAGCAGGTTCTCGTTGACCTGTTGCTCGTCCTTGGCGACCTGAAGGAAAAGAAACAAAGAGTTCAGGGTTAGTGAGAGTTCATCAACATCGAAGGCGAGTTCAGGTTCTCAGGAGTACATTCACATTCCCATTCACATTCCCATTCACTTTTCGCTGACCAGCATTGACCCACAATAACTTTTCCCTCGCAATTCGCTAATTACGCCGACGGCTGGCAAGGCCGTTCACCGTTAACCTTCACACACCCTACAGCAGCAGCCCACCCAACCCCCGGGTTCAATGCTCCTCCAAAAGGCCAAGGGGACATTGTTTTTTCGGCGGTTTTTGAACTGTTTTAAAGGCCGTTTGGGGTGAAAAATAATGATTCATTAAATGTCGTGTTGGGACTGAAATTATGTTTTTTTTATTTTAATTTGAGGTAATTTATTGAGTTTTGTCAACAAAAAAAATCGTTTCTGTACAAAAAAAAAGGGTTTTATATATATATATTTTTTTTAATTTTTAAAATCCAAATTTTTATAATTTTTATTTATTATTTAAAAAAAAAAAAATTTTTTTTTTTATTTACGCCGCCCGAAAGCAGGCAAAGAAAACTGCACTAATATTTTTATGACGTGCCTCAGGTGGGTGACTTCATGGGGGGAAGGCGACTGCGATTGCGAGAGGGGGTATTATGACTCGTGTGGAGACGTCGAAATCTTTTTATGGGCTCGGCACGTTGCGCTCAAATGTGCGACAGTGTTTGTTTGTTTCTTTCTTGGCCAGGCCAGATAAAAAAAGCGAGCCAGAAATGTGACATGATTTTATGGGTTGGGGCTTGGCCTGTTTACCTAGCTTTTCGACCGACCCCCCTTTCCGCTTCTCCCCCTACGCCCCAGTCCAGTTGCCAATTGGCAACTCACCTTCGCTCTCAAACAAAGTCGGCGCTCTCTCGCTCTCTCTGCTCTTTCTGTTGTTTTTTTCCCCCTAGTGGTGCCAAGTCCAATGTTCAGGATGTGCCCTCTCGCTCGCACCCGCACATCACTCGCTGTGCATGCGGTGTTCACGTGAAAGCGTGCTGACTGCGTGATCGCATGGCTGGCTGCGGGTGCGAGCGGGACGGAGCACTTTTGTTTTTAGAAACGCGGCAAGTGGAAGCGAGAACGAACTAACGTCCGATTCCGTTTGATTTTCCGCTGCCTTGAATGCACTATGCACATCCCCACTATATCCTCACTCAATGCAAAAAGCAAGGAAAAGGTGTCAGCCGCATTTCTAAACTGTATACTGTACACTGTGTGTGTAGCAGAGGTAGCAGAGTTCGGTAGAGTTTCGGTAGAGGCATATCCTATCACTATGAACTATACACTATCTCCACTTTGTAGGTCACTTACGTTTTCCAACTTGTTATCCCTCAGCGGGGGCGTTGCAGGCGGTGAAGGTAGCAAGGTATCCATGTCCATTGCACTTTTAACTTTCAATTTGCACTCTCTTTTTTTTATTTGATGGAAAAGAGTCTTCTCTTCAGAGTCTGTTGTTTGTTTGTTTGTTTGTTGCTTATCACTTGGTTTAATCTCAGTTTATTTAGATTTTTGCACTTTAGTTAACTTTGCACTGGGGGCTTTTTCGAGTGCCGTTGTTGCCGTTTTGGAGCGGAGGCGAACCGTTGCGTTCAGAATTCAAGAGACGAATGAAAAAGGCAAAGGCATTCAGCTCCCAGCAGAGCTGCCCGCTGTCGACGTCGCTGCCGCGCCAACGAGGTGTTCGGGTGTGTGAGTGAGTGGAGCCGCCGACGACGACGTAATCACTTGTAAGTGGGCAAGTGTGTGTGAGCGGGCCATCGTCATCGGCAGTGGAGCAACCAGTGCAATGAAACCCGGACGACGAACATCAGCCACCAGCAACGTGGGCAGTGCCTCCTCCCTTTCTCGCTCTTTTGGGCTCGAAAAAGGTCAGGTCTCCTCCTCACTCACCTCTCAGCAGCCCACGTACACGGAGGAAAAAAGGTGGATGTTAGGGAGGTATTTTCTTTCTGTACAACTAAAAAGAATCAATTTCGAATCATTTGGGATTCGAATCATTCATGATTTGAATTATGGTATTTTGATAAAAGCAATTTCTAATCGTCTGTATCTGTAAAAGAATCTTTTTCGATATTCCTATGATTCAAATCATTAGGGATTTGTGAATCATTTTTCATAACGAATCTTCTCGAAGCCTATAAGTTGCAAACTTTAGGACCTATTTTTAAGCCATTATTTCTCGTGTTATTAAAATCATGTCAGTTTGGTTTTGTAATATCAAATCGACGTGTTCAAAAGTATAGTATCATATACTTTACTCAAGTTTTTCTTTTTGTGCAGGAGAGAGAACCATAGAGCACGTAACCGACGCATGGACGTCATCAGCTGTTTACTGCGGGGTCTTGTTTTTGGTGCTAGAGAGAGAGCTGGACTGCTGAGGGGGAGGAGCAGGACGGGGGCTCCATGGGCTGTCTATTCATAGGCTGTGCATGCCCAAGCCGCGTGCACAGCGCACAGCGCACACAAACCAACCGACCAACACCAACAGACACACCCCAAAGCCGTGACTGAATAGCTGACGCAGTTGTTGCCACGGAAGTCTGTGATTAATCGACGAAAAAAAAAAACCGAAATACTTAAAAACAGGCTCGAAACCTGGCAGACGCCCCTCAAGCTTAAATCTAAGACCTGGCCGCATATATTTGCATTAACTTTAAAATCCAAGTCTGACTTTGAGCAGACGTAGATTTCATTAATAAACGAAAGGGGCAGAGCGAGAAAGCTAGTGAGTGTGTGGGAGCTCAACAGTTGAGCTGGAGAGGCATTGCCAGACCCGAGAATCGGGGAGATAACAAAGATGAGTCACGGAAAACAGGCATTTCAAAATTTGCCTGTTTACCAGGCCCATGTAACTCGATTAAATCGTTCACTGATTTATTCAATTCGATTGGAAAACCCATCTAGTATTCGAGTATTTTCCACCTGGCAATGCCCGCTGGCTCGCCTGTAACAGTTTTCAAAGCAAAAAGGGGCTCGTGCACAGCACAACACACACCGAAGAGCGCCAAGAGCGAAGAGCGCCAGAAACAGCTGTGACTATTATAAGGCGGCGCTCGCCTGCTCTCTTGCGCAACAACAACGAATAACTAGCACGCCATACCATTCCCCACACCAGACTTGTGGGGCGACTGTTCACGCCGTCTAGGGTATTCAGGGGGTAGTCATAGCACGACGCTAGACCGCTAAAGTCTCTTACTTTCTTTATCACCAGCAAAAAAAAATGTTTGGCGCCCAACGTGGGAGAATTCAGAGTTCTTACTTGACCAAAGATTAATTGTTTGCTATTCATACAAACATACTGCTTTCGTAACCTAAATAACTCCACTTAATAAGTTTGCTGTTAATAACACAAAACAACAGTGTTTCTAAAAAATAAAATTTTATTGGCGCCCAACGTGGGGCCTTGGAAAAATAATACAAATCCACAGTGTGTCAAATAAATACATGTTTTTGGCGCCCAACGTGGGGCCTTGGTAAAAATCTCAAAGCTAAATATCTTTTTTCTTATTTCACTTTAGTAAACCCCAATTTAGATGGTATCCCCGGGTCGACCCCTTGGCGAATAACCTTCTTACTGGCTGAACATGCTCGCCTGGGCGTCTCTTGGTGTGTGTGAGTGTCTGTGTGGGTCCGTCTGGTATCACGCGTTGACCTCATGATGTTCACGTGAACATTTGTTGATACTTTGTCTGAGTGAGTGCGAGCGAGAGGGGGCGATAGAAGCCAGCAGTCTGTGGCGTGCCTATCTGTGTGTTTCTTGTGCGCCCGTGTGCGTGTGGGTGTTTGCAGTACTTGCGTTTTTGTTTTTGTTTTCGCTTCGTGTTTGTTATTGGAATCGGAATTCGTGTGTAATTTTTGCGCGGAACTGAAGCGATGGCCTCCACTCTCTCGCGAATGTGGGCGTGTAAATGGGCCGACGTACCGTTACCGCTCATACCGCTCTCTCCCTCGCACTCCCCTCCTCGGATTTTGAATGCAAACTGCGCCGCAGTTGAGTCTCCCCACAAATCCATCAAGCGGGAATTCATGTGCATTCGCTAGCGCTGAACGCAATCAGCAGCCGCAGGTTAGATCTAAAATTAGCCGTACATCTCGGCTCCCCGGCGGGTTCAAGTTCAGTTCCCTTGACTTGCATTCGCCCACTCAGATCCCACGCCCACCCACCTTATCTCGGGTGGCGAAATCCGGACTCGCAGAACTCACGTGTGCCCACGCACAATCTTAGTGGCACGTAGGCCGCTGGTCACTGGAAAAAGTTGAGGGTCAGAACTGCAGGATTTCATCAGAAAAGCCCACATCCCAAAAATAGGAGCTATAGCTTTACCAGTTTTTGAGTTACAGTTGGGTACTAGATGATAGATGGTAATAGATCTTTTATTTTACTTAGTAAGTACAGTAGGATTTCATCAGAAATCTTATTAAGAATTCTTAAAAATGTCTTTAAGAATTTGTGCAACCTAAAATTTGTAGCTTTCGGATGTCATCGAAACTTGATCTATGGAATAATGAAGACCATTTTTTTGCGGTGTGCCAAAAAGCCAACTTAGAGGGAAGGCGAGTGGCTGATAGCCCCTTCATCTTCTTCGCAGAGCGAGTTTGCGCATTGACGTAACTCTCGTCTGGCATCTGGCATTACGTAGCCGACTCGTTGGCTTGGTGACGTCACACCCACGCTGGCTTTTTGCTCCTGTTGCGCGTCAAAGGTCAAAGCGTAAGAAGCGTGACGTTGGCGTGAGCTTCCGCCGGGTTCAAGGCCTCCTACGCCCTGTATTATTTATTAATAAGGGGAGTAGAGTCCCCAACAGGCAGACAATAATTCCTCGGACGGAGGCGTTGCTCCAATCACGTCAATCACAGGTGGACCCTGACGTCAGAGGCCCTCACTAAAATGAAAAGAACCCCGCTTGGTACTATTCATATTCATATATCCATATTCAATCATGTATTCAGCGAGTGGCACACAAAGTCCGAGCAAAAGTCATGAGGAATTGGTCTATAATTCGCCACGGCAACAACGTCAAAATCGTCAAGTGCGACGCCCATTTTCCTATTTTCCCGTCATTTCCCATTCATTCTCAAACATTTTCTGTTTTGTTTGGCGCGGGTAAAGCCCCCATATCGTCCGATTTTTCCTACCCTCCATACACTCTCTACAAAAGCGCGCCAAGATCGTCAAAACTCTCCATGACGTCATGAGTCGGACTCGTGACTCCAAGTGAAGACTTTGTTAGCTTCTTGGCTTCATTTTTGTTTACCCGTCTTCGATGAAAGACGAATTAAACAGAAATTTCCATTTAGCATAGTTGTAAACATGTTTACAAACAAGAAGATTTTCCACAATTGAACAGATTATGGGGGCTCTTGAAATGGGTCAAACGGGTTTCGTGGAAAAAGATTGAGAAATGAACTGGTAAAACTGATAAAAACGCGGAGATCCCTCTGTATTGCAAACCTATTCTCATAATAATTTTTTCAACATTTCACCATGATGCGTAAATTTGATTTATTTGTCTAAAACTGTGATCATCTTGGCAAACAGCCGTTGATATTTTTAAAAGTTGTGGATAATAATAAATAAATGCAATATACCAAAATATTTATCTTTGTTATAAAGCCTCACATGACCAACTCGAGACTCATATCTAAATTAAGACTTTCATTTTAATGAGTGATCCTCGATCTTCTTTGGCTATTGATCAATAAAAAAAAGCCGAAGTAACTAAAGCTTTGAATCAGAAATGCAAGAAATTGGGGTTTGGAAGATTTTAATAAAAAGGAAAAATCAGATACCTATTTTAGGTATGATGAAACCTGAATAAAGAACTTTGCAACCTCGAGACTAAAAAAACCCATTTAAGATTCTCTTTATAATTAATGATCCTCGATTTTAATCAATTTCGTTTTTAGTGGAGTAAGTTAGCATGCCTAACTAAAGACTGTTATAAAAGCTTAGCTTTACATTACCTATCTATTTATTTGTGTTGTTAAGAGAAGTATATATTAAGGCTAAAAGATTCTCTTAGACATACAAAAAAGTTCCCCGTCAGCGTTTATCTAAGTATCAGTGCTGGCACTTATAGATGCTACTCTATAACTAGCCCCGATCTTGCCGGCACCACCCCCTCTCTCCATCACGGGTTCTAATCCCCTCACATGTGATGCGTTTTCTCTGCCTCGGTCGACGCCTCTGCCTACGTGCCTACTGACGCGTTGCTCTAAAACCGAAAGCTAAAAAACGGAACAGAACGGAACAATGGAACGTGGAACGATGTGTGTGGACGGGGGAGGGGGTCCACCTCATGGAGAACCAAAGTTTACAAATCTTTGGAGCAAGGCTAAGAGAGGGGCCTGCTATAAGCACCATGTAAACATGGCCTTCAATCGGGATTGCGGTCTTCCCAATGGAAATTTACGATGATGCGAAGGTTTCCCTCCACAGTCACTGTGTTTAATGCTTTTTCTCTTCCGCACCTCTCGCATTTTATAATTCTCATGCCATTTCTCGTTCTGGCTGCCGGTAAAATCGTCGACCTTGGCCCAGTTCCTTTGGCTGCCAAATGTTCCATCTGAACTTGAAAGTTGTTGTCCCTGGAACCGCAAAACGAAATGGGATGTGAATGGCA